CACTTGACTTTATATGATTAGTTGCACATAACATTTTATTTTACACCTTTCATACATAACATTTGTACTTAGGCACATGAACATACATGCTCAGGTGAACAATACAACCGTGGAAGATATAATACTATGACTATGTTATAAAGAGTAAATGTCCAATATCACATTATAATAGGCCACAAAACTTACAGTATAAAAGTTTAAAATCAAAACATAAAATATAAATTAATATGTTTCTCAGGACAAAAAAAATAAAGTTAACAAAATAATTCATTTATACATTATTTGCTAACACTTATGTGACATTTTTTCTTTTTCCTTGAATTAGTAGTCCATGGTGTTTTAACCGTACAAAATTTATATCGAATTATTGGATGAGTTTTAAGTCAAACATACATATTTGACCCTTCACAATGCAACTTTGATTCTTTTGTTGCTTCAGTATGATGTTTCATCTCCTTCATACTACCTTCAAATACAGGGGAAAAGTAAATTGCAGATGATGGAAAATTTACCTTTTCTCTTGATAATTTTGCTTCATTTAACAATTCCTGTAATTGTATTACCTCCTCCTTTAGTTTTGCAATTGTTGATTCTTATTGTTTGGTTAAGGCAATCAATAATTGATTCTCAACATTAATTCCACACTGTTAGAATTATAGGCTGAGATCAAGAGGGGGTGAATTGATCTTTACAAACTTTTTCGCAATTTACATATACAAATTAACAATTTCAAAGATTAAGAAATTTGGTCAAGTATTAAACCAAGAAAACCAAACTGAATTGAATAAAGTTCAAGTTGAATTAAAGAAAGTGATGGAAGAGGAAAAGAAATACCAAGAATTATACTGGTTCACTCAAACTACTGGGTTACATCCATTTCTCAACCAAATTTCAATTGAGTTCCACTAGATTGAATAATTTGATTTATAGAATCAAATTATAGAAAATTCAACCTGCACCAAGAACTAAAATCCATTTCATGAATCCAATATGCAACCAAATTCGAGTTGTAGAACCAAACCTGCACCAAGAACCAAATTCCAGTTCTTGAATCCAACCTGCAACCAAATTCCTGTTGCAGAACCAATGCCCAATCTTCCAGATACCAAGACAATACAAAATAAAATTGAAATAATGAAGAAACTAGAACAATCAAACCCAATTATGTAGATACAGAAATCCCACTGCAGAATGGGTTTCTTCACAATCAAGAATACAAAAATTCTTCAAGAAATAACTTTGAAAATTCCCACTGAAAATAGCATGCTTCTCTCTTAAAAAAATCTCTACTGATTGCTTGAATGATTTCTAAAAGATGTGTGTTTAAAGCATTGAATCAAATTTGTATATATAGAGACTTTTTCTAACAAATTGGTTTAATTAATCGGTTAATTCTTGTTTTAATCGATTAAAAAATCTTGTTTCTAATTGTTTTAACTGATGAAAATATCATTTAATCGATTAAAATGTTCTATAACACTTTCTAGAAATATTTTAACTAATAAAAACACAATTTAATCAATTAAAACAGTTACATAAAAATCCTTAAGTGATTTTAATCGATTAATTCAAATTTTAATCGATTTAAATACTGACAGAACATGTTTATCCTTATTTTAAGTGGTTTTAATTGATTAATTCGAATATGTATCAATTAAAACTACGACAGAACATGTTTTCACTTATTTTAAGTGATTTTAATCGATTAATTTGAATATGTATCGATTAAAATTGCAACAAACACATGTTTACACTTATTTTAAGTGGTTTTAATCGATTAATTCAAATATGTATCGATTCAAATTGCGGCAGAACATGTTTACACTTATTTTAAGTAGTTTTAATTGATTATTTCGAAAATACATCAGTTAAAAATGTGTCAAAAGTATTTTAGTTGATTTTAATCGATTAATCTATAAATATATTAGTTAAATCAAGACTTAAGAACATATTAACCGATTAAAAGGATTTTTAACATATTAAAAAGTTTAGAGGCATTTTTACTCTTTTCAAATGATAGAACCTCATGCTATAGAAATGGATAAATGATTATACCTACTTAATATTGATGCGGACTCACTAAACACTACATTCCTTATCCCATAAATCATTTGACTTCATCAAATTTTCAAGATCTTCAATCATCATCACACACAACGTACCAGTATAATTTTTTCAATTCTTCATATTCATGGGTGGCATGTGCTAACACTTCTTTCAGTATATCATGAGTAAGATATTCATTTTTGACACACAAGTCATGAATAACCTATGAATAAAAAAAATATATCAAATCCAAATCACATTTTCACATATGGTAAAGTAATTTTCTAAACAAGTTCTACTAATTTTTAATAAGCTAGCCATATTATGATTAAATGCAGCTAGAATTTTACTTCCCCCAATTATAACATATGTCCATTGTAAAAATCTAGGAAATCAACTTATCTCGTATGTTTTGGTATTATAAACTAAAAGATGCTCCATACCCCATATATGAATTAAGATAAACAAAATGCACAATATCAAATCGAATGACTATATTAAAAGTAGTTTAAAAAATCATAATTTAGGATTTACCTGTAACAAAAACATACGTCTTAATACATACAAGTGTGAACAATTTTTTCGCTTCGTTAAATAAATTAATGCTTCACATAAACTTTCAACCAAATATTCATACACAACTTTTTCCCAATTATACTTTCCAAGACAAGATAAATTATCTATTACCTTCAAAAACCCAGAATGTGTGGTACCTAGTTTATTTGGGAATAAAAACTCTGATAAACCTAAAAGTATATATAACCTGCAAAAGTTATCGACATCCTTGTCATTTTGACATTTAACAAGTTCATTAAAAATCATTTCCAAAGTAACATGTTTCCTGTTAAATAGTATTATAGTATGACAATCAATGTCTTTTTCTACAATTTTGACATTTTTGCCTATTATACGAAGTCTTAAACCTAAACATATATCTAAAAGTGTAAAACATACTATTTTAGACCTCATATTAAATCCTCCTCTATTTTCAACCTATTTACTTATTAATTCACTAAGCAATGTTATGCTAATTTTAATCTTTTTACTCAATAACATTAACTATTTAAATGGTGTTGAGTTAATACGACATTTGTTCTCTTTTGTTAGAATTTTATTCACTTCACCTAAATATTTTGTCCTACAAACTTGTTGCAAATATACAAAAAAATCACAATAAATAATTATAATCATCACCAATAATATTTAATATTATACAAGTAGATACAATATTCACCTTCTTAATATTTGAAGATTCATCATCTATGCTTTCATATGTTTTCATTTCAAACTGTAAATACATGTAATCTTATTTAATTTAAGTTCATAATATATACAATTTATTTACTATGATGACATTTACTACTACAAGTCCAACCCATGGATACAACTATTTCATGACAACAATCTAAGTATTTTCTAATAATCAACATCATAAATATGTCAAAACATATACTCCTTTTGATTATTAAGGGTCAATAACTTGCAATAAGAAAAAGTCATATATTAACCCGAATATCCAATACAAAAATTTAGTAATTGAAATCATAAACATCCAAAATTTCTCTCACTAACAAACAACATAGCAATACAAACTTAATGGTGTAGTTTTAGCTAGCTACATATTGTCATCAAACATTAACTAGTAAGTACATTCATTCATCTTCAATAATAAATATTATGTAATCTTGTAATGTCAATAATGAACAAAAACTAAAGTTAAACCGTAAATAGACAACATACTAACCTTAATCCTAAACCTAAATCAATAAAAATTAACCCTAATCATCAATTGACAAAAACTAAACTTAATCCTTAATTGACAAAAACTAAACCTAGCAACCGATGAAACCTAAACCTAAAGCAAAGGCCATGATCACATCACACAAACCTCTAAAGTGCCTAAGACAACCATAACAACGATAAGGGGAGAGATTGTGCGATTGAAAATAGTGAGAACGAGATGCAGCAAAAGTAGTGCCAAGCATAAGCTGGAAGCAATACGCAACAACAACTTAAAATAGTAATTGTGCGATTGAGAGTAGTGAGAACGAAATGCAATGAAAACAGTGCCAAATGATTGAGAGTGATAAATAGTGAAACACAAGATGAAGTCCAAAGAGATGCTTAAAGATGGTGAGTGAGAGCTGACAAAAAAATTCCAAGAGGAGATGTAGTGAAACCTAGTGAGTAAGAGTTGAACGAGGTATGTAGAGGGAGAAAGCGAAGTGGAGACATGAAGTATAAAGAAAGTTAATATGTAATTTAATGTTTTTTTCATTAAATTGTTGAATGGTTAATTAAATTGAGATTGTTAAATAGTACAAACTATAAATGATGATTTTTGAAAATATAATTTAAATTTATTTTCAAAACACATATTTAGGTTTTAAAATATGTATTTTTTAAATTTAAACTTATAACAAGTGTATTTAGTCTTTATAAATTGAATGACTTATAATTTTAATTTTAATTTTTTATGTATATAAAATTTGAAATAATTAATGTAATTCTATGTTAAAATTCGAATTTAGACTAATAAAATATTACAAACTAACTAAAAAATATTTATTATACATCTTTAAATAAAATATTATATTTTGACATTATATCATCAACTTCATAAAAAATGTTACCTATCGACGAATTAACTTTTATTAAACACATAAGTCATTAATAAATACCAGTAATAAACTAAAAGAAAAATTTCAATTTTAATAAATAAAAAACAGTTATTTGTATACAAATTGCTTATTTTTCAGAAATTAAAATTATATATAAATGAAAACAATTTACAGCTAATTAACTTAGTGAGGCGGATCCATCTAGTCACAAACACGTGTAAAGTGAAGTCAGTAGCCAATGGTGTGTTTGTCATTTCAGCTAGAATTCAGTGGTGTTTTCGGTATTTGATTTAGCGTATTTGTTTTTCTATTTCTCCTTTTGCTTAATTGAAGTCGGGGGACACTCTTGCTCGGAGAATATTATATAGGAGAGAGAAACAGCGAAGAGTGTATATGGGGAAACTTCACCATGCTACGTCAATGGCGGTTAGGGTTTCCTGTTGATCCCCAAAGCTTGATTCCCCTGCTATAGTTGTTTTCTCTGAAACCCTTCTCTCGTCCTCCAAACCCTAATTTGAACCCCAAAATTCAGTATCTCTGTTTTTTGTTGGCTTGAAATTTTTTAGTTGCTGTCTGCAATGGGCGCGCCGGAGAAATCGAAGGCCAACGCTAATTCGATGCAGGCAAGTGTGCTTTATGTGAATTGAAAGCTTTTAGGCTTTGTGCCTATTTTTAGTGGATACTATTATATATTTGTTTTGCTATTCGACGTGTTTAGAGTTCGCCTATCAATTTGTTTTACTGATGAATCGGTGAACGTAAGTGAATGTTACTGCTCGTGTATTCAGTTGGAGCGTTAGACTGTGTATAGTTAGCTACCACTCAGTTCGTGTAATGCTTTATGCAATGCTTTACTTGGTTGATATTTTTAGAGACATGAAAGGGGACGAAGTGGAGGATAGTTCTCTTGCTTGAATACGCATTTTATTTTCTATCTCGATGCTGTGATAGATTAACGTTTGTTTTGATTTTCCTCTTGATTTATTTTATTTTTTTAAATTTTAGAAAGAGTTTTTATTTTGATGTTTTATTTATTTATTATTTTTACATTATCAACCAGTGTTTATGGAGCACTGTTGAAGGGAATAAAAATAGGAGTGTCAAATAAAGTGCCAAAGATAATCGAGCTTTGAATTACAAATTTTTTAATTTTACTCTCTTAATAATTAGAAAAAATTTACGTATATTAAATGTTCTTTGTAGTTGTGCTTTAGGTCACAAACATTGATAATGCTAATGAGTTATCCAATGAGGGTGGATTTGCGGCCGTGCTTGCTCATACATTGATGATGTTAAGCAGTTATGCACATATACATTCTTCTAAAAGATAAAGGTTACTCGGAGGTGATTTGGGTTGTGCTCATACATTGTGGTTATGATTTATGAGAGAATAATCTGTTATTACCAGCCCTCCCCCCCCCCCTTGGACATTGTGTGTCACCAGTAATAGGCTGTCATAGACCCCTTGGACATTGTGTGTCACCAGTAATAGGCTGTCATAGAGCTTGGGAAATTGTTTCTATGTCATTGTCAGGAGCGATGCCCTAGTTCCCGTGCAAATCTTTTAAAATCTTTTCATGCAGTTACACTTATTGCTTGCTAAAGTACATGGTTTCTTCCTTGACCTTTTTTATACTTAAATCAAGCATTACAGTCAAGCACAAAAGGGCATGCGAATTTATTTATTTACTGTCTTGAACTTTTTCACATTTGTTTATTCTGTATACGACTTGTGTTGCATTATTGCCCTTTATTTCTTGTTGGTAATCAAGTTTTACTTTTTGCTTGGAATGATGTGGAGTGGCATGAGCAGCAATATGGACATATACTACATCAAAATTAGCTTTTGTGCTAGCCTACGCCCTGTTTTGACATTAAAAGATGCTTATTCTATTATTATATCAGATTTGGTAGTGTTGTCATGTGCTGACCATACTTATCAATCAAGTGCTATAGGGCTAGAGCAGAGTGTTGTAACACCCTGCCTCTTCTCCAAGTGCTGTAGTGTCGCTCCTGGCTGTTGTTGCACATTTTTTGCTCAAAATTGCTGTGAGTAGTGAGCGATACTGTACAGAATGCTGAAAGTCAAGCTTGGCCTTGATAACCAGCATTGTTTCAGGGATTTTTGGGAGCAAATTTGTAAAATCCCCAGCCTAAATCTATGCATTTTGTGTTCATTCTTACTGGTTTCATGTTTGTCTCCTCTATTTTTTATGGCCTAGTACCTGTAACATCTTCCTCTGTTATGCAACTTCAGTTTCTCAACTCTCCTCTGTTCCTCTGCTCTGCTTCTGCCATGTTGCAGCTGCTCACTGCGTGGTTCAAAGACCCATATATCTTCTATGTCTTGTCTTCAATCTTTGCAAATAAGAGTAAATGATTGCAAGTCAAAGACCCGTCACTCTTTCTTCTCTGTTTTTGTTTTTAGCATATATACACCCCATATAAAACTATTTAGGGTTCAAATGAGGTCCATCCTGCTATACTATTTACTATTGACTACTATTGTACTGGTCAGTTACATATTAATATTAAGCATTTATCCTTAAACATAATTGGGAGTTAGAAATTTCATAAAGTAATAAAACAATTTTTTGCACAAAAAAAGTTCAGTGATAATGATTGAGTATTTTTTAGTTTATCCATCACACCCTTTTAGAGAGAGGGAAGAACAAGTTGATGAACTGTCCATTTCAGATATGAAGTTGTACAAAAGTGACTTATTTGGAACTTTGAGATTTTATTTTCACGTTTTTCTGGGATTAATATTGTATTAACTATCATAAGCATCCACGATGAATGAATAACGTTTTAGGAAAGTTTACCAAGCTACTCAACATTTTTGTCACCTAATTTAACTTTGACGTGTTCACTGCTTGTATCTTACCTGTCCAATTTCAGCTGCTGAATGATATTGATGAAAATCTACATTTTTAGCCTTCCTCCACTAATACTACCGCCTAAGATATACAAACAGCTGCAAAAAATGCCTTTTCTCGGTTGGTGTGATCAGCTTTTGGTGTCACTGTGTTCTCTTTAAACCATGTCTTTAAAAAGTTCATTTAGATAATCTATGCCATTTAGTGGATTCATTTGATGGCATGCCATTATCATGTCGTAACTTTATAAGTTGGTAAAAGGGCCATTAGATCTAAGTTACTTCTAATGATTTCATTTGGAGTTTTTGTGGTCCTCCTCTTTCTTCATTTGGAGTGTCTATTTGTCTATCAACACCTGTTGGAAGGCTTTCTTTTCGGCAACCATATTTACAAATGTTAATAGTGGATGATGGCACTTTCTTCTTAGCAACCATATTTACAAATGTTAATAGTGCATGATGGCACCATCTTAGTTGAATTGATTCTGTTGCGATGATAAATTTAAGGTAGCCTTAGTTGGAGAGTAGAGAGAAGAAAAAAAGATTTGCAGAAAGTATTGGAAATACATGACTTTGGCCTTAGTAGAAGTGAAGTGAAGACAAAGTATATGCATTACAAGTTTAACAAGAGATGTACTAAATCTAGCCTAGAGGAAAGATCGGAGAACATACCAGTGTACAAGATCAGAAGTCACATTTTAAGTACCTTAGGTTAATCATTCAAAATGATGGGCAGATTGAGAGTGATGTCATTGTCAACAAGATCCAAGTAGGGTGGGTGAAATGGAGGAATGCTCTGTTTGTGTTGTGATAGAAAAGTACCACTCAAGCTTAGAGGAATGTTTTTTTACAGAGTTATAGGACCTGCGATGTTGTATAGGACTTAGTGCTGGATGATGAAGAGCCTAAAAGAAGGTAATCTTAATGCTGTAAAAAAGAGTGTTATGATAGATGAGTGGTTAGATTATGCAAGATAGGATTGGAAATGCAATCATTGAAGATAAAGTTTGGTAGCTCGCATTCTAGGAAAATTTGGTACAGTCTTGTCATTTATGGTTTGGGCATATGTGGAGAAGAGAAGACCCATATAAGCACCCGTGAGCAATGTTGGCAATATTGAGTTTCAATGTGTAGGATTTTATTTTGTGATTCAATGCGTTTTGGTAGCTCAAAAATTCCATGCTGTAGGTATCCTTAGTTTTATGACTTAGGACTTGTTTGTTTAAGGACCTTATGAGTTTTAATTTTAATTAAATGTTTGTTGTGATTTAGGTATAGGTTATTTTTCTTACAATCCTCCAATTCTGCACCCCCTTCCATTCCAGTGCTGTAACCCGATTTTGACAACCTCGCCAGTTAGGAGCAAAGGCCAAATGGAATGAAAATTGCAAGGGGTAGAGGAAGACTGAGAAAATTAGAGTCAAACTATTAAGGGAGATTTATAGGTTTATGGTCTATCTTTGCATGTACTATAAGACAGAAAATTATGACATCTTATGATTCAAGCAGACAACCCCCACCTAGTGAAAACATATTTAGTTTCTGTTGGATTTTAATCTGTTTTAAAATGTAGATGTATATGTAGCTAGTTTAAGGGTTTAAATCCAGAATCAATTAGGACAACATAAAAAAAAAAGCATTCTAGGCACTCTGCAAAGTCATTCTCACAACTCCAAAATCTACTTTACATGATAGGTACTTTAGAGTCCCAGTTTACCCATTGGAAATGTGACTTGGCAACATTCAAAAAAACACTTAAACTGTTAAGAGTTAGTCGAGCAGTTAGTTAATCTGCTATGAAAAGAATGAGAAAAGGTGTAATTGGTAAGATTTGGTAGCATATTTTTTGTAAGAATTCAGACTCTCCTTTCTTCAGATTCTACTGATCCAGAGGGAGAAGGTAATTAAGAGCTCTCTACTCATACCTTCCATTTCTTCTGTGGTGAGCCAGTACCTATTACAAGGACTGAAAGGCAGAAAGGATTGAATAACTTCACATTGAGGATACGTTGAAAATGATAATCCCGGTTTACAGTTGGTCTTGTTTATTAATTACTACAATCCTGGAACAAAATTTCATCTTCCTGTATTGTGTATTTTCTGTTTTTGTGTATGAATTACTACAATCCTGGGACAAAATTTCATTTTCCTGTACTGTGTATATTCTGTTTGTGTATCTTTATTATCCTTGCATTTCTTCTAATTTTACTCCTTCAAAGCTAGTGCAAGAGAAAATTGAGGCCATTCTCATTTTAGGTTTTACGTTGAAACTGTTTTTCTATTTTGATTTTCCTTGCTAATGCTACTTGGTTTACACTGCTTCCACCTGTCCCTCCATAAATATCTCTTAATGAAAAGGAAAAAATGAAAGGAAAATATGGCTCTGAATAAATGCTTCTTCACTCTGGATTTTAAGGATTCAGTCATAGGAAATTGCTATTCGACAACATTCAGCAGTTGAGCCACCTGAGCTCGCTGAATGAATATAGTTTCTGTATTTCTTTGTTACCTTGAAGTCTGACTTAATACAATATAGACATTTGTAAAAAGTTACAAAGAATGTGTTTTCAATCTTGATATCTTGAATGATTGAGGTTTTTGTATTGTTTTTTTACTCAAATATGTCTTCTTGTTGGATTTTAGCGTGTCAAGGTCTATCGTCTGAATGGTGATGGGAAATGGGATGACCAAGGCACTGGGCATGTCACTGTTGATTATTTGGAGGTTTGTACACCGGTTTTGTAAAGCTTTCACTTGTGACTATATGTATATGTGAGCAGTTCTGGATATTGTATGCTTGACTTCGACTTGATATGGTTGTGTATGTCAGAGGCTTTTTTAATTTTATATTTTATTTTAACATAATAATAATTTATAATATGTAGTTTTCTCAAGGATTGTGAATTAGGGCTTGTTTCTTTGCTGTTTCTAGAAACTGTTTTCAGGTTTTTAGTTTTTAAAAACTATAAAACTTGTTTGATTACTATTTTGTTAAAATAATTTTCAGAAATTGTTTTTGTTTTTTAGTTTTTAAAAACTATAAAATAAAAACTGATAAATGTTTTTTCTGTTTTTAGTTTTATGTTTTCACTAATTTTATGTGCATCTCTGCCTGCAACTGTGCCATATTGCTTGCTTTGTCAATTGTGAAGTTGTCAAAGTTGTTTTCCCGTTTTCATTATGACTTCTTGCTGTTGCCGTCACCATCCACCTCAGTCTAAAACAATTTTCATATTGAAGTTATTAAACAATTTTTTTTTCCTACTTATTTTCAAATACAAATTGTCAAAGTTGATTATTAAACATGTTTCTAAAACTAAATAAAAACTTAATCAAACAGGCCCTTGATGTTTACCATGTCTGATAAAATACCATTATATCTTCCTTCACCTTCATTGTACATAAGGATGCAATTTAGAGTTGACAACACAATATGGTGTTAAACAGAAATAGGTGGTTGGTTGATCTCAATTTTGTATGACAAGGAATAAAAATTGTAATATCTTATAATGCAGCGATCAGAAGATTTGGGTTTGTTTGTTTATGACGAAGAAGACAATGAGAACATACTTTTGCATCGCATCTCTCCAGATGATATTTACAGGAAACAAGAAGGTAATGACTATTAGTCTACCATTTGTTCATGATGCATATCAAGGTTCATTGTGTTCGTCAGTTTAATGGTAGACACTATTTTGTCATGTAGATACTATTATTTCATGGAGAGATCCAGAATATGCTACTGAACTGGCACTTAGCTTTCAAGTACCTGGTGGTTGCTCTTACATATGGTAGCAAATAACTATTAACTTTTAATTACTTCACATCTTTCTCTATGTTTTCTTCTTTCTGCTATAGAATTGATCTTAATTCTTATGCTTGTTTTATTCAGGGACCATATTTGCAATGTGCAAAGGAATATGCATTTTAATACTTTAAATAGTAAGTAATGAAAAATTTGAATCTTATTTTTCTTATGCATTTTAATACTTTAAATAGTAAGTGCTGCTGTGTTAAATATCAAGATTTCACCTGGCTTTGAACTTATAACATGACAAATACTAAAAAGGAGGGAGAAACGATCAATTGCCAAATTATTTTGTTTGTTGCTTTATGGACCTGGTCTCCCCGTTTTCTATGTGTTTCAGGTGAGGCATTTCACAGTGTGAACAGTGAGTCAAAGGACTTACCCACAGTGGAATTGTCAACACTTCCTTTGATTCTTAAGGTTTGAAAGTACTTGCTTCAGTTGGTTTACAACCTTCATTTATTCAAATTGAAATCCATCCATTCATGCTTTTGATTTACTGTCTGGAACCATTTTGCTGTGCCATGATTGTTAGTTTATGCAATTACCATCAACAATAGAGCAAATTGAATCCCACATTAGTAACAAGTTAAAAGAAAAATTCAAGAAATACACTCAACCCTGGATTCACTACTTATTATTTTGCTTTAGTGGTGTTCCTTATTAATTTGACTTTGAAATTTTATTAGCCGAACCTATCATACCTTCACTGAGCTCATGAAAGAAAAGGAGATAATTATCCTCCAAGGGTTTTCCTTCTACTACAATGTGCATCTACCCTATTGACAAATAAAAAAACTGAATGATTCCTTCTACCTTTGTTTCCTCTATTTATCGCTTGTTAACTTCTCTAACTAACTAACTAACAAACTATTCTAACTAACCAGCTAAATTGTCCTTCTCTTGGGGCTAATTCTGAAAGCAAATTCCAATGCTGATCATCATTGGACCAACAACCTGGTCCATAAGCCGAATTAGTGATTGTTTGACATATTGATGTTAATAAACTATCATAAACAGAAATGTTAGCCTATAATTATGCATTTTTTATAAAAAAGAACATACAAAGAAAAAAATGAGATACAAATGCAAGAATATACAAAGCCTTTTAGCATCTCTATTGATTTCAAAGCCTCTCAAAATAACATAGGAGCTTCTAAAAATGCTTGGGCCAAATCTGTTCCCCAACATCAGCAAACAAGAAACTGTTCAGCAGTACCAAAAACAATTGAGAAGCATTTTTATAAATCACTCTGGTGCTACACAAAAATCAGGCGACAAACTTGTGAGATGTGAATTTAAAGTAAATCATTGGTATTATTTTGGATTAGAACAATAGTCCAAACAAGAGATTTAACATGAGGGAGAAATTGACTTAAAATTTGGCTTATCAGAAAAGAAATAATCATTGTTGGGAGATGAAGAGATAAGCTGGAAATAAGATTTGGTTGTAAATCGCCTGAGGTGTCAAATCACGAAGTCCCCTGATCTGGATTCGATGATATATGGATAAAATTCAACTGAGTATAATATAGAGATTTCCTTATACAATTCTAAAAAATTGAAAATCTTAAGAAACAGTAGAATCAGAAGAAGAATAAAACTGAACTATAGGAGCATTGTTCACATTAGAGAGACAGACAGGTCTATGAAATGTGGAACATTTCCTACCCAAGGGGCCCTGTATAATTTGTTTAATATGGGAACCATCACCCAAACCCAAGGAAACAAAATATCTAAAACAAGCATGACGTTATGAAATGAATTTCCAGGGCTAGCATGCAATTCTTATTCAACTTGATTGGCACACCACTCATAAGAAAGCAAATCATACTTTTGGTAGCCTGATGGCTATAATTGAACAGGGACTAGGATGAATTGTCCTATAATGATAGATTTTATTTGTAATAATTATTGAAACATGTATGAAATTGATCAATAATATATTAGTATGTATGCATTATTCATGCAATTTATTTCTTACAATGTCATTTGCAAGTTAAGGTTTTGTTGCACATACATTTTCTGGATTTTTTTATGATTTTGTTACAAACACACATAAGGTGTTGCTTTTAAGATATTTCACAAAAATTTATGGTAGACATTGTCATATTTCAGTTGAATTTTAGTGCAGTGTTATCTATTATGGCATTTTTTAAAATGTTTACACTTATCTATCAAGCTTTAGTGAAGTTCATCCTTTTTTTCTGTTCACAGATGGTGGTTGATAGTAGCAACACAGATCAGTCACGGCTTGTGGAACTAATTTTAAGCGATGTAAGCTAAAATAAACCACTGTGCATACTTTATCATCATAAATTAAGCTCCTTCATTCTACATGATTTGGTAATGTCACTATAGCCATAGATCACCTAGTAATTAAAGGACTGAAATGATAAAAGATGCACTAGATAACTATTTTAAGTTATCCATAACTTCTCATTCGTCTAAGTTCCTAGTTTTTTCTCACACCTAGTTGTTAACTGCTCTTATCTGTAAATAAAATTACCATGGATTATAATTTTTTGTGTATGTTTTTATCATTTGTTGGCAGAGAAGTGTACTTTCTGATGATGTTGTTAACTATGTTTTCAGCATGTATGGTATAGTTTTTTTCTCACACCAAGTTGTTAACTGCTCTTATCTGTAAATAAATTTAGATGAAAATTACCATGGATTATAAATTTTTTGGGTATGTTTTTATCATTTGTTGGCAGAGAAGTGTACTTTCTGATGATGTTGTCAACTATGTTTTCAGCATGTATGGTACTGCGGTTTCCCGTTAGATCTCCCTTTTTAATTTATATATTCAATGCAGCAAGATTTTTTTGGGAAACTCATGGAAGTATTCAGAGTTTGTGAAGACTTGGAAAATATGGATGGCCTTCACATGATTTTCAAAATAATCAAAGGAATCAGTCAGTATTCACTTTTATGGCATTTTAATTTCAGTTCCTTTGTTGACATTTTTTTTTTTCATTTTTGATAAATGTTTGTTCTCTTGCAGTTTTGCTTAACAGTACACAAATTTTTGAGCGAATATTCAGTGATGAGTATATGATGGACATTATTGGTACCCTTGAGTGTAAGTTCATAACGCAATTTTTTTTTTCTCAAACTAGTGAAATGCGTTTTACTTTGGTGTTTAGACATTACATCCTATTGTATTTTACCCATGTGTGCATGTACATAGCGAGCAAACACTAAAAATGGGGTTTTCTTTGAATCTCTTGTTATGTCATTCAGATGATCCAAAGGTTCCCCATGTTCAGCAACACCGTAAATTCTTAAAGGAGCATGTTATTTTTAAGGAGGTATATGTTGCTATCTTATTGTTTATTCTAGTTTGGGAGAGAATCCAGGTGGTAGGTAGATCTCTAGATATGCCAGGAAATTTTACTTCTTTCTCATAATATTTACCTATTTTCTTTTGTAGGCCATACCTATACGAAACTCAAATGTATTATCTACTATACATCAGACATATAGAGTTGGTTTTCTGAAGGTTTGCTCCTTCCAAGTCTTTACTTGTTTACTCTATTTGTAATTTGGTTCTTACTTTATTTACTGGTTTTAGGATGTTGTTTTGGCTAGAGTTTTGGATGAGGCTACTGTTGCTAATCTTAACTCCATAGTACATGGAAACAATGCCATTGTAAGATTTTGATTTGTATGGAAAGAAGGCTCACATTTAATATAGTGACTGTTATATTTTGTTTTGACTCTGTTATTTTTAGGTTGTTTCTTTATTGAAGGATGACAGCACATTTATCCAAGAGTTGTTTGCTAGGTTAAAATCGCCCACAACCACTCCTGAATCAAAGAAAAATATGGTAAGCCTTTTTTGTCTCCTGTCCATGACAAGTACTAATTTACTACTTCCAGCATGACATTGCTATTTCAAAAGTTGACCTTTTCCCCTCCTGGTGGCGTAGCTTATTATTTCTGTGTGCAGTCACATTTGATGAAATTTTACTAAAAGAAGAAACGGAATTCCAGTGAGGTTATGCCAATAAATGGTTCCTGTTGTTCTCTACACTTTATTTAGGTTATTATCTATTAACTATTGGTCTTTTATTCTCCCCCTCTCGAATCTGATTTTGTTTCAAAACTTTAGAAAATATGCATTTTGTTATTTCAAGGTACCACCCCCCATAAACTGTTGTATTGATATTCCAGGTACTATTACTGATAGAGTTTGAGACAAAGATGTAAAGTATATCATAATTATTTATTTATCTGAATCCGTGACCTATTTTAATAGAGACTTGGCTAATAACTGACAACATGGCAGCTTACTGAATACAGTTCAGTTAGTTACCCTGATAGAACAATTTAGAAGTATAAAACATGTTCTGTAAAGTTGCTGTGCATTATGCTCTAACAAGTAGAGCTACAATCACATCAGGATCTCTTTCTCCTCTAGTTTTGAACTTCATATCACTGCACATGCATTAGAGCTAAACCTGGCCTAGTTTAATTGAAGTTCCGATCAGTCGTTCCACTACTTGTGCCATCCTGTTATGGAATGTCTATTAATTGCACCCTTAAATAGATGTCTTCTTTAATGAAAAACGTTAGAGTTGTGAATTGACTAGGCCTAAACCACAAAAGCTTGCTTAGAGAGTTGGATGGCACATTTCATTATTTGTAGTTCTTTGGCCCTATCATAGATGATGTGGGATCTTAACAGGAAATACTGCACAATGGCTAATTTAGTCTATTATTTTTCTCCTAAGCTTAAATGATGCAACATATTATAAGTCTTTGTGAAGGAATGCTTGTTCTGCCCTTTGTTTCTCAATTAGAACATAAACAGAGTGAAAGCTTTAATCCCTTTTTGCCATTTTAATTTTTCTTAAAAGTCATGTATAACACATTTGATTATAACAGTATGAAGTTGGAGGGAGTGTTTGGACAAATAGATTGTAGTTTGATATTACCTGAGTTTTAGCTTCACTTTCTTTCAAATGAAGCATGACTGCTTGACCTTTATTTTTATTTATGTATGAATGCAGTCCTATCTTTTATATTAAACTGCTTTAATGTTGATGCCAATTTTTTATGTTCCTGATTGACGTGCTGGTGATGCTTATGTTAAATATTTTTCCTCTCCATATGGTGGACAGGTCCATTTCTTGCATGAGTTTTGTAGTTTAAGCAAGAGTTTACAGATGGTGCAGCAGCTTCGACTTTTTCGGTATGTAGCATGTGGCGTGTTACATCTTGACACTGTGTCTGCCTGTTATGCAGTTTGTGTTCTCCAATTTTTAAAATCAGTTGCTACTGTTTGATTGCATTCTTGGTGTAATTATTTAGGCAAACTGTGGTATTCTTGTCAAGTTTGCTTTTGTTTTTCATAAGGAATAATTTGATCAAGCATGTTTAAAAGTGCTACTTCTTTCATGGGAATGGAATCTTTAATGGTGGAGTCATGAAGGCTTGTATTGGCTTTTAGTTTTTCTTACTCTATAATTTTTATTTTTAAACTATTATCATAAGTGATTACAGAAGATTTTATATCTTCAGTTTGGATTTTTTACAAAGTGTTTGCCTGGTAATTTTTTTACAACACTAAACATCTTTTGAAAAGCAACTTCCTATTTATAATTATTAAAGCCATCTCTATGGAAGCACTTTAAAGAAATTTTTATTAGGAAGCTCTCACATTTATTTTTTGACATGTAGCATAGATGCTTTATTATTCTACTTGAATTCCTGGTAGTTTATTATTTTGTTTTGGTATGTTTTCTATTTTTGGGATCTTATTAAATTTCATTGGTTCGTTGATTTTGAACATATTGTTTGTAGGGATCTGATGAATGAGGGTATCTTTGACATTATCTCTGATGTCCTCTTGCAAAGTGAAGACAAGAAGCTTGTGCTTATTGGGTAGTGATGTCTCCCTTTTTGGTTTTTACTTTTCCATCTGACATTCTTTATGATTAATTATTAAGAGGTCAATGTTGTTGTAATGGTTGCAGAACAGATATCCTCATTCTGTTCTTGAATCAGGATCCTAATCTTCTGCGGTCTTATGTTGTTCGGCAGGAGGGAATTACACTTCTTGGATTATTGGTAGGATTTTGTTTGAAAATGAAATCAAATGTTCTTTCTACATGAATGCTGGTGGAAATCAAATGACCGTGGTTTTTTTGTCTGCTTGTGTTTAATTTATGGGGGAGATGGGTTGCATGATTGCCAATACAATAGTGTAGGTCATACGTTTATCTGACCTGTGAAACCATTTACTGCCAGATGGCATGCTCCACACTTTGACTCATTTCATTGCTCAAGTGTGTGGTGGCCTGAGTCTAGCTCCAAATTGATGTAGAGCCAAGGGAAATGAACTAACAATGAAACAATAGATTCTTTTGTATACGGATGTGAATAGAGAAGAGCTTTCTGGTTGTTAGAATTATTATTAGGTAGTGGTTAGTAGTTGGTGGTTGGTGGTTGTTTTTTTTTATATATATATATATATATATATATATATATATATATATATATATATATATATATATATATATATATATATATATATATATATATATATATATGAGATCATAGAGTGGAGGAGTGCATCCCCACAAAATTATAAATCTTCTTTCAACTCTCTTAACTTGGTGTCAGAGCCAAAACCTAACATCTTTCCAGTTATTGTCTTGGGCTAAGAGTTGTCCTTTTGTTGTGGGTCAAAAGTATCTTTTGCCTGGTTTGACAAGCTTCGTTGGAGGGGGTGTGTTGAAAGTCCCACATCGCCTGCCTCATGTCATTTGGTATGATTTAAATAAATGTTAGGCTACTCCACATATTGCCAATTGGTTTTATGTTGGAACTTTAACACTGGCGTACAATGACGTCAACAAGGTTCGAACTTAGGTCCTTTATGCAAACTATCCAAACCTCCCACCACTAATGGGTTTACATAACTATGAGGTTTAATTTTTGTCTTTAGGAAAAATTAGAAGATGTAGGAAATAGGATAGGAGAGAATGGCTTTGATAAATAATTGTGTATTGTTATGAGAGGAATCATTGTGTTTGTTTTCTTAATAGAAAATAGAAGTCCGAGTTTGATGCAATGTGAAGTGCACCATATTGTCACAGTTCTGCATTTAAATTTCCCTATAAATTTTAGCTATGGGATTAAATGCGTCAGCCATATAAGCTCATGCAGTTTCTACTGCCATAGCGATGGATTTGACAACTATTTTCTGTGCTTGCTCCTCCATGAACTCAGATTCCTCCAATAAGAAAACAATATTTAGATAGCATCTGAGTAATGAGATGACAATTGAACATATTGGTCTCCATAAGGATATTAAAAGCATGTTACCATAGGGTAATGGCAATATTAGTGTTTGATATAACAGACATAGGTCCATATCATTTATGTATTTTCCTAGTCTTTGGAGATAATCCTATGTGCATAATACACATTAGGGAGTCAATTTAGCCTCTCTTATTTCAACATGATATCTAGAGTTAGATTTAATCCTTGCCTACTCGGGGAACCACGATTCATTGGTGCTAAATAATTTGTTTTTTTCTCAATTTTTTTTGCCTAAGAGTGCTCCCTCACCATGCCTCCACAATCAATGTCGCCATCTACTGCACCCCCATGCCCACATGCACCACCCCAACCTTCGCCATTGTTGTCACTTCTCGTTGTGCACGTTGGCAGGTCCATCGTCCTCTTAGGCACCAATCACTGTCGTCAAACTCGACTCTCTTGCCTCTTTTCAAATTTTTAACTTTCACTATTATCGAAGCTCATTGGAATTTTTTTTGCTTTTAGGGGTTTTTCTCTCTTGGTGATTATATTGCAATTATCTATGGCTTCTCTTAGTGCTATTATGTTTGATTTGTCCATCTTTACCTATAATGTCATTGTGCATCTATCCATTGACAAATTATATGCTACTAATTATAATACTTGGGCATCATATATTAGACTTTGACTTAGAAGTTACGGTTATGTTGATCATCTTAATAAGAGTGTGGCTACTATTGCCGAGAACGAACGTTCTCGTTTGTTGAATATTGATACTCAATTATGCATTGTACTCAAATATATTATTCAATTATTATTGAAACAAATATTTTGTGCTTAGGAGACATGTTCAGAGGTTTGGGAACATGTCAAATTGTTGCACACCGATGATACTCAACTTCAGTATGTTGTTTGTTAGAATATCTTAATATTGTTACTCCAAGAGTCTTGAAGGTGCAATGGCTAAATATTTGAGCAAAGTTCATGCTCTTCTCAATGACTTTAATGAAGTATTGCCTCCTGCCTCCACTCCTTGTCAAGAACTAGAGCATAGATCAAAATCGTGTTATTGGCATTACATGAACTTCTTGATTATTATTCATATGTCCGTGATCAAATTTTGGGTTCCCTAGTGGTTTCTACCTTTACTAACACTTGTTCTACCCTATTGCGTGTGTCAGGTAAGTCAACCATTGAAATACCTTCTTTAGTCACCATTGATGACTCTTCAACCTTGGTATCTCAATGAGATGATTGTAATCACCCTTGCAAGTCGGTTAAAGGGTGTTATGTTAATTGTTATGCTTTACATGGTCGTCTTTCTTGATTTGCTACGATTGTCGAAGTTGGTCTATCGCAACAATCTGATTTGGGTCTCAGTTCATCTGATCATTTAGGACAACCTCCCATCTACAATGAATTTTTCAAATGGTATGAGGAACGTTAGAACCTTGGTTCCATTGCTTCTGTTGCACACATAGGTACATCGTTTATTGGCCTCACTCACTCTAACTCTTTTGGCCCCTGGGTTCTAGACTCAAGTGCTATTGATCACATTGTGAGTAATACATCTTTTTTCTCTTCTTTGCCTACTTCGGGCTATTTACCTTTTGTTACCATGGCTAATGGCTCATGTGACACATGGTGTTGGTACTATTCATCTTTATCCTCATGTTGGTATCATCTACAAACATATGCACATGTTGGTTTGGTCATGGATTCTCCCTCATTCATGCTCAATTGGGTCATCCTAGTTTGCCAAATGCAGGTGCTTATTTAAAGTTTGTCTACGTTATTAAGTTTTCCTTGTGAGTTGTGTCAATTAGGAAAAAATTGTCACATTTTTTTCCCTAGAAGTGTCTCACAACGTGCTTTGTCTTCTTTTGCCTTAGTTCATTGTGACATTTGGGACCAAGTCGTAAGTCAAGTTTACGATTTCAGTGTTTTGTCACTTTTATTGATTATTATTCAAGATGTACTTAATTATTTTTTATGAGAGATCGTTTTGAGTTATTTTCCATATATTTCAATTATTTTACAATGAAATTAAAAATCAATTTGAAGTTTCTATTTGAACTTTGCGTAGTTATAGTGCCCATGAGCATCTTTCTCTTCTTTTTTTCAAAATTTTATGGCTTCTCATGACATTTTTAATCAAGCCGCATGTGTTTATACACCTCAACAAATTGAGGTGACTGAGTACAAGAATAGACATCTCATTAAAACAACCAGTACAGTTTTCTTCTATGGTGAGGTTCCTCAACGATTTTGTGGTGATAATGGTCTTAGTGCATGTTTTCTCATTAATTGTATGCCATCTCCGCTTTAAGATAACAGAATGCCTCATTCTATTTTATTTTCTCATGAGCCTCTCCATCCCTTACCACCCAGTTTTTGGGTCCACATGTTCTAATCACATTTTTGGTCTTGGTCTTGGTAAATTATTTGCTGCGTCGCATAAATATATTTTTTAAGGATTCAATAGATCACAAAAAGAGTATAAATATTTCTCTCACTCTCTTAATCGTTATTTCATTTTAGTCAATATCACCTTTAATGAGTCTTCACTCTAGATTAAGTCTAATACTTCTACTATGTCTTCATCTGATCAAGTCACTATCCATCAGAATAGTGGAACTTGGGAACTCGTTTCTTTATTACTTGGGAAGTATGTTGTTGATTGTAGGTGGATTTTTGTCATCAAAGTTGATCCTGATGGTACTATTGATCGTCTCAGAGCTTTAGCCATCTGGCTAAAGGTTATACATAAATTCTAGGTTATACATCAATGTTTGCTTATTTATAGCCATGACTGCTTTTCAATGTTGACCACTTTATCAATTGGCAGTAAAATATGCTTTTCTTAATGGTGATATTCTTAGAAGAAATATGGAGCAACCTTTGGATTTTGTTGCTCAAGAGAAGTCTTTTGAATTCGTATATGTCATCTCCGCAACTCTTTGTATGGCTTTAAGCAATCTCCTAGGACTTGGTTTGACAAATTTAACACTGTTTCTCAACAATGTAGTATGATTCGTTGTGAATCATATTATTTAGTATTTTACAGTCACTCGAGTGCTGGATGTATTTCAGTGATAGTATACATTGATGATATTGTACTTATATACAATGATCACCATAACATCTCATAGGTAAAATAACACCTTTGTCACCACTTTCAGACCAAAGACCTTGGCAAACACAAATATTTCTTGGGATTGAGGTAGCACAATCTAACAATGGAATTGTTATTTCTCAAAAGAAGTATGCATTGGATATTTTTGGAAGAAGTTAGGTTAATGAATTCAAAGTCTGCTAACACACTTATCGACCTCAATGCCAAACTTCTACCTAATTAGGAGGGTCACCCTTAGATCCTGATAAGTATAGAAAATTAGTTGAAAAATTGAACTATCTAATTGTTACTTGCCCTAACATTTCTTTTGAGTCAATTTCTTAATTTTTTGTGTAGATCATTAGGATGTTGTCATTCATATATTAAAATACATTAAAGGTTATCCTGGGAAAGGTTTGTTATATAAACATAATGATCGCACTAAGCTATATGTTATTTAGATGCTGATTGGGAATACCATCTAATAGGATATCCACTTTTGGATATGGTGCTTCATTCTCTTGGAAGAAAGAAAGAAAATGTTGTAGTAAGATCTAGTGCGGAAGCTAAATATAGAGCTATGGTCTCAATTACTTGTGAACTTATTTTGCTTAAACAATTATTGAAAGAATTGCAATTTGGAGAGGCCAACCAAATTACAGATATATGTGACAATCAAACAACTCTTTATGTTAGCTAAAATCCGGTATTGACAATCAAGCAATTCTTTATATTAGCTCAAATTCCATTTTTCATGATAGAATAGAACATATTGAGATTGATTGTTATTTTATTTGAGATAAGATTGTATAGGGAGAAATCAAGACTAATTTTATTAATTCTAATGACCAACTAGCATATGTGTTTACCAAATCATTACGGGGATCTAGAATTAATTATATTTGTAAAAAACTTGACTCATACGATTTATATGCATCGGCTTTAGGGAAGTGTTAGATGTAACGGGCTTAGACCCATATCATTTATGTATTTTCCTAATCTTTATATTTTTCTTATTTATAAAGAGATAACCCTATATGCTTAATACACATTAGGGATTTAGTTTAGCCTCTCTTATTTCAACAATTAGAAGGGGATTGAACAAAATTAAATCCCTATGAAGTATTTGATTAGTCCCTAGTCTTTTGCTTGAAATTGACTGAAGAGGTGGACTTTGAGCTGCCAGATACCATGTATGTATGGAATCATTAGTGATGATTTCATTGGAAGGAGAATGAAAGCACCAATAGGAAGGAGAATGAATGGAGAAAACAGATTAATCAGCTTCATAATTGGGCATGGAAAACTGTATTAAGCCAGAGCTAAAAGGTCTAAACCTTGATTGATGAGACTGCTTGAAACTATAGAGAGAACACTGAAGATGATAATCAAGCTGAGAGTTTTTAGAAAAAGTAGAACCCAAAGGCTGGTCTATATAAAGTTCTTGCAATTCACCACGTTATAATCATTTTTAATATCCAATTTGCCAATAAGCCTATGATGAATGGAAGCCATGATAAGAAACAGATTAAAAATTGGTTTTGGCACATTACCGATCATAGGTGTCCTGTAATGATTATTATGACCATTACGTTTAATCTTCAGAGTATGAACCTGATGGCAACCTATGATGTCTTGTTAGGTGATGAAGGTACAATTTCTCAAGTCCCACTGGAACGTAAAGATGACATTTCATCAAACATTTCTAGTTGGCAGTTGGGATTACCCATGATTTCACCTATAGACTTGGAAATAGATGCAGAATCAAAAGAGAAATAAATAGCAATTAGAGAAACGATCATTTTTAAAATACAAGTAGAGAGGAGAGGATTAGGATTGAGAGTATGGAATTTGATTGTGAAGTTTGGTTGATCAAATGGCATATGGGGAGAAGTTTCTCACCCTTGAATTGAAGAGGATCATTATGGCTAAGAAGTCTTTGGGGTGGTTTCAACCAAGTGTTGTTTCTTTGTTTCAAAAACACTATCAAAAACACTTGAACGTTACTACCTTGTGAAGTAATAGAAGATGCTGGGATGGAAATAATACCTTGTGAAATAATAGAATATGTTGGGAAGACTTGTACTAACATTATCATTGCACAAAATTTAATAGAAAAATATATTGATTTTGAATTTTTGCTGAGAAACCTTGAATTGTAAACAATTTTTATTTAGAATAACCAAGTACAATAGGAACAATCATCAATAGAAGTTACAAGAAAATTGTAGCCTGAAATTGAATGACATGACTAGGACCCAAATATCGGAGTGAACCAGGCTATGAAACATTTTCTGAAGTTGATGACTACTGGTGTGATGAGTATGTTTTCATAAGTGACATTTACATTAAGCAACTAGGGACCTTAAGACTCATTTTATGCAGACTGGAGTGAACTACTTGCTGATGTACGCATGAGTAGCAGTAGTTACTCAAGTAACAGATGGTGAAATTTTGTATAATTCTTTGCATTCATGTTCTGCTTCAATTGCCAGCCAGAAACTGAGTTATTAACAAAGCACAAAGTAATCAAGGGTCTAAGTGAGCTTGCTAATGGATATTAAATTAAAAGGACAACCAGGATAATCTATTTAGTATTCATTTAAATATTCTATCTAAATGCTCTTTGAAATTTGTTGCATCTGTTAATTGTCAATGTAAACTGCTAAACCTCCTAAATTTAAATACTTGTTAAATTGTCGATTGTTGTATTATTTATGAAAGTTTTTTAGAAGTTAAATTGAAAGTTGGACCGATATATTGACCTTTTTATAGTTCGTGATACTAGTTTGGCCTTAATAATTTATGGAAATGAACTTCTGTGCCCAATAAAAATGCGAATATGTGGATTCTGTATGGTATGTTTGTTTAATAATATTCTGTAATGTACAGGTTAGAGGCATGATAACAGATTTTGGAGATGACATGCATTGCCAGTTTCTTGAGATTCTTCGCAGTCTATTAGACTCGTGCTCATTGTCTGGGGCACAGGTTTGATTTTGTCCTTTTATCTGATTTATCAATTTTGTCTTGCTTTCTAACTGATTTTCTGCTTGACCCAAATGTGTCTAATCCAAGGATTGATCACAGTATTGACTGAAATTTCATTTTTAAGTTTTTAGAATTTATTTCAAATTTAAATTATTGTTATGAAAATTACATTATTATCTTCTCTTAGTATGCTTAGGGATGGATCTATTCACATTACTAGGAGTCCCTCCCCATTATTTTTTTTTCAAATTTAAATGTTCTAATATATATATATATAAGAGAAGAGAGAGAGAGATGAGTATTACTTCCCATCCTTACCATTAACTTTTGGTAATCTAATGATCTAATTCACTTTAAAATAAATAGTGATGAGTATTAACTTGCTTGATTTAGTTTTGTCTTTCAGTTTTTGAGATCAATTTTAAGAAACTCTTTTTTAAAATTATTTGGGAAAAAAAAAACTTGTTTGACAACTCTTTTTTTAAAACTGAAAACTGTTTTAGACGATAGAGAATGACACAGATTACCCTCAAAAGTCGTGTCAAAAGTTCTAAAATGATTTTGATAACTTCATAGTGATGAAGTTATCATGTTTTTTAGTTTTTAAATACAAAACAGTTTATAAAAACTATTTTAACAGAACAGTTATCAAACCAGATTTTAATTAAAAAACTGAAAACTGTTTTTAAAAACAGTGAATAAATGTTAACCAAGTCTGTGACTTTTACTCTTGACATTTCTAATGCCTTTGGAGAAGGGATAGTGCATCAATATTGTAAACAAAAAATATTGGTAACCTAAAATTCATTTACAGAAATACATCGAGAGTTATAATGGGTTATAGCTGAAGTATCATGGACAAAAATAAAATACAATATATACATATAGATAAATAAAAAAGTGCAAAAATATAATCATAATGCAAAAATATATACAATATATAATATACCGAATAGAAAACAATCATAAAATTTAATAATAATACAATTAATATTAAGAAAAAGTCTAAAAAATTCAAATAACAATAGATATTCGGGGGTTTGATTTTTATAGAGAATGAGTATTGAGTAGAAAGTAAAGAGAAAAAGGCAAAAAGGGAAGAGTTGATTGTTAGGCAAAAGGTCGAATGCAGAGGAGGAAGAGGTCACATGTGGCGGAGAAAGAGGTCACAGACGATGGCAGAGTTACCTGCAGCCAGTGGCTATGGTGGCTATGGTGGCTGAATTGGTTTTCCTTTTTGCGTTGCGGGGGTTCCCTGAGGTTATCTTAGTTTTTTTTTTTTTTTTTTTTTTTTTAAATTTTGGTTGGATTGTACTTTTGTCTTTATTAATCTATTGTGCTTGGTTGGGTTAAAATACTCAATGAGCTAGTTTTTGAGATTAACATAGGCAACCCAAGTTTGATGATATATAAGACTATCCTATTAGTTGTTTTGGGGCGTCTCAGGACCCTGTTATCGAGCAATTGACAGCTCAGAACATTTTAATCTTGCAAATTTCATGTTGAGATGGCTAGTTCTCGATGTGGAAGGTGTAGGAGATCCTACGTTGACCAGTCATATTGTCAAATAGTGTATATAAGTTGGAGGCAACCCTCATCCTATGAGCTTGTTTTTCAGGTTGAGTTAAATCTAAGCTCAAATTTTAAGAGTAGTCTTATGTTCCTTTTTGGGTTGCGGCTAGTTTAAGGAGGGTTAGCTGAGGTTTCTCTTTTTTAATTTTGGGTTGGCTTTGGGTTGGATTGTACTTTCGTTTTATTAAATCTCTTCGCTTGGTTGGGTTGAAATAATCATTGCGCTAGTTTTTTAGATTAACATAGGCAACCGAAGTTTGATGATATATAATATTAGTTGTTTTGGAGCTTCTCAGGACACCTGTACATTCAATTGACAGCTCAGATTATTTAATCTTGCAAATTTTATGTTTAGATGTCTGGTTCTCGCTATGAAAGGTGTGTTAAAGATGTACATTGACTGGTCATTTTGTCAAAATAGTGTATATAAGATGGTGGGAACCCTCATCCTATGAGATAGATTTTCGATTGAGTTAGATGCGAACTCAACTTTTAAGATTAGTCTTATGTTTCTCTGTTAGTAAAACTTGCCTTATATCATATTTTCATTTTGTGATAGCTTTACATTTGGAGTCAATCCACGTTTGCATATACTGGTTTAAATTTTGAATGTTGAGTTATGTTCTATAAATATTGTTGAAAGTCCCACATCGCCTACTTCATGTTATTTGGTATGGTTTAAATACATGTTAGACTACTCCACATATTGTCAATTGGTTTTATGTTGGAACCTTAATATGGTATCAAAACCAAAGCCTAATATCTTTTCGGTTATTGTCATGGGCCAAAAGTTGCCCTTTAGTTGGGTCAAAAGTACCCTTTGCCTGATCCGGCAGACTTCGTTGGAGGGGACGTATTTAAAGTCCCACATCGCCTACCTCATATCATTTGGTATGGTTTAAATACATGTTAGACTACTCCACATATTGTCAATTGGTTTTATGTTGGAACCTTAACAAATATATGTCCAGTGACTTGTTGGACAAGCTATATTGTTGAAATTAATTGTGGGGTTTGTCTCTGTTCTCTTATTTCTCATTTCAGTTTGTTTGTGCAGGTGTAAATTTTTCAAAAATGAGTTTGTGTTAATGTTTAATAATGTGTTGATTTTTTTTTTTTTTTGAGAAGCTGGTATGCTATGCGTTATGGTCTCATTCTTGGCTTATTAGATGGTTCTACTGGATTTGCTATTATTAACTTTTCAGTTTCACATGACAGAGGGATACTATTATCGACATTTTCTATGAGAAGCATCTGGATCAACTGATTGAAGTCATAACAACATCATGTTCTTCACATGTGAATAGTGAAATAATAGATTGTCGCCAAGTAAAGTATCAGAGTGGGACAAAGCCTGAGATACTATCAAACATATGTGAATTGCTATGCTTTTGTGTCCTACACCACCCGAACAGGATAAAGTATTTCCTTCTTACCATGCAGTAATCTGAATGACCTTATGTTCATCATTTAATGTGATTATGACATGCGTCTTTATTTTTTGCAGGTGCAACTTTCTTCTGAATAAAGTAATTGATAAAATTCTGTTACTGTCACGGAGAAGAGAAAAGTACCTTGTTGTTGGCGCTGTTCGGTTTGTCCGTGCTATTCTCTCACGTCATGTATGTTTAAACATTTGTGCAGATACTGTCTGTTTTGAATTTCGCCAGTGCAAATGCCAGACTGAAGATCCCCCTTCCCCAACTCTATATGTATCAACCTAATATTTGCATTCTGCCACAGGCTTGTAATTTTAGGGTTCATATGGGTCTTACACTTAGCCTTTTGTCAAGTGTGAATAAAATCCCCTTCCCCCTGATCATTACAGAATGAACCTTGATACCTGAGTATTTTAAGGTGTCTTTACTGATTTATTTCCCTTTCAGGGTAAGATATTTTGACTCGTTGCGTTAGTGATTAAGCTTTAGAATGGTCTGAAGTTATGAAATATATAGTGGAATATTGGAAATATTTTGTATGTGGAACCTGTAACTTATTTTATTCTATCTGTTATTTCCTTACATAAACTTCTATACGAACCATATTTTTGTTTAGAGTTCTCATATGCTGCTATTTGTTTTTTGCAACATCTTATTATATCACTTGTTGAGTTGTACATTTTGTCAATTGGAGCTTATTACAGTAAATTTTATTGAGAAGGGAACTAGGTATGAAATCTTGGCAGTTAGGGAGCATCTTCTTTCTTGATACTGTATAAATGCCTATACTTTTTTCATTTTAATCTGGCTATTCTCTAACCTTTTCTTTTCAAGAGTGGAGGAAGGTACCAGTTGGACAGAATGTAATTTTGGGCAATTTAGTTTACTTTGGTATAGCTGCACTGAGTTGTTTATGCTGCTAGCTTTTAATGTAATTTGTTATCACTAAATTCTTTTGTATGACTTGTTCTCATGGTATTTTTTTGAAACTCAACCTATAAGATATTTGGTTGAGTTGAGTCTTATGTGAAACTAATTATCTTGTTTTGGGACATATTACTGCTTGATACTATTTTTTTAATCCCCTTCTATGATTCTTGTTTCTTGTGAATATGGTTAACTATGTCTCTTGCAATAAATGTAACAGTTTGGAGTGTTGCCCTGCAGGATGAGCATTTGATAAATCATTTTGTTAGAAGTAATCTTCTGAAACCAATTGTAGATGCCTTTGTTGCTAATGGTAGTCGCTACAATCTTCTCAATTCAGCTGTTCTAGAACTTTTTGAATATATTCGCAAGGTATCATTCTTTCAGATGTATTCATTGTGGTATCATTGGCTCAAGCAATTTTGAACTTATAATATTGTATAATGCAGGAGAATATGAAATTATTGCTGAAGTATATAGTTGATTCTTTCTGGGATCAGTTAGTTAAATTTGAGTATTTGGTTTCCGTTCGTTCACTGAAAGTAAAATACGAGCAGGTATTTCCAATTTTTATTTACTCATACTTTACCAAGCTCACAGTTCTGACTCAAGATTATGCGCGTGCTTCAGTGTTTGGATACTGATGGGACAAAAGGGACTGCTGTTACGAATGACCTCCGAAGACGGCTTGATGAGCGTGCTCTGGAGAAAGAAGAGGAAGACTACTTTAACGAGGACAGGTATTTATCTTCTTTAGCATGTATTGTAGGAGATTTATTCTACTGGCATGGAGTCTATTGACAATTACTTCTTAATCAGTGATGAAGAGGATACAACCTCTGCATCCACTTCACATATTCAAAAAGTGAAACAACGGCAACCTGCCTTTTCCAATGGAGATGCAGCAAGCTACTCAAAGATGAGGTATACTTGTTTACTTGTTTTTTCATTGTATGTTACTAGGGTATTTAATGTGCACAATGTTATCCTATGTAAGGTAATGCATTTCTCATGATTTTCAGTTCAAGATCTGGTGGACTTGTTGACTATGATGATGATGAGGATGATGAAGACTACAGGCCACCACCAAGAAAGAAGCCAGAAGCATCTGAAGAGGATGAAGGGACAATGGAGTCTCTCAGGCTGAAAAGAAAATTGCCTTCAAAGGAGATCGAAAATATACAGAAGCAGAAGTCGTCAAAATTTTCAAAATCTAAAGATGGTGTTTTTGCTACCTTGTGTACAACATTGAGCCAGGCTGTGCTACCTAGTAAGAAATCTTCAATCAACGTTCATACTGGTCTTTGTATAGAGGACAATGAAGAGAAAGAGCAAAATGTTTCTAGAAACTGCTGTGAGAAAAGCAATGCAGCGGCTGAGGCGAACCATGTAGAGAAAGAAACTGCTGCCTGTAGAAATTCTTCTGATAGGTTGTACGGCACATCTGACAATGGACAGTTGGGTGGCGAGGAACATACAATAGTTTCACCGAAATCCTCTTCAGAGATGGCTGTTAATGGATCTTAAGTTTTTTCAAACAAGAGTCAGGCGGATTTGTGCTATTTGATCAATGGATTTGCTGGTGCAAAGTGGTTGCTGTGCCAATATGAGACAAAAGATTGCATTCTACTAAGGGGGTAAGTTCTGATTATTCGTTCTATGGAGGAATTGTGGAAATACTGTACAGTGCAAGATATTATACAGCAACTTCGATCTGCTCCTATGCTTTAGTAGGCTTTTCGGGCTTTGAGCATGGTAATTGTTGCATTTGTGTAACATTCACCAGCAATAATTCTCGTTTACCTTTCCTTCTCAACCTCATACAGCTCATTTTTCGTTTCTGCAGAGGATTCTGGGTTGGGGGTTGATCACCTTATCATTATAAAAGTTATATTAACTTATTGTTAGAGGGCGCCAATATTTGCCCTACACAGGTTTTACCTTTTTCTTCCCTCCCCAGTGTTGGTGGATGTGATATAGGGATGTGCAGTGATTTCTAGGGCCATTGTTCGCAAGTGTACTAGGAAGAAAACATGATCCGATGTAAATCTAATGGACTGTAACGTATGCATTGGACCTCCCATATAGTTCTGCCATCGCAACTGAAGTTACGTTGGTTAATTTTCGCCTAAGATCGCTTCTTAATTTCTGTATTTGGGGGTTTTCGTAATATGCCTGTCCTTATGAGGTAAAACTCTGGTGGTGGCGGCGGCGGCGGCGGCATAGCCTAAATTTTAGCATTCCCATGAAGCCCTTCATCTTTTGGCACCACTGGGGGAGTTATATGTTGAAGGACCAAATATTAATAATTTGAGACATAGAAAGCATCATTTTGAAATCAAGTAGGTTGCCCAATTGCCAAGTTTCCGGTGAAAAAATCCCTGACGATGATAATGTCTTGTTGCTCATGGTCGCTTCAAAACTTAGTAATCTATTTGGAAGAGAATTGTTTAGCGAGAAATTTATTTTTGTAGGTATTAAAATATTTCACTCTAAAATATAATTTGATGTTTTTAAAACAAATTGAAATTTTAAAGATTTATGATTGTAATTTAATTATTAAAAATTAAATAAATGTAAATTATACTTTAAAAGTAAATATTTGCATTTTCTTGTTCATGTTTTTATTGACATTTATTATGAGTTATTTCTATTAATATTATTGACATTATTTATCTATTAATGTAAGTTAAATTTATTTATTTTTTGTTGATATTTGTTAGTTTTTTTTTATTATTAATAATATAGGTGGAGTTATGTTTTTGCTGAATACAAATTAATTTTTTTTCTTGATTAATTTTTATCTTGAGGATAAATTTCATATTTAATACTTTTGTATATATTGTATAAATTTAAATTATCTCATTTAGTAAAGTATTTATGTTTTATATAACTTAAAATGAAAATAATTTAAATTATTATTAGCGAATCCAGTGCTGGAATATGCCTTGGATGAGCTGTAGCGGCGGATGCAAGCTTAGCCCCGTGTGTAAGCCCTGACCTTACTGAATTATTCTAGAAATTACATATATAGCATATCCATCAAAAACTTTATTGTTGATACTTTTTCTTATTGAAATTTATTATTTATTTTAACCATAATATCGGTTAATTATACCTTTCATTTAAAATTGAGTAATGGTTATATGAAATAAAGAATGTGTTAGTGATGTTTTTAATTTTTTATTGATCAAATGTGGGTATCGTATTATTTAGTTTAGATAAATGCGATCTTAAAATTGTAATATTCAATATTTCTTAAAAATTGAAAGTTTCATAGAGTTATTAAAGCCAAATGCTGAATTTGAAATGATAGAATACTCTACACTACGTATATTCAAACATGATTTTTTTATTAGCAAACTATGAATTTCGTATGCTCTCCAAATCTCTTAAAATTCTAACGGAGAATGTTAACATTAGTGAACCAGACAAACAAAAATAATCCTTAGATAACTTTATTCTAAGGATATTTTGTAAGAATAAACTTTTACAGTATATTTGAAAACTTGTTGAAATTGAAAAATCACGCTTGAGCTATTAAATATAACCATTAATTTTCAACTTTACGTAAAAAATGTGGAAATTTATTTATAGAAATCAAAACGCACTTTTAATATATTTAGTTTAAAATATTAGTTATATAAAATATAATTTTATTTATGTTTTTTATTGATGGAATTTTAAATAGATTCTAAGTGTTATTTTTCCTTCTAAATATCAAAAATAATTATTTTAAACGGTGATATATATATATATATATATATATATATATATATATATATATATAATATTATAATATGATATAATATAATATAATAACTAATGAAGCTAAATAATTTTGAAACAAAAAATTAAGATTTTGATAGTTTTAGATAGGAAGAGGATATAATAAGTATTTTTAATAGATGAAAAATTAAAATACTAAAATGGATTTAGGAACGGGTCGTTCGTAGGCATCATTATCTGATTAGCAGTGCAGTGGAAAACATAATAAGTGAAAGCATTCTCATAATCAAAATATTCCGAATGTCAAATCTGTTGCAAATGAGTTGCCACCACCTTCGCATTCTGATTGCCTCAGAAGAGCCACGTGTATACACGTGTTCTCCAACCCCCTGTTCTTCTCTCTCCCTCGCCCTCTATTGCTATTATTACCAACACACTCTTCCTTTTTCTTTTTGTCAAACTGAATTAGGGAGCGTTTTGATCATATTTGCAACCACGTTCGCTGTGAAGCAGCAGTAATAGTTAACATGAATCTGAACACCAGCGGTAACTTGGAGACTCGGTCTCTGCTTGATGAGCTCTGTAACTTCGACAAGAAGGGACTCTTCGATCTTGGACACCCTCTTCTCAACCGCATAGTTGAGAGCTTCGTCAAAGCTGCTGGAGTATCTATAATCTCTTCTCACTCTACCCGTTTATTTCTTTTTGTTCCTTTTGCATTATTACATGCATGTCGAACGGATTTTTCATGGCTTCTTCTTTGTGCCCTACCTTCGCTATATATAATTTTTTTTTCCCCAGATAGGAGCGGTTCAAGCTGTGTCCCGAGAGGCTTATTTCACAGCCATTGAAGGTGCAATTAATACTCCTCCTCCACTTTCTGTTGTAATTGTAAACTATAATTGTTACATTATATAAATGATACGTAGAACTGGTTATATCTTGATTTAAGATTTGTATGGCCATGTTGCGCGTATTTCTCTGCTGTCTTTGTAAATCATTTTTCATTTAGTTCTTTTGATGACTTTTTACCTTCCTCTTTTCATTGAAATGTTGTTCCAATTTTTTTGTAAACGAAAAGAATATTATAGAATGGTGACTCATTGGTGTGCATGATATGTATTCGTAGGTAACGGGGCAAATAGTAGTGGTTTGCCTTCAGAGGTTTCGAGCACAAAGAAAAATCAGTTGCCAGGTCTTAAAGGTACATTATGCCCGATTCCCGATTCATTATCCGTGGAGTTTTAATAACTATAGCATATCTCTCTTTCTGGAATGAAGTGTGGGTCCGCCGGAATATGGATATTTCAAAAGATTTGAGTTTCAAATATATGTTAACACCCAAAAAAGAAGAAGAAAAGAAAAGAAATTCTCTCCAATTCTTTTTATGTCTATCTTACCATTGTTCTACTGAATTTATTACGCTCTGTGGGGTGGAAAGCTTTAATTTGTCATAGTATTGATATTTTGTTCTTTCTTGTTTAATTTAGGAGAGACCAGTAACAAATCTCTTGAGGCAATGGTAAGTTTATAATTGTACTATATACCTCAAGTGAAAATGCAGTGTAAATCTGAGATACTTGTGATCATACTATATAATATTTTTTTCTCTGTTAATTGCGTTTTCTTCCCTCCAATCCTCAGGTGAAGAGCACGGGCAAAGAGTCCTTACAATGGGGTATTGAAATATTCCCTCTACCTAACCAGCACACCATTTGCTTATATTATATTGATGAAATGTGATTTTTCTAAATAGGGATTGCTTTTAGCTGTGTAATAAGTTAGATTAGCTAAAGGTACAAGGACAAGTTTTGTCTCAATATTTTCTATTTTCCTCTTGTTTGTGTTGTATGCCTTTTCTCCAATGAATTCGCCACTATTGCACAATTTCTTTCCCTATTTATGTAGACAGATGGACCTTAAAAAATTCTGTTGAATGCAGGAGTGGCTGCAGGATTGTATTCAGGTCTCACATATGGGTTGAAGGAAGCTCGTGGAGCTCATGACTGGGTAGTACTTTTTTTCTCTCTATTTTATGGGTTTTATATTTCATGTCTCAACTTGAATTCCTCACACTTTAGTATTTGAACATGTATTCTCTCCTGATTGTGAGTGAATGATAAAAAAATGATTTTGCATCTCACTTTTTACGGCATTTTTATTGCTCTCAGCATAGTGCTATGTGATCTAACTTGGCTTCTATTGTTCACAACATCAATTACATCGTAATCTATTATGTGCACTGTGCACCGTGCACAACAGCAATAACGTCATAAATTTTATTATATTTGATGCAGAAAAACAGCGCTGTTGCTGGAGCAATCACTGGGGCGACCCTTGCACTACTTACATTGGATGATTCCACTCATGAACAGGTTGTGCAATGTGCTATCACTGGAGCAGCTATCTCCACTGCTGCAAATCTTCTCACTGGGATTTTCTAAATGGGTTCCCTTTTGGACTTGCCTTTTGAGAGTAGTTACCTTTTTTCGTCTGAATGTGATATATGTTTAAGATGGACTTGCAAGTATTTCCTTTTGAATTTTAGTTGTCACTCACGAATATCTTGTCAAAAAATTTTAAGTTCTGGTTTTCTTTCCTTACAATTTTTTCCTTTAATGTGGTAATAATTAAAAGAATATGCTTTTTATTTTTTTTCTCAATTCAAGAAAAGAAAAAACAAAATACTATCTACTTAACATCAAAGGCACATAGCAATACATGATTTTACTGATAAACAAAGTGAACAAACAAAAATTTAATGATGCATGATACACGAAACATAGATTATTTGCTCAAGAAGATTTCACCAAATTAAGTTAACTATCCTATTTACTATGGGCAATCTAATGCCTAAAATAGTAAGATGAAGGGTAACTACGATAGCACCGTTATATTTGCCTTTAACACGTTTAACACGGTTGTTTATAAGGCCCAAGTTATTTGTCCGCCGTCTACCACTAAACTACGATCAACATAACCAAAGTTGCTGTTACCCCAAAAATAAGTATTATCATAAAACAGAGTTGTGCTTAAAGAATCGATTGCACAAGAAGGGAGAGTTGTAGGGTCAGGCCACCACCCTTTTCCTTCGATATCATCAAACATGGACAACAACTCACGTTTGGACTTCTTAGAAGGCTTCTCTAGCTCAACACTAAAACCTTCATCACTGCTATCACTGAAAATTTTTGCCACAGCAGAGACACCTTTAGAACATGATGCAGTCATGAAATAGTGCTGGACAATGACCACGTAAGGAGGCTCTTCATCGTCATCGCTTCTCTTTGCCCTTAACAACAACAAGACCCTTTCCATCAGTGACACTTCCGTATAAGAAGGAGGAGGACTTGAGTACCCCACCATGCCAAATAGGGGTTTTCCTCTCAGGAAGTTGCTGCAGGCATGTAGGTCCGTTTAGAGTAACGTTCGCTAAAATAATATCACCTTCTTCCACTCTCAGGTTCATCAGAAAATCAACTTGGCCGCTTTCAAAGCCTGATGCATGATCATGGATTGAGATGGATAACTCCTTTTTGTTTTTATTATTAGGTAATCCAAGTATGATTTTAAGTTTCATGTTGTGTAAGAATAAATAAATTGAGCAACATATAAAAAAGTAAGATTTTGTGGTTTTGGGTTGAGAGTGATTTTTATGAGTTGAACTCATGTTTTATTACTCTATTTCTCCTCCTTATAAATTTCCTCTCAAAAGTAGTAACAGAGTCGAATGTTGATCGATAATTTAATCGATGTAAGAATGAAAGAGTTGATCAACAAGAAAATATGACTCATGAGTATCCTTCTCGAAAAACTCAATAAATGATATTAGAGTCGAATATTGATCCACAGAATCAAAATGGTCTTTATATCGAATGTGATAGTTTTTCTAACAAGGGATCACGTGAAGGGATTCACATTTAAGAGGAGATTATTAGATAATCCAAGTGTAATTCTAAGTCTTATATTAAGTAAGAATGAAAGAAGTATGACTGATAATCCAAAGGCTTAAAATAAGATTTTGGGTTAAGAGTGATATGTATCTTTTCAATAAATCCTTCTCAAAAGATCCTACACTTCTTTGTTGTTCGTTTTGATCAAACCAAGTTCACAGCTTGTTATTCCAAATGAGTACTCTACAGTCCAAGTGTGCACCACTTCATGCCTTGGGCTCCTCTTGGTTTTGTGTAAGAAAACCTTAGAGAAATCGTCTAGAGAAAAACCGCTCAGAGTAATTCTACTGGTATAGTTTCCCATATACGATGAAATGGAAAGAACCTTTGTGTCTACACTCGATGTGCCACCACCCTTTCTCTCACAAATTAATCGCTATGCTATGGTCAATGTTGATACTCTGATATATAAGTTATGTGACACTGGCAAGATGTAGTTATATAACGCATGCACAATTATTTTTCTCAGAAGGAAGTGTCCATCTTCCGCTATTGTTACTTTACTTTTGGATAAAGCTTGTTATCCTAACCTTGTGAGTTCATTAGAGATACAAAGTTAGGAAGAAAACGCATCACACTCACATGTCCGAGGCCTTTATTCTCCTTGGAAGGAATCATGGTTGTGTTAGGTAAACATTAAATGCATATAGTTGAGAGGTAATGGTTATAGAGGTAGTAGTTGAGAGGTCGTAGTTGTATTGAATGTATGTAGTTGAGAGATAATGGTTATATTGAATGTATGTAGTTGAAAGATAGTAGTTGTATATTAAATGCATGTAGTTGAGAGGCCATATCCAAAGACCTATAAATTAACCATGTACCACTCATTGCAAAAACACATCAAGTGATAACATATAGAGTGATTTGTTTAGATACTTGTTTGTCAACAAATTGGCATCAGAGCTTGAGAGCCTGAGTGTCTGAGTGCGTTAAAGAGAGTGTTTGTTCGAGATGACCAACTTAGCTAACAGTATGCCCCTGCCAAAGTTATCGAAAGGTGTCAGTTATGATAACTAGAGCCTACAAATGAAGGCTCTCCTTGGTTCCCAGGAAGTATGAGATGTGGTCGAAAATGGGCACCAAGAACCAGAGAATATTGAAGAGCAGACGATTGCCCAGTTTGCTACATTGAGAGCAACACGAGTAAAGGACAAAACGGCTTTGTACGTGCTGTACCGAGCTGTTGATGAGTCCGGCTTTGAGAAGATAGCAAATGTTAAATCTTCAAAAGAAGCGTAGGATATTTTGGAGAAGACATATAAAGGGGATAATTGCGTGAAGCAAGTCAGGTTTCAAACTCTTAGAGGCGAGCTTGAAAGCAGGAGGATATGAAAGAGGTAAGGAGCAAGTCAGTCAACAAAATTGGCGTGACCGAGGACAAGGTAGAGGTCGTGGCAGTAGAAGCCGAGGTGGTCAGTCAAGCAATTCCAAAGTTGAGTGCTTCAAATGTGGGAAGTACGGTCATTTTGCTAAGGACTGCCGATTTGAGAGCAAGAAGGAAACAAATCTCCTCTCTGAGGATGCTGAGGAAGAAGGAGTATTGATGAAAAGTTCGGATGTCGAGCTAAGTCCGAGTTGTTCTGACAACTCGGTTTGGTATCTTGATACAGGAGCAAGTAACTACATGTGCGGGGACGAGAACCTTTTTAAGGAGCTCACTAAAGTTGAGGTCGGACATGTGTCATTTGGAGATGCATCAAAGGTGGCGGTAAAAGGTAGATGTACAATCTGGTACCTGCAGAAGAATAGCCGAGTTGGAGAAATCAGAGACGTGTACTATGTACCTGATCTCAAAAGCAACATATTGAGCATGAGCCAGCTGATGGAGAAAGGCTACTCGGTTCTGATGAAAGACCGAGTACTATACCTGAAGGACAAGTCAGATCGTTTTATTGCCCGAGTATAAATGAAAAAGAATAGAATGTACAAGCTGAACTTGAAGATAGTCCAAGAGAGGTGCTTGAAACTTGACGTGAAGGATAAAACAATGATGTGACACTTTCGGTTTGACCACTTGTATTTTGACGGGCTGACCGAGTTGGTAAAGAAAGAGATGGTGCGAAGACTCCCGTCTATAGAATTTGAAAAGAAATTTTGTGAAGAGTGTGTGCTCGGGAAGCATCCGAGGACCTCATTTTCGAGGACGACCGAGTACTGTGCAAAGGAACAACTCGGATTGATTCACACAGATCTTTGTGGACCGGTTACCCCTGAGTCCTTCAGTGGGAAAATATATTTCATTTCTTTTATAGATGAATTTTCAAGAAAAACCTGGGTATATTTTTTGAAGGAAAAATCCGAGGTGTTTGAGGTGGTCAAGATATTTAAAGCAATGGTTGAGAAAGAGACTGACATGCCTATCAAATCTGTTAGGTCTGATCGAGGAGGCGAGTTCATTTCATCCAAACTCATGAAGTATTACGAGGAACAAGGGATAAGGAGATTTATGACAGCATCATACTCACCCCAACAAAACGGAGTTTCCGAGAGGAAGAATCGAACCATTCTTGACATGGTTCGAACAATGTTGAAAAGCAAAAACGTGTCAAAGGAGTTCTGGGCAGAAGCAGTGCAATGTGTCATCTATGTGCAAAATAGATGTCCACATGCTAAGCTGAACGAGAAGACACCGTAAGAAGTCTGGAGTGGAAGAAAATCGAGTGTGTCTCACCTTAAAGTGTTCGGTAGCATAGCTTATGGTCATGTTCCAGCTCAACAGAGGACCAAGCTCGAAGATAGAAGCAAAAAGTACATGTTTATTGGGTATGATGAAAAAACCAAGGCGTACAGGTTGTTTAACCCAATAACTAAGAAGGTCATTATGAACCGAGATGTTCAAATTGATGAAGAAAGCGAGTGGAGTTGGAACAATCCGGAGAAGGAGTCCATAGGAAGTAGAAGCTCGGAAGTTGATACACCACATACTGTGAGAGATCATGAGACTTCCGATGAAGAAGATGAACCTCTACAACCCAGAGCGCGAAGTTTACAAGATATATACAACTCCACTGACGAAGTGCATGTTGTATGTCTCTTGGAAGATTCAGAAGACTTAAGTTTTGAAGAGGTCGTGCAGGAGAAAAGGTGGAAAAAAGCAATGGACGAGGAGATCGGGGCAATAGAACGTAACAACACATGGGAGCTGACTGATTTTCCCAAAGGAGTGCGACCTATTGGCGTAAAGTGGGTGTACAAGAAGAAGACAAATGCTGAAGAAGAAGTTAAGCGATATAAAGCTCGACTCGTAATGAAGGGGTACAAGCAGAAGGAAGGAATAGACTATGACGAAGTATTCGCCCCAGTGACGAGAATGGAAACAATTAGGCTGCTGATTTCCTTAGCAGCTCAACACAGATGGACAATCTTGCAGATGGACGTGAAGTCGGCATTTCTAAATGAAATCTTGGAGGAGGAAGTATATGTTGAATAACCACTCGGATACATGCGAAGAGGCGAAGAGAAGAAAGTGCTGAGATTGAAGAAGACATTTTATGGCTTGAAACAAGCTCCACGAGCAAGGAACGAAAGAATTGACACTTACTTCAAAAGGAATGGATATGAGCAGTGTCCTTATGAACATGCTCTATACATAAAGAAGAAAGGAGAAGATATAATGTTTGTTACCTTATATGTTGATGACCTTATCTTCATGGGGAATAATGCCGAGATGATTGAAGAGTTTAAAGAAGTGATGAAGAAGGAGTTTGAGATAACTGACTTGGGTCTTATGAAGTATTTCCTTGGTTTAGAAGTTGTTCAAGGAAAGAATGAAATCTTTGTGTCGCAGGAAAGGTATGCTGAGGAGATCTTGAAGAAGTTTAAGATGACAAGTTGCAACCCGGTTTCCAACCCTATGGAACTTGGTACAAAACTTTCTAAGTATGCAGATGGAGACCGAGTTGATGCGAGCAAATACCGAAGTCTGATTGGAAGTCTTAGGTATCTTACAAATACCAGACCAGATTTAATGCTAAGTGTTGAAATAGCAAGTCGATATATGGAGGAGTCAAGGTATACTCATTGGAAGACACTAAAGAGAATTCTAAGGTATATGAGAGAAACAGTGTCACTTGACCTAATGTATACTAAGACGGATGATTATCGACTAGTAGACTACTCGGATAGTGACTGATGTGGAGATGTTGATGACCGGAAAAACACATCTGGATATGTATTCTTCATGGGAAACACATCATTCACCTGACTTTCAAAAAAACAGCCCATTGTAACGTTGTCAACTTGTGAAGTCGAGTACGTTGCAGCATCCTGGAGTGTCTGTCATGCAGTTTGACTTAGAAACCTTCTAAGCAAGCTGGAGTTGAGAAAAAGGGACTGTGATTTGAGTTGATAACAAGTCGGTCATTGAATTGACAAAGAACCCGGTCAATCATGAGAGAAGCAAGCATATTGATGTTCGGTTTCACTTTATCCGAGAACAAGTGAAAGAAGAAAATGTGGAGTTAGAACACGTCGGAACCCGAGCACAAGCTGTAGATATGTTCACGAAACCACTGTCAACCACTCTGTTCGATAACAGCAAGAAGATACTTGGAATGAAGGACAAGAAAAACATTTAAGTTTACGGGGGGATTTTGTTAGGTAAACATCAAATGCATATAATTGAGAGGTAGTGGTTATAGAGGTAGTAGTTAAGAGGTAGTAGTTGTATTGAATGTATGTAGTTGAGAGATAATGATTATATTGAATGTATGAATAGTTGAAAGGTAGTAGTTGTATTAAATGCATGTAGTTAAGATGTCATATCCAAAGGCCTATAAATTGACCATGTACCACTCATTACAAAAACACATAAAGTGATAACATATAAAATGATTTGATTTGTTTAAATATTTGTTTGTCAACGGGATGTCAATCCTTCGCAATGGTTTGTTTTGAATGGTTCTTTAAATATTTATAATTAAGAACGTTTGATTAATAAAAAAATATCACAGAGATAACGGGTTCTCAATCCTTCGCAATGGTTTCTTTTGAATGGTTCTTTTAATATTTACAATTAAGAACGTTTGATTAACAAGGAAATATCACAGAGATAATTTTATTCTTTTTTAGAGATGCACTTCTATAATACCAAGGATTCTAGAGTGCAGCATCAGGCTACAGCAATGGTTACTTTTGTTGCTTCTTCTGAGTGAACGTTAAATAACTTCTTTACAAATAATTTATATGAAATGATTAAAGTTTTCCCACTCGGAATATATGCGATAATATATATAGATTGTGACGCATAAGCACGTTACGTCATCAACATGTCTAGGCTTATTGGCTGTGTCTCTGGTGCACGATTAGGAAAATGATTATTGAAGGATCATCACTTTTAATAATCTATTATTACATTATCAAAAGTGTTATCAATGATGTATATTTCACATTTGTTTACATTTAAAATAGCTGCTTTACTTAATTTCTAAATTAAATAATAGTTTTGATTAATGACCCCTACAGATTTTCATTGGCTCTATTTGCAGTTTTGAAGGTGGAAGAAATACTAGAGGATGATGAAAAGGAAATAAATTAACTGGTGAAATTTATATAAAGGTAATTATTTTAGTTGTTCTCTTTTTTTATTACTGTTTGTGGATTGTTCCTTACATATTTAAACACATGTTATTCTAGACAACATTTTTAGCTCAATAGTAAAAAAAGTATGATATGTTTTACATAACTCTATTTTACTCTTTTTTAAGTTGATAATTCATTCACTGTTTTAATTTTTTTTCCCTTCACCTAACTTCAAATTTAAGTTATTTCCAGTGTTCAAAATTATCATGTTAAACAGTTTGGTTGTATTTATTGAAAACGGTTAATAAGACACGTAAAAATTGAAAAATTAATCAATAATATAAAATTATTAGTCAAAGTTATTAAGCACTCAAACTAATTTATTTAATTTTAAATATTTGATTAAATTGGAAGTATAGTGATAAAATCTTGATATTTTTATTTAAAGATAAATTATTTCAATTAAGTTTTCAGTTTCAATAAATTATGTAGTTTTTATAAATAATAGTTTTTTTTTCCTTATGTAACAAAAAAGATAAATAATAAATTTATTAAAAATATATTAAAACAAGGAATTATCAATTTAACATATTTGCAACTCTGAATTATAAGAGTATAATAGAATACAAAACTACTTTTAACTATTTGAACTGAAAGTATTGATTAACATGATATAAGATGTGTTGAAACATGTAGATCTTATAGGAAAGGACACCAAAAAAATTGTCATTAATTTTTATTCCTGTGGTGTTGTATAAGTGCATCTGTGGAAGAAATGTGAGTGACTCAAAGTATCAATATTCACCATTGTGATTCATTTATATATTGAGTGTAGAAGAGAGACAAAAAGGTTCCATTCCATCATGGGAAACACTCACACCAGCAATTACTCTGAGTGGTTTCCTTTGGACGATTCATCAGCGATTCTCATTCGCAAAACCAAGTTCGGGAGAGGGGTGGAAACTTGGACTGCGGAGTACAACACATTTGGAAGGAGAAACTGCGAACTTGAGTTGACCAAAACCAACGGTGATTACAGGCATGAGCAAGACTTAACCATCTCAATCCACGACCACGCATCAGATCATGCAAAGGACTACACTGATTTTCAGATGAAAGTGAGCGTGAAAAATGATCTTCTCTTGGGAGATATTAGTGTTGACGGACCTGCAAGCATGCTGCGTCTTCCCCAGTGCAAAATCCCGAATGCGCAAGGTGGGGTTCTCAAGTCCTCCTCCTTCTTATACGGAAGTGACACTGACCGAAAGGGTCTTCTCGTCATGTCAAGGGCAAGAACACATGATGACGATAAAGAGCTTCCTTACATGATCACTGTGAAACACTATTTTCTTGATGTGTGTTGTTCTCATGGTGCCTCTCTTGAGGCAAAGGTTCGAAGTAATAGTGGTGATGGAGGCTTGAGCGTTGAGATTGAAAAGCCTTCTAAGCATCCAAAGCGTGAGTTGCTGAAGATATTTGATGATGTCAAAGGAAACGGGTGGTGGCCTGATCCCAGTAGTTCTGATTGGGCAATGGACAAGAATCCTGCAAACCCTAATCCTTTTCCTTCCTATATCATGAGAGGCCTCATCGGCAATGGTGGGTACGTTAAAGGCAATGGTAACGGTTCTATTAACATAGTTCACAAGCACTATTACGGTTCAGGAAGGAAAAAGAAAACGTTTGAGCCCTTTGGGAAACAGTAAAACGTACTTTGAGATTGTATATCTATAGTAAGGTGATGATTACGTTTTCTTAGGAAAGGCTTCTTGAGCAAGTAATGCATGTTCTCTGTGTGATGTAGAATTCTGATTGTTAACTTCGCTAAACCTTTTTCTAGAGTGTTTGCTTTAGCAATCTTTTTAGTTACTGAATAAATATTACTTCTTATGCCTATTAATTTGATTGGCAGAAGAGAAAAGAGAAGTGTGCAGTTCTGTTAATACTGAATTATCAAAACCTACTAAATCTGAATTTAATTCTGATACATAGTGAAATAGCATAGTTCTTATGCTATTCATTTTTTGAATATATATACAAGTGAATCTATGTAAAATGTACATGGACGCAGGGTCTCCTTGGCCATTGCTGGTTTATTGTAGTTGATTGGACATGGATGGACTTGGTTTTGATCATACACAAAAATAAAAGGAATATAATTGAAATCTGGTTTTGGCATGTAGATAAAATATTCATATCTTTTTTTTCTCGATCAAGAAGAATATTTATCTATTAAAACAGGAGCATCGATCAATCAACTTCATATTAATTTGAACGACATAAAAGGAACAAACTTCAAATAGCATTTTGTCAGTACATACTTCCTATAGATAAAATCCATATTCTTCTATCAAATGGAAAAGAATATTTGTCCATAAAAAAAAGCATTTATTCTCTATTATCATTATCATGATAAGAAAGAGCATCTAACCTTATCCGAATAATATCTAATCTGTTCAAAAATATATATAATAAATACAAAATTTGTTAAAATTTATGTAAAAATAATTAAATCTTTTTTTACACCATCTTATTTATCCACATCAAAACACCATCTTGTGAACAAAATTATCGATACCATTTTATGCGAAAACAGTTTACTTTTGTTTACATTGATAATGAATTAAAAATAATTTTTAAGATAATTATCATGAAAGAAAGTAAATTATCATACATAAATATATTTTTATATAGCAAAATATGTATTACAAGTGAAACCGACTAACTCGATTAGCTTCAGACATGCTAAGTTTGCTGAAATAGTTGCAAATTCATTTAACATTATAATATAAAATTATCATACATATAATTTTAATACACAAAACCATTTTTTTTAATTATTATTGTTTATAAAACATATTTTAAATCCTAAAATAAAATATACACACACACACACACACACACACACATATATATATATATATATATATATATATATATATATATATATACTGACATGTACACAATAATCTATTTCTTCATTTTTATCCTAAATTCTTATTTAAAATATTATGCATTGTTTTAAATTTAATTATTATTTATAATCCTATTTTTAAAGTAACTAATTTGAAAAATAAATTTGAGAATAAGTAATTAGTTAAGCCACTTCTGTGATCCTAAGTTGTTAACATTTCATTAATTTAGTTTCTATATTATTTACAAGCTTCAATTAAGTCTTTTCATTTTTTAAATTGGTATAAATTCAGTTTTTTCCAGTAATTAGTATAACTCAAAAAATTTCAGTAATTTTAAAATTAAAGGACTTAATTTAAACTTTTAATAATATATAACTGTGTGTGACGTTCCTAAAAACTCAGAAGCAAGTAATGTTTATTATATAAGGTTAAGTTAACGGTTGATTCTTGTTCAAGTTTCATTTAAATACACATATTATATATCAAGTTTAAAACTAATGGTAACCTATTTGATAAAGTGAGAGTGTTTTTTTTTTTTAATTATTTACAAGTATTATCTTAAAAAAGAGTCAATTACATACCACCTCTTTTTTCATGGTTCATATTATATATGTAAATTGAATAATAACAATATAATCTGTAAAGTATCATACACTATCTCTGAAATAACCCACACAATCTCAGTTTTTGAGTGTAGGATGGTTCTCTTGTGATGGTAGGGTCTCTTTCTTATCTTGAAGGTGGCTCTTTAACATATATCCCATGCTTTCTTCTAACGCTACGAAGCTTTAGATACAGCAGGTTCACCTATAAATGAACCCTAGTGCAATGCCGGGATCATATAACTGTGAGTACGTGAATCTAACAAATACACACATATATACTGTCCTATTATATATATACATATATATTTGTATACTTATCATCTCCAAGCAATGGAAGGCCAAAATAGTTATCTTATGAGACTTAACTGTGGCGGTCCTCCGCTGCAAGTGTACGACTTCAAGACGCCGAAATACCTCGACCGTGAAGAACCGGGCGTGTTCTGTGTGAGAAGGTGCATCAAATTCAGTGTGGGTAAGCGAGTGTGTGCTTTCAACATAACTGAAAAAAGCAAAGAGGATCGTGTATACTCAGTAAATATCGACGTGACGGAACAATCCGGTAAGGGTTCTTATGCCAAAACGAGCATGTGGTTCGGAATGAATAATAGGTACGATATTTTGTGTAGCGTGCGTAGTATGTTATCTGGTTCATATGAATTGTTTAGGCAGAATTATAGCGTGCCAACTCTGCCAGACATAGAAAGTACGGGTTTCTTCTGTTCCATGAGCGGTTACGGAAGTTATTTCACTCTGGAAAAGAAGAAGTTGGAAAAGAGCGAAGTGGTGGAGAGAGTGAAGAGTACACACGACTTCCTGGTTGGCGGTGACGAAACGGTGAACGTGAAAGTGAAGATAACAAACGACAAAAAAGTAGGGTTGCGTGTGGAGGTGGAGCGGCCAGTGAAGCTAACATTGGATTACTCGTGTCGTGTGTTTGAAAAAATGGAGGAGAAGATGGAAGATGAAATACAGAAGAATATGTTGTCGTTCTTAAGAAATGCCACTGCGGAGCTTCCACCTGACGAGTCCCCCACTGACCCTTTCTCGCTCTACTATTCCCAAAGCGGTAGGGTTAGGCATAAAGAAAGTCTCTTCCATGGTCATGAAAGAAATAATCAGTTTTAAAAAAATTATTAATTTATTTATTTAAATAGACTTGATTATTAATTATATTAATGTTATTTTTTATATTGTTTTTATTTACTTATTTTACTATTTCTTCTAATTAAAACTACTATATTAATATTAAAGTTTAATAAATTTATATTAATGTAATTTTTTAAAATCAACTTAAAAATAAAATAAAATATTAATTAATTATTTAAAATTATGATAATAATAATAAAATTTATTTATTATGACAATAAATAATTTTATTTATGATAATTTAAATAATTAATTTTAAATTATTTTATCATAATAAATTAATTATTCATCTAATTAAAAAAATATTAATTATTTATGAATTAAATATATTTTTTATTTAATAATTCAATCTAAGTTAAGTTACGATGATCAGTCATATTCAGGAATTTTAATTTTTTTATTAAAAAAGTTATTTTATATATCTCACATTTATAATATAATATTTTTTAAAATAATATATTAAATTATAATAATTTTAGACAATTTAAATATTTATTTTTTTAAATAATAAAAAATTTATTTTATTCCATTTCAAAAAAGTAAGAATAATAAGAAGTGAACGAGAAAAAAAAACAAAGAATAATCTTATGAAGAAAAAAATTTCAAAAACAGTTAAGAGTTTCTATTATTAAATTTTGTAAATAAACGTATTTAATTGAGTAAATAAACTTATAAATATATTTTATTCAAATAATTTTATTTTTAAATATATTATTTATGAGATTAATTTTCCTATTACAACAAAAATAACAAAAATAATAATTTTGGGTGGTTATTGCTGGACAATAATATCATCTAATGTTAACTAGTAACAGTAATATATAGTATCATCTAATGTTATTTTGGATGTTTTATGATTAATAATAATAAAGTTTAATTAATATGCTTATTCCTTATAAAATCAGTTATTAATTATTTCTTAATTTAGTCCCTATATCTTTGATATGGGATAATTATGTTTTGGCTTTCTATTTTTTTAACTTATCTTGAAAAGTCAATTACTTTGTATTTTATTGTAAAAAAATGTGATTTTATTAAATTTTATACTTAAATATATTTGATATTAAATATTTTTATTGTCACACCATTCATATAAGTACTAAATTTATATATATTTTTAGTTTAAGAACTAATTAATCAACTATTAAATTATAGAAAGTAAAACTAAAATTTCATGGAATATATATATATATATATATATATATATATATATATATATATATATATATATATATATATATATATATATATATATATATATATATTTCATCCTTGAAATTTTGTTCTTGCTCCCTACTACCAATGTCATTCATTCGTTAGCAATTTATTTGCACTAGTAAACAAACGTTTCTTAAATTATATTATTTTGACTTAAATTATGTTATTTTGACTTTTTAATGTTTGATTAAACTCTACGTCAGAGTAATTAATCATGTAAAAATTTCAAAATTTACGTCGTTTATAACGAACGTAAATTTCATATTTTAAAATGATTCATTTTTTCTCCTTTAATAATTACCTTATGAAATTTATAATTGGTTACTACTCTTCTTAATTTAATACTGGAGGAGCAACTTCTTTTTTCTTTCCTCTTTTTAGCTTTTCTTTCTTGTTGATTTTTTTTTATATTTTTTTGGTATTTTTTTCTTCTCCTGCCCTTATGTCTTTTTGAGTTCCTCAAGTTGTTTCTCTTATGCTTTGAGTCTCTCTAGATATTCAACACAGTTTATACACTATCCTAATTAAAATTCTTAAAAATAACAATGATTTTAATTAAAAAAAATAGTGACATAGAATACTAACATTAATCACATAATTAATGTCTAAATATTTCAATTTAACAAGAAAAATGTTTAGAATCACCCATAGTTAATGATGGTGTCACTGTTATTTACCATGAACAAAAAAACGCTCAAAAAACTTATATAGTGGTTATTATCATATTTACGCAACAAAAAACTCTTACATGTGTGAGAAAAATGATCATCGAAAGATATATAAAATGAGTCTCTAGTAAAAAGTTAAATATACGTCAAATATATATTATAAAACTAATCTATTATTATTTATAATTTAAAAGTAAAGTTGTTATATCATGAATGTTTCAAAAATTGAAAACGGGATGGAAGATATAATAATATTATAGTATATAGGTAAAATAATTAATTCAATCTTATATATAAAATCGACTAGATAAAATAAGGATTGTACTAACTTATATATTACAATATTAATGTCTAAGATTTCCTTTCAAATATGGAATTACTACTTCCTAATATTTAATGTGTGACTACTACATAAGTTGTGAAAGAACATATACAAAATATGTCAATTCAAGTTGAGTAAAATACAAATAAATCAACCATCCAATCAAACATGTGTATTGATTAAGATTAGAAAGAAATTCACAATTTTTGCTCAAAATAGTTTAATTTTCCTAATTATGTCTAAAACATGTTTTCTTTGACATAAGAAAATGTAGTCGCTCATCTAGCCACTTCTATCCCTAAAAATATTTCAATTTTCATAAATCTTTTATTTGAAAATATTTGCTCAAGTAATCTATGAATCATTAGATATAACTTCATGATTGTTTCTACATATGATTAGATCATCAACATAAATTAAGATATTAAGTTGTACTAAATTGTTCAATAGAATTAATAAAGAATAAATAGAAAGAGTTTATTAAAATTTATATTGTTTCAAGAGACTGATCAATTTGACAAACCGACATCTAGGGACTTGTTCAAATCATATAGAAAGTTTTGAAGATGACATACTTGGTTTGAAGTATGAGAGTGAAAGCCTGGGGCAACTTCATATATATTTCTTCTTTAAAATCACCATGCAAGAAAGTGTTATGCACATCTATTTAGTAAAATTCCCAATTTTTGGATACAACAACGACTAATAAAATCCAAACTACAACCATCTTGAGTGTTAGGACAAATGTCTCTTTAAAATCAAAACCTTCAACTTGATGATTCTCAAGTGTGACTAGTCAAGTTTTAAATTGTTTTATAGTTTCGTTTGAATTGTAATTAATCTTATATACTCATTTGTCTCTCAATGTATTCTTATTTTTTGGTAGAAGATACATTGTTCAGGTTTTATTATCTTTAAATGCTTATATTTTTTGTCTCATGACTAAGAATCATCTACCATCTTTGTTGTTTCTGAATAGTTTGTTGACTCTCTCTCGGTAATTATTGCTACAATGAACCTGCGATGCTTCAAATAAAATTTATCACAACTTACATAATTGTTATGAGAGATGACTCATTTGAATTATAATGTGGAGTGAAAGAATAACTAGATCTACAAGGAACCTGTGATGCTTCAAGTAAAATTTATCACAACTTATATAATTGTTATGGAATATGACTCACCTGAATTATAATGTGAAGTGAAAGAATAACTAGATAAACTTTTTACTTCAACTGAATTAGTTTCATCCTGTCAAAGTCTTACAAAGAAAATTTTAAGACGTTTTCTCCGTCAAATATGTTTATTGTTTTCTATTTCATTTTAAGGATGAAGTTTATTTTTAAAAATTTTCATGTGTTGTCTCATCTTTTGCAAATATAAAATAATTAATAACACAATTTTCAATACTATCATCTTCGATATTAACATCAAACATCATCTTAGTAGAAACAATCTCATTACTAGTGGGTTATTCAAAAGGAAATTTATTTTCAAAAAAATTTGATATCTCATTACACATAATACTTTCAATCTCCACAAACACATATTTCTTATTACAACTAGTAAGCTTATCTTCTTTCCTCTCTTGATTATGAGCATAAGACAAAGAACCAAACAAACTTAAGCAATTATTTGAAGATGATTGCTCATTTAACATATCATAAGGAGTTTTTCCATCTTACAAATGTGTTGATGTTCTATTTATTAGATACTCAGCTGTTAAGATACATTCAACCCAAAAAGAGATAAAAAGATTATCTTGAAATTTTAAAGTATGTGCTATAGATGTGTCCGTGTTTCTTTTCAATTCAATCATTTTGTTGAAGTGACTTGTACAAGATGTTTGAAAAATAATGTCAAGTTCAATAAACTTTGTTATAAAGCCTGGAAACTCAATTCCATTATCACTTTAAATTATCTTAAATTTGTTTTTCATATTATCTTTTTACCAAAGCAACCAAATTTAATAGGACTCTAGAGACTTTCCCTTGATCGAGTAAAAGATAAATCCAAATAGCACGTAAATAATCACTAACTATAATTAAAAAGTAAGATGCATCGTAAAATGACAGAATTAGATAAAATCCCTAAAAATCACAATAGATCTATTCAAAATTACTAGTAACTTTATATAACATATATTTAATAAATCGAGTCATATAATTTGATTTATTCAATATTTAGATACAAATATTAAACTACATTGTAGTCTAACTATGTATAACATTGTTAAGTTTTATCCCTTCTTCAATGGTTATACATCATTCTTTAGTTGCTACAAATTATTGTCTATAAGCCATTCTCACATGACATTATTCTTATACATTTTTCAATTTTTAAAAGAATTTCAAATTTTTTATTATTTGGAACTTCCTTTATCAATAATTCATGTTTCCTCTTATATTTATATATACTATGTATAGGAGATTTTTTTTTCTTTTAATCGCTTTTATTATTATAAAACAATATTATCATTATTAAATAAATATAATTATTTTTATTATATTATTTATGAAGAAGGGAAAGATATAGAAAAAAATTATTATGATACTACGTCTAAAAAAGATAAAAAAATTCTGATACATAAAAAAATAGAATAAAATAAAATAAAATTTTAAAAATAATTATTTAAAAAAGTAATAATATAAAAAATATACACATATATCCGTCCGCTGTGTTTCCACTTTTAGCTTATATATTTAGCATCTCAAATGATTGATTTTCTATGCAAAGTAACTGGAAACACATATTATAGATGAAATAAATGATTCAACCAAAGAAGTATTTATCCGGAAAAAGAACATCAGTGAGTATAATAATCTGATAATTTTATTGTCTCTTTCGTTGCCTTGTTGGTGGCTCTTTAACATATATGCTTTGCTTGCTCATAACGCAATTCGAATCTTTATGTAGGTTCAGCACTTTCATCTATAAATAGCCCTGCTGATTAATTGTGAGGACTTGAAATACAGCAAAGATAGTCATTTACTATATAATCACTTCAGAGATTATTCAAATCACAATGTGAACGGACTCACGCTCACCCGTCATACAAGACACTTGTAATTGTCAAGTTTAGGTTAGATCACTCACAATCACAATAACTCTCTATTCTTCTCCTTTTAACTTTGCCTTTCTTTTCTGAGACTGTCTGAAATTTTGCAGGTACATCTCAGAATTCATCAGAGACTGAACCTCTGCCACTCGAGACTTTTTCCTGCAATTTCTCCAATGCAAGAAAATAGGTGTTTTGTTAGTCCTAAGTCTCACCCTATCTACATAGAAGAACAGAAATACACTGACGCTCGAAAGGGTGATGCTCTACTAGTAGAAGCAACGGAGAAGCGCAGTTTTAAGATTGCACTTAACTCCGTTGGTCCTCCGGTGGTAGTGAACACGATAAAGCAGAAATTCCATGACGGAGAAACGAGCATGTTCTATGCAATTCAAAGGTGGATCTCATACACGGTGGGTAAGCGACTTTTTTACTTGAAGATAACTGAGAATTGCAAAGCTGGTCTTGTATACTCGGTATACATCGATCTCGGGGAAAAATCTGGAACGGGTTCTTCTGCTCATTTCAACCTCAAGTTCATAGGAAACGACAGGTACGGTGTTCTGTGTGACATGGACTACAATTTCTTTGGCTCGTCACCGTACGATACGCGTAAGAAGAGTTATTGCGTGCCACCTTTGGCAGAGACGGAGCTTGTGTGCTACACGTGGCGTGAGACGGGTGATGCAAGCTGTTTCACTCTGGAAAAGAAGAGGGGCGAGAGTGAGGTGGTGGAGAGGGTGAAGGCGGCACACAACTTTGCCGTTGGGCACGAAACTGTGGATGTGACGGTGGAAATAAGAAAGGACAGAAGAGGAGGGTTGAGTGTGGAGGTTGAAGGGCCTCTGAAGCTTACTGTGGAGCATGCGGATCGTGTGTGGGGCGAAATCAAGGAGAAAATGGAAAGTAAAATGGTGGAAAGTGAGATCTGGTTTCACAGATTCGCCTCCGGTGTACCACCTCCGACTAGTGACGACAGTGGTAGGATCTCCATATCCATTGATAGACTGGCTCTTACCTACTATCCCACTGGTTCTAACACGCAATTGTTACAAACTCCAAGATAGAATAACCGATGTTTTTTTTTTTTTTTTTTTTTAGAAAAAAAGAAAAATTAAAATTACCTACGTGAATAAATTTTTAAAAAAATTACAAATCTGATTAAGTCCCGTTACAAAACACAACTTCAAAATATAAAATAACAAGACTTCAATTTTTTTTTTTATAGATTTATAAATAATTCGTATGATTTTTTTATATATATTTATATAAAAATGGTACTACGTAGATTCTTATTATTATATTATAATAATTATTATTATATTATTTTATATTAATAATATTAAATTAATAATATTATTATTAATAATAATAAAATAATATAATTATAGCTATTAATATTATTATTATATTATTGGTTATATTAATAATATAAATATTTTTATTATTATTTATAATAATAATAATTATATTATAAAAATTAATATTATCATAACTTATTTTAATAATTTTATATTTTATTTATACATATATTAATAAAATTATATGTCAATGTAAGTGATATCCTAACTACGTTATATTGAATATTAGTTTTTTATATAAATATATAAAAATAAGAAAAGAAAAAAAAATACAAAATACATGAAGAGCAATTTAAAACCCATCTTATAAATTGAAGGAATAAACCAAAATTTTGGAAACCAAAACCTTTTTCTAAAAATTCAAGTTGATCTTTCGAGGAATTTCAGCATATCAATTTATTTTGTTTATATTATTTTAATTATAATTAATACTAAATTAAATAATAATGAATATGTTTATATTTATTAATAAAATTAATAATAATTATCAATTTTAATCAGTTATTAATAAGATAATAATATTAATATCTTATTATTTAATTACTAATTAATAATAATTAATATTGTTATTAATTATTATTATTATTATATTTTATTATTATAAATAATAATAACAATTTTTATGTATGATTTATTACTATTATTATAATTAATAATAAAATAAATAATAATAATAAATATATAATTAATATAGTATTAGTAATTAAAATTATATTATTTTATTATTAATATTATTGTTATTTTAATATTATAATAATAAAATAATATAATAATTATTAATTTTATGAATAATAATAATAATATATATGTTTATATTATTATTATTATTTATTTTATCAATAAATTAATATAATATAGAAGTGGTATTATTCTTCCTGAATGTAAGATAGAAAAAAATTATTATATAAACTGCAATTTTTAAATTTTAAAGTCGTGTATAATAATAAGATTTATCTAAATTTATATATTTTTTTAAAATATTAGTAACCATTTCACTAAAAAATAATGATGGTTTGGACTTGCATTATGCATCTACAAGTTTCCTACAACCTTTTATTTTTAATTATTACTTTTTATTTTATTTTATTATATTAATATAAATGAGTTGTTTATTAGATGTTTGCTTCTCAAGAATGACCCTCATTGACTTTGGTCGAAACCTAGTATATCTAATACTTTCTATTTTTATTAATTTATTTATTTTTAATATCTTCTGACCATTAGAAATATAATCATGGTTTAATTACAGTTATGATTGTGATTTTAGTTTTCTTGGGGAATTTTTATAGAAATGGTAAAAGTATGATGTTAGTATAAATATTCACAATTTAAAACCATAAATATAAATATATTTGATGATATAAATGAAACTATTGACAATAAAAAAAGGAGAGGATATACATACCTAAACATAAAATATTATGTATATTAAGATTGTTGACCTTGATAATATTCATCTCTTTAACTCATGTTAAACATATTTTAATTAACTAATGATGTAATGAAATTCTATATTTCCTTTAATCTTCGTTATATTTAGTTCGTGATTGAATAAAAAACGAGGAACCAAAATATTTTTTTAAAATAACTAATTATAAACATTTTAAACTAAATTACAACTAGAAGTTTATACTTCATAGGAATTTTTATGTGATTCTTTTTATAGAAATTCGTATACAATAAATTTTTTTTGGGCGTCCTTCGAATTCTATAAGATAAAAAAAACTGTAATAAGAATCCCACAAAATATGAAAAAGTGTTCTAAAAGAGATTCTTCAATCCATCAAACCAAAACATACTAAATAAAATAAAATATTAATGAGATTTATAATAAAGTTATGACAAAAATAAAACACATACACGCTAAATTAATGAGACTTATAATAAATTTTGCTTCTACAAAAGCTTATTTGCATATTTTTAATGTTTTTCATATAATATTTGTCAACAATAATACAATTTAAACGATTTTTGCACAATACAGATAATTTTATCTAGATTTTAATTAAGTTTATTAATTTGGTAGTTCAATGTTGACGTGAAATTGTTTAGTAAAAATATTAGAGTTGTGTTAAATATTTATAAGGTTGAAAAATAAGATTTAATATTTTTTTAATTCTTATCATAGATATTGTCAATTTGTTTAGTATAATTAAAAAATGAGTTGATTTTGACATAATAAATATATTTTATTTGGGGCTTACTCACATCTGTCAATTGAATCATAATATAAATGACAAAACTCAAGTTTTATCATGTGTTTTCCAACAACGAACCATTCCCAGTAAATATTTTTTTCTTTATTTGAACATCACTTATTTTTATCTTAGTATGACCGGAATTAAAAACAAATCAGAATTCAAATTATTAATAAAAAATTTCTATAAAATTCTAAAGAAGCAACAACTTTTTATTATCATATGACTATATGCACAATTTAAAAAAAAAAAATCATATTATGAGTGTAGTATAATGAGGTTTTTGCTTAGATAGACATTATCAAGTGAATAATATAATTTAATATTTTTAAAATCTTTTTTTTTTCTCAAAACCGTTGAATCCTTCTTTTTTTAAGCCATACTTTAACTGTGCTATGTTAAAAAAATGAAAAAAAAAAAAAATGTAAACATGGACGTATGTTTCTTCGAAGATGATGCTTACTGACAAGTGTGGATCATGTTTGTATGGATTTTCTAAGTCAAATAAAAAAGATACCTTCAGTGTGGTAGAAGGCGTCCTTAGTGTCTGTTGAAGAAAACCTATTTTACCTTTTTTATTATTATTTACTTAATCTAATGCTTTCTAACATCTTAAATTGAATTGTGACTTCTATTTATGATGTAATAAGCTTGTGCATCGGACTTTCAATATTTCAATAGAGAAAATAAATCATTTTGTTAAAGAAAAAAAAAAAGTAATTATAAGAATATATAGATGCCACACTAATTAAGAATAAGGCATAAAGGTAATTAGGGAAGGGTGATGCTAGTGAAGGTTGGAATAATACAAATGCATTTTATTAAAAATAAAGTAAGGCATATCACAGAAAAATATTCTCCATTTTAATATCAATATATGGTGTTGCATTTAAGAAGAGGAATCGATGATAGTAGTGTTAATGTCAATTCTCAAAACTTAAGATATGTCTGTTTTTGAACTATTTTATCACGTGCAATGCATATAAATGATCACATAGTAACATAGGATAAAGGATAGGAGGGGAATGAAGTCTACAGTGAGTAGCATTCTCTTAAACTATGTAGACATTTTTGAGGAAACCAAGAACTCCAAAATTGGGAATTGACATAACCTAGACAAGAACTCGGGTCTCTGTCTGTGTTGAAGTCTATAGGGTTTATCAAACAACCTTTATCCAAAAGTAACCATTGCGGAAGATGGACGCTTCCTTCTAAAAAAATGACTTTCTTTTGGCGTTGTATAAGTGCATTATCTTAGGAAAGCATGCCATGGCCACATAACTTAGAGTACCAATATTCACCGTAGAGAGTAATTTGTGAGTGAGGGTCGTGGCACATCGAGTGTGGACAGACACAAAGGTTCCATCATGGGAAACTGTCACGGTAGCAACAATTACTCAGAGCGACTTCCTCTGGACGATTCTTCCGTAGCTGTCTTACGGAAAACCAAGAACCGCAAAGGGCGTGAGGTTGAGGACACTTGGAGAGCAGATTACTACTCATTTGGAAAGACAAGCTGCGAACTCGACTTGACCAAAACCAACCGCAACAAGCGCGAAGAAGAGTTATCCATCTCTATCCGTGACCATGTCTCAAACAATGCCAACGATGACGTTGATTTTCAGATGAACATGAGAGTGGAAGAAGGTCTTCTTTCAGCAAACGTTACTCTAAACGGACCTAGATGCCTGCAGCAACTTCCCGAGAGGAAAATCCCTATTGCTCAAGGTGGGGTTCTCAAGTCCTCTTCCTTCTTATACGGACGTGACAATGACCGAAAGGGTCTTATTGTCCTTTTAAGGGCAAAGAGAAGAGATAACGATGAAGAGCTTCCTTACATGATCACTGTGAAACACTATTTTGTTTCTGCATGTTGTTCTCATGGTGTGTCTCTTGTGGCAAAGATTCGCAGTGACAAGGGTGATGGAGGTTTGAGTGTTGAGATTGAGAAGCCTTCTATGCAGCCCAAACATGAGTTGTTGTGCATCTTTGATGATGTCAAAGGAAAAGGATGGTGCCCTAATCCTACTAATTCTGATTGCTCAATGGAGCTTTCCAACAAAAGTAATGGTAATGTCCCTATGATAAACTTTGGAGGAAACAACAATAATCCAAATGCTATTCCTTTTTCTTATAGCATTAGCGGCAAGCAAAACATCTCGTCGGTAATAAGCTCAAGTGGATGCACTAATGGCGATTATAATGGTTCTTTGATATTCCAGGACTGCCAAATTTGTTTTGACGCCATTGGTACTCTGAGGAATTAGTTTAGTAAAAGGTTTCTTGGTACTTGTTTTCTGTATGATGTTTTCATTGAATTCAGTTATTATGTAATGTTTTCATTTTAAGGTTTGACTATAATGTGTATTAGAAATAAAATTATAAGATTATCTTATGTAAACCGCGTGTTACTATTGTTCATATAAGTTCAATCTAATAATCATATTTGAAGAAGGAAAAAAAAAATAAATTCCAAACTACAAAGCTTAAAAAAACAATTTTCAATTCAGTAGACAAAAATTAACTTATGACTATCTACAATTTTTTTTGCCACCATCTCTACCTTAAAATTTTCTAATAGCAAACAATTATCTTTGAAACTACAATAATATTTTTTTCGCTTTTATTCTTACATTTCTTCAACTTTAAAAGTGAGGCATATGAATGATTTGAATAATTTTAAAACAAAATTGAATTATTCTTTTACCTTTCAATCCTTAAATTAATGGAGTAAAATTGTACAAATACGTAATTAACTTCAATTGGTTATTTTTACTCGTTTAATTTTTAAATACAATTTTTAAGCTTCATATAAAAACATGATATTTAAATTCTTGTTTGGTGTTAGTGTAAAAAAAAAATTAAAAATATTGTATTATTATTTTGTAACTATTAATAAAATGAAAAAGAAAATACTTAGAATTCTAATGCATTTTTATATATTTTTTAGTAAGCTAGCAATTTTTTTCTTTGTTTTTCATCTTATTTCTAATAATTAATAAAATAAAAAATCTAAGAAAATATTGGAAAATGTCATATATAATTTTTCTCTTTTAGCTTAATTTTGGATTGAGAGATGAATTTAAGGGAATAAAAGAAGAAAAAGAAAGAGAGTAAAAAATAAGATTGTTTGGATTAAAAGAGATAAGGTAGTAAGTGAAAAAAAATTGTAATTGATGTGTTTGATTTGAAATAATAATAAAAATATATTAATAAAATAAGTTATTAAATTATTAAAATATCCTTATTTAAAATTTAATGTAAATTAAAGATAAAAAAAGTAAATTTAAAGTAATTAAAATTATTTAAAAATAAATTTTAAATTATTAATTTTTATCTTAAGTACTAATTAAAAAAATGAAATATAATGAAAGAATTCATAATAAAAAAAAACAGTTACATTATTAAAAAATTAAATTTGTATTTAAATATAGTTTAAATTTTATTATAATAAAAAAATTTTAAAATCGCGTATAAATATAACTACATATGCTATCAACATTAATTTTTATATAATAAATATAATAATATTTTTTCAATATTATCGATATAATCGATTATTATAATTCAATTATACAGATTTATTTATTCGATGACATTTTTTTTTATAATTTTGTGATCTTTATTCATAAATTTATATTACAAGTAAATTAATCACATGACACATTAATATTTATATATATATATATATATATATATAGACATATAATTATTAAATAAAAAATAAAATATATTATTATAGATTATAAGTAAAAAATTATAAAGTAAGATAATATATTTGAGGATAATATAGATAATAAATATAATAAATATTTTTTTATATTTTTTAAATAAAAGAAATATAAAATATGTGACTCGTACAATTTTTTTTTCTTAAATTAGCACAAATTTCTTAATATAAATATAATATTTTTTTTTCAAATTTGAACCCTCAAATATTTGTAAACAATAACATCGTGGATTGAAAGAAAGGCTTAGTAAGGATTGTGCTGGAGTGGTTATATAGGTGAGAAGAAGAACCATGGATTTATTTAAAACAAAATATAGTCTGCTTACTGTTATCTTATTTGGCATGGTGATATATTTTTATTTTATTGGTTGTGTGTAAATATCATGCATTTTTAATTTTTCTATAAATTATATATAAATACTCCATTCTTTTGTCAATTAAAAAGTGATTCTCTGTTATATAATAGTAAAATAGATAAATATATTCGTATTCTTTTGTCGACGGAAAAGAAAGCCAATAAAAAAAGCATCAATACCATATGAGTATGATGGGATACTAAATAAAATTGGAGTTTTAAATAATATTGTTTCTAATAAAGTGATACCACATTTCCCCTATCTTATTTTATAAAATTTAAATAATAAAATTTATAAAAATAATCACAACAAGATTATGTTATATCTTTTACCATAAATCTTGCTCTATCATGATAGATATTGTTTAAGTATAATAAGTTTAGAAGGTTTTAGTGTTTTCTTACTGGTAATATATCTTCAAGTAAATATTCTTTGACTTATTCTATTCCTTTAACTCTATTCGTCTTCTATTTTAAATTTATCTTTCATTCGTATTTTTTTATTTATTTGTATAATCATGTAATATATAACGTCGATTGTAAATAAATAATTATTCAAAAATTAAACATATAATAATTATAAATAAATTATCATTAAAATTTAAAAATAACTTCAAAACATTGTTGCGTTGAGCTTTATATATAAATTTTGTAAGAATGTGTTGCTTTTATATTAATAAATATTAAAAAAAATTATTAGCCTATTTCAAAAAAGTGACAATATTTTTTCATGTTTTAATATAAAAATTATTTAATTTTTGGTTTATTAAAATTATTTATTTATATTTTAAAATAATTTTAATTTTTATATTTCTTATTTAAGTTCTTCTAGTCAATATGATATTTTTAGATAAAATAATAAAAATGGGTATCACTCTGCAAAAACATAAAAAATATATATTTAAAAATTAAAGAAATATTTATTAAAAGCATAAAACTAATAATGTTTATTTTAAAATAAAAAGTGAAAAAATAATTTAACATACATTTGTTTATAATTTATAATGCATGGCTGCACCAAATATCATCAAATAAAAATTTTAATTTGCTTAGATAAGCTGATGATGTTATGTGCGAGTGCGTCACCATTTATCTTTCCATATTCCCAGAGGTTTAATATTAACCACTTCATATATATAAATTAATGGTAAAAAATTGATGTACACTGGGAATAAGAATAAAATAACTATGACTGGTTTGAGTCTTATGCTTCACTCTAGGGGAATTGATATATCCTATTGCCATTTAAAAGTCTCTAATCTTTCAGATTAAATAAGCCAAAAAAGAAAAAAAAAACAAAGACTAGCATTCTCCATTTGAATCTCGCCATTTTTATTTAAATTCTCACATTATTTTCTTCACTTTCTACCTCGAATTTGGGTTAGTTAAACAACCATTATTTGGATTTGATTCATATGCTTATTTTTTTAAAGTTAAAGTTTACATAAATTAGTTTATAATTAATATGAGAGATTTTATATAAATTAATTTTAAATTTTAAAAATTATTATTTCATTTTTTTTAAAAACGTATGAAGTATTTTTCTTTTTCACCATATTATTTTTGTATTTTTAAGAATTATATTCTTTATATTTTTATACCCAAAAATTATATTCTCATAATTTTAAAAAGTTAAATTTTTTTATCTTAAAAAGGAAAAGAAAAGAAAGAAACACCGGAGGATGTGGTGAAATAAAATAATCATTACAAATAAAAACTTCAATACAGAATATACTCATCACTTCTCTTCTCATGTAAATAGAAACAATCTAAAATATAAGGGAGTAATTTTTCTAAAAATAAAATACCAACAATTTTTATTTTTTCATAAACAGAAATAATATTTATTCTTATCACTAAAATATTGGAAAGGACGATGATACGTATGCACCTCATCTAAATATATATACCTACCATATACATTTTTATTGTTTGTTTCTCTCTTTATTTACCACATCATATTTCTTATAAATATTTTTGTTTTCATTTATTTGATTCTCTTTCTGAATACGGAGGAGTAATTTGGGTCATCACGAACTATTTTTCAATTTGAAATGAAAGTAAATGTAAAAATATTTATTCCTATCTTCATATTTTTTTAAAAAGAAAAAAAAATGAAATTAACACTCCCTCATAGAAAATTTTATACAATTAGTTTATTCAAAAGCAACCATTGCGGAAGATGAACGCTTCCTTCCAAGGACAATGACTTTTTGTTCTGTAGAAGTGTGTCCTATAAGAAAACATGCCACTTACCTCACACCACCAATATTCACCGTTGTGATTAATTTGTGAGTGAATCCATCGTGGCACATCGAGTGTAGATAGACACAAAGGTTCCATCATGGGAAACATTCACAGTAGCAACAATTATTCTGAGCGGTTTCCTCTAGACAATTCTTCAGAGGTTGTCTTACGCAAAACCAAGAACCGCAGATGGCGTGAAGTTGTGGACATTTGGAGTGCAGAATACTACTCATTTGGAAGGACGAACTGCAAACTCGAACTGACCAAAACCAACAGCAATAATCAGGAAGTGTTATGCATCTCAATCCATGACCACGGATCAGGTCATGCAAGCGACGAAGTTGATTTTCAGATAAACATGAGAGTTGAAGAAGGTCTTCTAGTGGCAAACGTTACTCTGAATGGACCAAGATGCATGCAGCAACTTCCCGAGAGGAAAATCCCTACAGCGCAAGGTGGGGTTCTTAAGTCCTCCTCCTTCTTATACGGAAGGGACACAGACCGAAAGGGCTTTATTGTAATTTTAAGGGAAAAGGGATGTGATGATGATGAAGAACTTCCTTACATGATCACTGTGAAGCACTATTTTGTGGCTGCGTGTAGTTCTCATGGTGTCTCTGTTGTGGCAAAGATTCGAAGTAGCGGTGATGGAGGTTTGAGTGTTGAGATTGAAAAGGCTTCAAAGCATCCGAAAGGTGAGTTGTTGAAGATGTTTGATGATGTCAAAGGAAAAGGGTGGCCGCCTGGTCCTGCAAGTTGTGATGGTGCAATTGAGTTTTCCAACAAAAACAATGGTAATGTCCCGGTGATGAGCATGAGCGGCCTGCAAAACATCTCGTCCCTTTTAAGCGCAGCTGGATACACTAATGGCAATTACAACGGTTCTATCATATTTCGTGACTGTAAAATTTTGTTTGACAGCGCCATTTTCGGTCCTAGGAATTTGTAAAAAACATGGTTTCAGATTATAAAAATGTAAATAGAGTAATGGGGGTGTTAGGGGGAGGAAGTGAGAGAGTCAGATATGTTTCTGATAAATGCTTAAAATAGAAGTAAATAAGGTTATTGCCTTATTTTTATTTTATTTGCATATGGATATGAGAGCGTACTATAGGAAATTTCTCTTAATAGCATGATTTCAATTCATGTATAACTGATATAATTTTGTTATTTATAAGATAAAATTAATCATAGTTATCAATATTTTTAAAATTATCTATCACGATTACAGTAAATTATAATAAAAGGTAAATATAATAAAACAATTATTATTTAAAGTTGATGAAATAAATTTTTAAAAAATCTTTTATATAATATATATAGTTAAAAATTATCTTTAATTTTTTATTAAAATCGATTTAATCCAAAAATCTACCAATTTTTTTATACCAATTTTATATAAATATCTAAATCAATGATCAGTTGAATAATTCGGTCTGATTCAATTCTTAAAATAGAGTCATGATATAGATAATCATTTTTCACTAAATATCCATCTAACCATCACTTTTACATTCGTTCTTATTCTATTAATTAATAAATACAAATATTATTTGTTAGATGTTTAAATATTTTTGGATGTGATACAATTTTTTTCTTACTATAATATAATTAACCACACCTATAACCTCGACAAAATTAATTATTATATATTAGATATATTTTAATAATGTTGTGACATTATTAATTTAGAATAATGCTCAGTCCCTATATATCCAATATTATAGATTTATACTAACCCCCCAAGTTATTATGAATACTGAGATAGCACATATAAATAATGCTATGTAACCCTTACAAAAAAATCAGCTATATCTAACTCACGCAAATAATTTTTAGTTTTAAGATATATAACTATTTATCTTTTATGTCTGAAATAATACTAATACTTAACATGTTAATTTTGGTAAATAAATATCCAAAGAATACGAGAACATGCAGCGCGACACAGGTGAAAAAGAAACTCCAAGAATCCACTCTCAGAAGCCCTTGATAACATTTTTTAGGTTCCCTCTTTGGGTCACTTTAGTGGCTCTTTAAACATATATGCTTTGCGTTCTTTTAAGGCTTCGAATATGTGCGTAGGTCCACTTTTACATATAAATGAACCTGACCAGGATTTAGTGTGAGGACACAATAAAGGTAGTCATAAACATTTCAGCAGCAATGCAGGGAAATAAGAGTATTGTGAGGCTTAAATCTAGCGGTTCTCCGTTGGAAGTCAACACCAAAATGCAGAAATCCAATAACGAGGGTGGAACCAGCGAGTTCTCTGTGGAAATGTGCATCATATACTCCCTCACCAACACCCTCGTAACTATGAAAACAACCGAGGAGGGTTTCGCCGGTTGTGTAAAAGCCGTGTACGTCGACCTCTCCGAGGACAGTGGTAAGGGTTCTTTCGCTAATCTGAGCCTGCGAGTCACGAGAAACGAGAGGTATGGCATTTTATGCAATTACATGAACACCAAATTCGTGGGATCCTATGATTCGTTTCAGGAGAATTACTCCGTCCCACCTTTACCTGACAGAGAAGTGATTCGTTACTCTTGTCGTGAGAGTGGTTCCGGAGGGTGTTTCACTCTGGAGAAGAAGAAGGACGAAGATGGTGTGGTGAAGAGAGTGAAGGTCACTCACGATTTCGTCTTTGGCGAAGAGACCATGCACGTGAAAGTGAAAATAAGGAATGATGATGGTGGAAGAGAAGAAGGGTTGAATGTTGAAGTTGAAGGGCCAGTGAAGCTTACAACTGATTATATGAACCATGTGATTTCGAGAACGGAGAGGAAGATGAGAAGTGTGATTGAGGCCAGTAAGGTTCCAGTTATTGGCAACGGCGCCGGTCAACCTTCTCCGAAGGATGGCGGCGGAGAGGGTGGTGACCAACGCATGCGTATGAACTGGTTGATTACCCAGAGGACTGATAGACCTATATATAATCCAACCTTTTATGTGTGAGACTGAGGAACTAATAAGGTAGTTTCATAAGATTGCTTGAGAATAAGAGGGTTGAGTGGTGAAATTTGATCTTTTTAATGTTACGTCATCGTTTGAAAAAGTAGTGTGTGTTCTAATTTTGGCTTTTTTTACAGGCTTAAAAAAATTCAAATTTATCAAAAAAGGGTTGAATTTGAAAAAAATCACAAAAATGGGTTAAATGACACTTCTAAGCACTGTTTCAAGTGTTAAAGTGAACACAACTTTAATAAAAATAAAATAAAAATTATGATACCTAGCATGATTTCCAAAAGAAATTAAAAAAAATTAGTTCTTTTTTTAAGATTAATAAAATTAGTACCTACTTATCTAAAAAATATTCTTATACTAATTTCACCTCTTGATGGTATTATATTTCTTTAAAATGAAATATAAAAATAATTTGTCAGGTACAATGGACTTAAATACCTCTTTTATTCTCAAATAATTACAGTTTAAATTTTATTAAAATAATCTCATTGCCAATTACTTTTATTGGTTGTAAAAATAAATGTTTTTTTCATAAATATTTAGGGACAAATTAGGAATACAATTCAACATTATATATATTGCACTGCAAATTGAATATGTTATTTTTTTAAAATGTATTTTATTAAAAAAGAGAATAATAACAAATGCATTTTATTTCACTTTATTTAGTAACATCATTATCAAAACACTTTCATTTAACAAAAATTATATTTCCAATGATGAGTATTTTAGAAAAAAAAAAAAACACACTAAATGAGGATTTGTCTAGACACTATAAAACCTAGTAGTATGATTTTCTATTTATTTATTGTTCCATACAATATATAAATATATAATATATAAAAATAAAAAATAAACAATACATAAACTATATAATTGATATAAAGATATAATATAACTCATACTTGATTAATTGTTTTTTTTTTTGTTGGTACGTTAACATTTCCATCCTTTATTGTCACAACCATAGAAACAAATATCCCCTCTTCTTCAATGGTTACCTTCGTCTCTTCCACTAAATCCATTTTTCTTCTCCTCTTACTAAGGTTTTTATGCAATATATTGCTAAGAATTCTTATGTTACCCATCTTTTACGTTTTTCAGGGTCAATTGTGGTTGCTTTAGTTGTTTCATAATTTCTATGCTTTTGAAGCAAATTGGTTTTAAACATTCTTGCATGTGGCAGTTCAAATGCATTCTTAAAGAAAAAAAAAATTATCAATTGTGACAATTAAAAATCACTTATTTTATCACTAGTAACTATTCGTATTTTTACTAACAGTTCTAAACCACTAAAAAGTGTTAGTGATAGATAAAATTTGTAGCATTCTAAAAAGTTTATGATAATTTTTTTTTAAAAGAAATCATACTTTTGTGTGTGTGTAAACCTAGAGTATATATTTAAGAGATTTTCACTGTGCTAAAAATTTATTTAAGATAGTAAAGTCTACATTTTAACATTTTTTTAAAGAAATTAATTTTGATTAATTTTCTCTTTTAATTTTTAAAAATAATTTCAGAGACAATTTTGTGAATAGTTTTTTAAAATTATTTGAAAAAATATTTGATAATTATTGTTTTAAAAAATGATAAGAAACTTTTATTATTGATCATAACTTAAAGGAAAACTAATTAAATAACTTTAATGAAAAAAATTAAGATAATAAATAATTTTAGCAATTTCAATTTTTAAAATTTTAACGACTAAAAAATAAAAATATTTTACTAAAAAAATTATAGTTTTAAAAAAGCAAAAAATTGTTTATAGAAACAATAAAAAACGTACAATATATTTTTTATTTTTTTATATATGATCTTTTATGATTTTATATTTTCTAAACTTATTATTTGAAATTTACTTTACTATTAAGTCGTCGTATGGATAAAATTCAAGACATAGTTCAAGTAAATTTTATCTTATCATGAAAATTATAAAAAACTTGGAGAGAATAGAATAAAAATGTCTTAAAGAAAAATAATATACAATTTGTTTTCTTATGCTTTTTAAAGTTAATTTTTAATTTTTAAAAATTAAAAACATTTTTTAGAATAATTATTTTATAAAAATAAATTGTTAAAAATATGATTTAAAAAATTAAAACTAATTTTTAATTTTTATTAATAATACATGTGTTTATCACTTACCAGTTCGTTTTTATTGTTTTGAAATTCTCGTCGCATGACTTTTTACTGTGGATGTATTGGTTTGAAATATTTTTGAAATTAAAATTATTAATTTTTTATAATTTATTTTTAAATATTTATTTAAATTAATTTTCATTTTTTTAAAATATAAAAAATAGAATTAAATAAAAACTCATATTTTGGACTGTGAAGAGAGACAGGCGCGTGGGAGGGAAATCGAGAAAAACACACAAAACGAGCAAGGAAGGAGCATCCAGTAAGATTCCTACTCCCTTCTCAACGTTGCCAAGATGAGTACTATGAAATTTTGCCGTGAATGGTTCGTCCCCTCTTCATTTTCCTCTTCGATTTCCCTTTAATTTCTTTCTGTTGATTCATTGGTTGTGGTTCAGCAACAACATTCTCTACCCTAAGGAAGACAGAGATCAGAAGATTCTTCTCTACGCTTGCCGCAACTGCGACCATCAGGTTAGCATTCTCTTATTATTATTGTCTTTCCCCATTTTTCGCATACCCTTTACCACTAATTTTTATTTTGCAGTATATTAATATGATGGACTGAAAATTCTCTTCATGCTTTTGCCTCATCAATACCTGTTTGCATTGGTTTATATTGGGATCATAAAAGTTCATTTTTTTTAGTATAAATTAGCGATTATTTCTGTATTTAAGCTGTACTCAAGCATGGGTCAAGATGTTGGTTGTCTTTCTTTTGAAAAAAAAAAAGTGTTGAGAGCGGTTCTTTGCAATTCTGATATGAATAGTTTTGATGGGATATACTTGTTTGACTAGTTGTTTGTTTTTTGTTGTCGTTGTTCAGGAGGTTGCTGATAACTTCTGTGTGTATAGGAATGAGATACATCACTCCGTTGGGGAGCGCACTCAAGTGTTGCAGGATGTGGCTGCAGATCCAACGCTTCCTCGAACCAAGTCTGTTCGCTGCTCTCAATGCAATCATGGCGAAGCTGTCTTTTTCCAGGTAAAGTCCCCGTTCTATGTATGAAATTGAGAAATTGTTTTGTTATTTTTACAGTTTGCTATCTTGGTATTAGAGTTTAGACTGAAGATAGGTTGTACAATGTACCCTGCCAAGTTTCGTTCATATTATGATTTAGTTCCACATTGGATGGGTATCCCCTTCTTCCTTGTGCACATAGAACGATGTGGAGGTAGAGCTGTGAAGAATTGAGGATAGTTATTTATGAGTTTATTATTTTGTGCAGATAGCACAATTTTTTTCTGTTTAGTACTATGCTGTTCTTTCTACTCTTACTCCCCTTAATTTAGAAGAAGTGAATTGCACATGCAGAGCAACTAAAAAAAGAAGTCTTGATATTTTGGTAATGTGTAAAGCTGTGCAGCGAAAGATATTAAATCCCATTGAGTCTGTTTAGGGTTATGAAAGTATATTGAGTATGAAATAGATAGGAGACATGAGATATAGGTTATCAGTAGATTGAGAACCTTTTCTTGTCTTTACATTGATAACATTGATTAGTTGGAACGTTAGACAGCTTTACTTTAGAATATGACATTAAGGCCTGAACCAGTTTTACTTTTATCCGGCATGGCTTGTGATGCCACCCTAGCATCCATCATTTTAGTATTCATGGTTCTGGGCTTATTGTTGCAGCGAATAAATTTTGCATTCCTGGAAATATTGATGAAATGTAGCACTGGATGATTTTTTTGTCCTGAAGTCTTTCCTCAAATAAGAATCATTAAGGGGATTTTTTTATTTATTTGCTAAATAGACAGTGTTTAAGTGATACATAAAACTTTATGTAAAGAGTTACTTACTTGTCTGACTTGAAAATGCTGATCCTTCATGCTTTAATTGTTTATTTTTCAATTATTGATCATGTATGTTACAAATCTTGATAAGATTTGATTCTTCATGGTTTGGAAAATAGGTGTTTCAATTCTAGATTTGATTTGCACTTCTTTGAATGCTAAATTGATTTCTTAACGGATCACTATACACTAGTTTGGCACACCTTGATGAGGAACCTACTATTGGCTGCAAATGTCCATGCTAGTATGCTACACTTTAAACTCTAAAATCATGTCCACTATCATTGTAAATGATGCAGCTATATTGAATAGAAGTATAACCTCTTGAATGCATTTTTGACAAAATTTCAAACTGCATTTTAATTACTCATGTAACATGCAAGTTTTAATATTTTTTTTTTTATGTATTCAGGCAACAGCCAGAGGGGAAGAAGGAATGACACTTTTTTTCGTTTGCTGCAACCCAAACTGTGGATATAGATGGAGGGACTGAAATTTATGCTTCCTTAGATCAAGGTTCAATACTGGGGAGATCCAATATTTGTTTTATCTTATTTTGAAAAGTTAATTGTTCTTTTTCTTGTCAAGTTTCTGAAAAACTTTTGGAAAACAAAAACTACTTCTCAAACGCTAAAGCAGAATGGACTCTGTTGTCTACATTATGACGGGAGATAATCTGTTATCATCTGAAAAACTTGACTGAAGCGGGGACAAAATATTGTGTTTTAACTGCAGTTTCTGGTCTAATGATTAAAATTGTTAATGTACAAACTAATGTTGATCACTGTTGATAAATTTTATGGATAGTCTTAAATTTCTTGGTGGGAGGTACAAAATAAAGTGCCATGCTTAAATTTTATGGATAGGCTTAAATTTCAATTGAATATTTCTCCCTGAAGTGATGACAATGATTAACAAATATAGGCTGCAAGAGATTTTGTACAATATCAGTCCATCCATCTGCCCCTAAAATGGGTTTGATGTTCAGATGAAAATACATAAACAAAGATCATGGATATTGTTATTTTTAGGAATTAAATTATAACATAATATATTTAGCATAAATTATTTTTTTCTCATTAATTTATATAATAAGAGTAACATAATATTTAAATTTTAGTGAAAAAAAAATCCAACTTGAAAATCTTATTTCCAGCTTTCAAACAGACAGTTTCAAGAAAATCTCAACTAAAAGGAATTTATGGAAAATATGATATATATATATATATATATATATATATATATATATATATATATATATAAATCCAAATATAAATAATGTTTTTAATTTATGTTTTCAGAATAACAAGTTTCCTAGGGGGAGAAATGAGTTACTTTCTCTTTAATATAGAAAATGAACATTGATGGAGTACATGCTCATTTTACAAGAAAATTGTTAACGGTTTATAATAAGATGATGTAATTGATATGATGATTGCTGCATTGGTGAAAGAAATTTTATCACTATAATATTATATATGAATCTTTAAACAAAAAATGAGTTTAGTTTTACATGTTTTTTTATTAAATACTAATTTCTCTATGTTATTCTAAGAAAACCTTTTATGAAATTGAATACCATCACTCGATTGTTACTGCATTTTATCGTCTTTATCTGAAATGTGCACAAAAGATACTCTACAATAGATTAATTTAGAGAATATAAATAAATGTCACTCAGTAAGCAAATCTAACCATGGGATTATAAAATACTAGGTTAGACTAGACCTTTGTGACCATACAATTACATTAAACTACATTCTCAAATTTATATTATTAGTATATATAAATGATATTACTCATTAAAAAACGTGTTAGTAACAATTTGACCTACTTTAATACAATTAATGCTCATATTATCATTATTATTATATATATTAAAAAAATACTCTTATTTAAATAATTAAATAAATATTAACCACTTATTATTCCTTTTAAGTAATAATTTTTGTAGTATAATAATCTAAAATTATAATTTATCTTTTATCATAGATCAACCAAGGTGATGACTCTACGAAGGGTTGTCAAGATTACACCTTTGCGAAAGTATGAATGAAAAGAAGGCCTGTGGGTTTCTAGATTGAAAGTAATGAACATTTAGATTTTCTTTTATGTTCTTTTCTATAAACTCCTAGTTCCTAGTCTACCAAATTAATTTAACGGAAAAGTCCAGTTTTTTTCTAATAATCCTGTTTGTTGTATTTTTCGCAGTTTCCAACCTTTAAAAGTACATATATAAAGTAGTGGAAGCAGATAATAAAACAGTAGGCATTGAGGTTTGAACTATTGCTTCACTTCAAAAAATTTGATGCACCATAAATTGCAGTGTTGGAACATGATCAATCCTTGTATGCTTATTAATAAGGATATAAAGAATTTAGAAGTCAACAATAAGTATTTGGTTGAGGATTGAATTTTCAAACAAGTTAGCCTCATAAGTCTCTGCTTCTGAAAAGGTTTGCACATATATAATTACATAATCTTTTAATAAAAATAAATTTGGAACTTCTCGGTACACTTGGTTGTCGTTATGCCTAGATCAATTTAAACTAAAAGCATGTTATTTTTGAATGAGACTAAAAATTATTGTTTTTTTTTTTTTTTTTTTTTTTTTTGTATTCTTTTAATCTAATAGAATAACAGTTTTAAAAAAACTTAGTCTAATGCTACCCATGAGCACACCTACGAGATGTAATATTTCTTAAAGAGCAAAATAAAATAAAAATATTGCAATAACAAAAAAGTATGATTGTATAAGAATGATCGTAGTAATGTTGAAGACTGAAATAAAGTGAAATAAAATTAGAGACTAAAATAAGAAAAAGTTAAGACTCAGACAAAACACTTTTGAAACTACAATTATGATATTCACTGTAGAAACTCCAATCATCAAAATTGTAAAGTATTGGTAGCAAATAGTAAATACCCCATCATTACCAGAAGACGAGGCCAAGAAATTCTAAATGCGAATTATGCATTTGCTATCAATGTGTTGTCTCTGTACAAACAATGAATGTAGCCGCAGAAATTTTCTACAGCATGATGCTACTTTATCCCGATATTCCTACCTCTATCCTCAGAAGCTAATTCAGCGAGCAAGAAAAAACTAATCCAAGGTAAAATTAAAAAAATATATATCTACAAAAAATATATGGGGGAAAATAACCAGCTGGGATGCTTTGGCCTTGATGCTGGCATGTGGCCATAGAAAAGCAGGAGCTATAAAGATGATAATGTTCGTGTGAACCATTCTGATAGGCGTTTGATTTTTGCTGACACATCTGCATCCTTTTCAAAAAAGGAGGTGGAATTCGCTAGTAAATTTGTCACATCGTGCTTCAGTGCCTCCAAACTACGGTAGTAGTTGTTCTTCAACCTTGTCTGCATCAATTCAAGTGATATAGGGACAGGGTACCTGCAAATTTAGCAGAAATATTAACAATCTGTTTGATTGGAGGAAAATGGAAGAAAGGGAGAGCGGGAACAATTTTCTTGCTTCATTCAAAATTTTAGACTGGAGGGGGATAATAGGGGAACTAAAATCCTCCGATTTTTATCTCCCATCCAATCACCGGAGGACTAGTGGGGGAAGGAAAATGCATTATAATTTTTTAACTGTTAACATACTAAATTGCATCAACATCTTATTTTTCTCTGATCTCCTCCATTATTATTTGTAATGGCTATAATGATTTATTATCCATATCCTCATCCCCCACAACCAAACAAGGTAACATTTCTTACTCTTCCAGTCTAATAAAATCCCTCCCACCCTTCCCCCTTTTGAACTGTTATTCATAATACAATTCATAGTTTCGTGAAAAAAAGGCTATAGATGGAATACCTGTTTATAAATTTGGACTTATTTGAAATTTTCTTCAATTCATGCACCCCATAACGATCCTGGATATTAATAACAAAGAAGTGAATATTTACATTTACCTGCACACAAACGCAATATTCAATGAGAATGTTTGGACAGATACCTGGACTGTGTTGCCTGACTGCTGTAATTTGGTGAGAGCAGATTGCAGTTTATTTCTCATGTTATCATCAATGTGAGGCTGTTCCCATTCAGTGTCTGCATCAAAAAGCTCCCAAGGACTATGCAAATGCGTTTCAGTGAGGTCACTCTTGTACCGAACAGTACAACTCTCCCATGGACTGTCTGGAAATTCAGAAGACTTGGCTTTCACACACAATATTCGACCATCCCACCAATTACCAGAGGAATTATCCTCATTTCTCCACCAAACCCTGCATTTATCCCTGCGTGTCCAATTTCTTTGCATAGCAGCATCAAACCTAGTCCTTTCAACAAGAAAATCTGGGAAACCAGTCACTTCGGGTAGGGTTAATTTAAAAGATTTTCCAACAACACTCGAATTAGGATCTACAAACTGAAGAGTCATTTTGCAGCAGCTATCACCAGACCCTGCAAGATGGGAATACTCTAGGCTTTGAACTATACAATATTCTACAGCTTTTATATGTCCCTTAAGTGATACCCAAGGCCCTGACTCACTTTTCCGGCAATAATCTATATACTCCTGGTGTCCCTGAAAAACAGATATTTTCGTATGTTAGCACATTCAAAATTTGAAATTGATAAAAAACAAAAAATCACATACATACAAAAATTTCAAAAGTATACTATCAGATAATATTACGTGTAAGCTATTACGATTAACCTGTCTCAAATATACAACTTCATCTCCCTGTTGTGGAATATATCTGCATCCTTCCTCATGGGTTGATAACAGCAACCATGATCCTTTCGTAGCTGATTGTAGTGATTTCCTTTTATTTACAGGACTTGTCTCACGAATATTATAACTAGACCTCCGACTCCTAGTGGACCTCAAACCAACGGTCAATTTTGAACTAGAACCCCTTTCTTCTTCTGCCAGTTGTCCTCCACTTATGGAAACTTTCTGTGAAATTTTTATCATACAATTTTCATTTCCTTGCAGCACTTCGCGATTATTCTGCTCATAGTTTGGGTCACAAGTAATTGGGTCTAGCTGTAAGGATTCATTGGGTCGAATAGCCTCATTTGTGCCATTACTATAGTCTACTGCAGCGTTGAAATTACTGTTGCTCCCATTTGAAGTAGATTCACCCTGGCCACCACTGTCAGCTAAATTAGTTACTGCCCTATGTGATCTTGATCTTTTATAAACAGCTTTATACATTTTATCTCTGTGTGATTGTGGCTCTAACAAATCCTGTGAAGTACTATTTTCTCTAATCCGAGGATCTATTTCTTGAGATCCATTCTCTCCCAGATTAGATTTTACTTTAGTGTTGTCATCCACAGCCACATGCTGATCATTGTTCAAATTATTATCACTAGTGCTGCAGGCACTATTCTTTAGCACGGAAGATTTCGTTTCATGCTTGGATGGACTTTCGGGATCCCTTGCACCCCTTTTCGACCTTAGTTTTGTGGAAACAGAACAAAAACCAATATTTGGTTCAGGAAGTTGGTCAACCCCACTATAGCAAATGGAAGCAGGAACAAAATCCTGAGGAATCACATACGCAGGTGTTTGTGATTCATCTTTGTCCATGCAATTGCTGGAACCTGTGATAGCTCCTCCATTATTGGTCGGATTAAAAGGCTGTGAGGTGGTAGTACCAGCACAATTTTCATTAATCTCTGTCAAACTATCTAGCATATAGTCGTCCTTTTGGACTTCTAACTCGGGGGTTGGGGCACTAAAGTTCTTCTCCTCTTTCCCATGCCCAGTACTAAGATTTTCTTTTTCATAATCAGGACATTTTCCAGAATAAGGATTTGCGTCTGATGGCATAGCTTCTCCTACTCTCGACAGTTTAGATGAACGTGCCTTAACCATTCCCCATCTAATATTCCCCAGCAAGTCTACATGGTCTTTCACCTGGCTAAGTTTTGGTTGTTCTGTTCTTTCAACTGTAGGGTAACTTGTACTGCCGGAACAATACCCTGAATCCTTAAAACTTGGTCTGTTCCCATTAAAATCGGTAACTTCTTGTATAGTTTTTGATGATGAGCCAACCAACTCAGCCTGGAAATCAAACTCATTTGTAGAATTGGATATATCACGAATTGGCAACTTGAGAACCAACCTCCTCTTGTTCATTGAATTCACATGAGTTTCAGTTAACTCACGTGATTTTGTGTCATCTGATTCATAATATGATACTTCTTTTCCCTTGGAATAATTCAATCGGTCATTCTGTAAAGTTCCACCAGATTCATCACTGTCAATATTAGACTCTTGCAATGTTGATTCACTATCCGAATAATCACCAACCAAACTATCTTCATCTCCATCTGTTGGTGTACCAGTAATTTTGGAAAATAGATGCAGAGCATTGCGTGCAGCAGCCCTTTGAGGTCGGGAAGATTTTGACTTAGAAGATTTTCTTCTTGATATTTTTTGGCCACTTTTTCCCTTCCGACTTCGGCTACTGCTGATAGTATTGCCATCACACTCATCCAAGTTCCTCCTTTTCACACGTCTCCCAGAAGAAGTCATAATCTCAGTCTGTAGAAAAAATATAAAATCCAGAATGATTTAAAGTTGCTACAAAAATACCGATCAGTGTTGAATATATATTTTCAATGCCCTTACTTCAGTCTTCAGTTTTTTCCTCTTTGACCTGCGAATGCTTTCCATGCGAGTGTCCTCCGCTTCACTGTTGTCTGTGCTCCACCCTGAATCACCAGAAACATTGGAGCTTGAACATCCTTTCTCACCCTTAGAAGAGCAATCTTCAGTGACGTTATATTCTGAATCTGCATCATCGCTAAACACTTCAACTTCAGGTTCCCATTCCATAGCATCTATAAACTCAGGCAGTGGTTCTGTAATCAAATCCAAGTCTGCCAATGGAAGCATATGATAATCAGGGTCCAGACTGAAATCAGGGCCAACAGCAAGCCTTAGCGATGATGGACGCCACTCAAGGCCTAATGCTCCTAATCGTCTTTGCTGAAATTCACTCTGATAAGGTTCTGGATAAGGTATCATTGCTGAAAGTTTGGCAGCATAAATAACCAAGAATTAAAAAGAATACATGAGGGAGAAAGAAATGTCCAGGAAATAGCACAAGGAGAAAGATATATTTAAAAAATAGATCCAAGAAAACAAATAACCTGAATCACAAAGCAAATCTTGCAGATTCCTTCGATATGGAACAATTTGAGTTTCCTGAGTCAAATTTCGTTAGTACTTGAAATTAGGAAACACGTTATACGATATAGATAGAGCATGGATTCAAAACCAGACCCAAAATATCAAACAAAGCCATTTTAAACAAAGGTTTAAACCATCAAAATCACTTCTTACGTATGCCTCTACAAAATCTATCACAAGCAGGACCAGGAATGAATCCAAAAATGCATCATCAGTTAATGTGCCAGTGTGAAAAATTAAATACTTCGCTACACTTTAACAGCTTTACATAAGGCTTTTATACTTTAAGACTACTAATTTTTTCTTCCCTTCTGAATACAAGTCAGATATTCTGAACCCATTTACTCCTCTTCTTTACTTTCTGAGTTTAGCATGACAGTGAGGAAACTATTTTAGAGGGAAAAACGAGGAGTTATAACCATTAATGGAAAGATTAAGAATCCATATTCAAACAAAGACACAGTTTAAACATTTACAAGCATTTCAACAAATATTCATGGAATGTATTTTCAAATTAGCCATATTTTTGTTTATATCATCCTATTTTGTAACCCTATGTATCGTAGGTTCTAACAGTTTCAGAGATGAAAAGAAAGAGTGAAAGAAAATGATCAACTAACCTGGTCTAGTACATTACCATGGGTGTCTTGAATCAGAGGTCGAAAATCACCTAGAAAGAACTGCAAATATTTACAGACTATATTAGTACAAAAACAGTAACAAAGAAAAGAGAATCAATATAGTATGATAATGTATGTACCTGATCATATTTTGCATCTTTCTGGGACTCGCCTTGACCTGTGCTTAATATATATAGTTGCCCAACATCATCCGAGAGTATAATTGATGTCCCATCCCTATATGATAATTAAAATAAATCACAATGTTATTTAAATGTACTAGAAAACAACATTAAATGCCGCACAGAGATCTTGCGTCCTGTTGCGAATTGAAATCTGTATTTAGTAGAGCAATGAATTCAACAGGGCACTGATTTAAGTGGTTAAGGCATTGGAAATTTGACAAGTGAACCTTATGCAAGTCACAAATGATTCTAAAAAATGATATCAAGTATAAGGACCATTTTTAATTTACCTAATAATAAATGGGTAAGTGATCCTAAAAAATTCACACAAAAGCCACATCCTTAGCAAAATACTTAACTGATATATCATCTTTAAAGTAATTTAAATTTAATATTTTGAGTGATTAGAAATGATTTTGAAAGTCACATAACAAAGTATGTTGTAACCAATTAGAGTACACAATTCTGTCTACGAGTATCTGAAAATAACTACTGTAAATGATTACGATGTGAAAACTTCTTTGAGATAAAAAAAAAAAAAAATACCCAAAAACAATTTATGCACAATAAAGTTCTGAACTAGTTCAATCATTGTGTACTTACGGAGAAAACTTTCCATCCACCAACTTGAAACGTGATATCTCATATATCCTGATAGGCATGCCTTCCCATATCTAGTCAGAAAATATTAAGTTATTTAAAATAAAGAGGAAAGCCCACACAGAGGTAAGATAAAAGTAATTGATGACTCACATCCCAAACGATGGTTCTTCCATCATATCCAGCACTCATAGCTATCCGGGGATTGAAAGGATGAACATCCAGAACATATGTCTAAAGTGAAAAGAACCAAAACAAGTTAAACCTGATAGACCCAAGAAAAAAATTAACTATGCATTCACAATTATAAAGTGTTCCACTTGAGCAATGGTCATAGGATCAAGAGAAGAAACTTGGCATGTCAGCAACAAAGACCAAAGCGGTAAACTAAGCAACTGTGAACAAGAAGAGTACAGAGGCTAATCAAAGGCTGACAATGGTTCTAAAATCTCACTTTGATAAATTCCTCCCGAAGGCAAAGTGACTTTTCAGAATTACTAATGTCTTTCTTAAAATTATGAACTTCATCAAAAACTTTATTTTTATGCAATATTAAAAAACTAGTCAGCCATGTGTTAACATGTTTGATCCGTTACCCTTGCTAACAGATATTTTTCCTTTAAAAAGTGTACAGCTTCAGTATACTCTAATTATTTCAAGCCCAATGTTGACATCTTAAACCTTGAGTGCTTAGAGTTTTACTGTCTCCTCTTTTTAACAGTGAGACAAAGTTAGATGTAGCAGCCATCACTAGTGAAATTATACAGATTAAGCAATTCCTCCAAAAGCTGAAGTTCTGTGAAAATCAGCAAATGAGAATGTAATGTGAAAGCTAGGCAGCTATTCATATTACTTGCAATCATATATTTTGTGGGAGAACTAAACATATAGATTTTTTTCCAGAGAAATTATTGATCAAGAAAATTTGCTGAGCATTTATCAGCTCGAATGATCCCAAGCATTCTCCTAAAATTCTCTTTTCCTTAATAATTGCCAATATAGATTTGTTAAAATGATTTCTAATGGAAGAAAAAACACAACTAGTATGATTCATCAAGAGGAAATAAGAGAAATCACCACATGTATGATTCACCATTGGGAAAGAAGCATCCAGAATTCCCTAGGGCATTTCTTATCCTTTTTTGTACCTTCTTTCTTAGCAAATTATCATTGATGGAAAGAGAACAGCATGACAAACACCAGCACCCAAACAATGAGAAAGAATTCAAACCAAATAAAGCTGGCGATAACACAAGACAGATTGGCACCAAAACAAGTAAAAAGTCCCACTAAAAGACCAAACACTCAAAAATGATCCAGAAGGCACATGCTGGAGATAACCATCATGAAGAATGACGAGAAACAAACAACCCTGTTGGAAATAGAAGTATTTAATGATTATTATCTTTCCAAGTAGTTCAATTAATGTTTAGCATAGATCAATGTATCTTAGGAAGTTGTGATGTTTTAATTGTTCTCTTGATAATAATAGTTATTATTATTATTATCTCCATAATCATTCTTGTCATGAATAAATCAATCAACTGAGTGGAAAGAAAGCAGCCTAAAGGAGCCAAGCAATCACATAAACGTGGCAAGAAGAGGTGCTGGGATTTAGGCTAGAAATTATGCAACAAATGGTGGTTACACTTGCAGCAGCTGGTGATGTCTGGACATGCTCTCAGCCCCATAATAGAGCTAGGTTGGTCAGATTTGTGAGAGTTTCCCATTAGAGCTTTGGTTGGGTGCAATATTATGGACATGCCAGAACTAGTCACAGCCCAGTAAGGAGAAAAATTGTGCAGACAATGAAAGAGGAAGAAGGAGTGAGGCTAGATCTGGAGAGATTGGAGTTACTGTGTCAAGCAGGACAGATGGTTGTCAGAAAAATACACAGGATGGAAAAAGACTAACTGGAAATTAAGGCTGGATGAGACAGTATATCAAAAAAGAGAAATGACCTTATTTTTGGATACTTGACAGTGAAATAATGGCGAGAGGTTATATAGAATGGTACTGCTTTAGTAACATATGGAGATCAAATAGTTAAGGTAGCGCCATAGTGGAAGAGGGTATCAAGAGAAAATAAAGATTATAAATACTATTCCCAGGTTTAATAATGTTGATACAAAAAAAAGTACCAACCCTTGTTCACACTATCAGACTTCTAATGCTTAATCAAAGAAATAAATTAGGAAATACAATGAAATATGGAATCTGCTCGTAAAAGATCATCCAACATAGTAAAAATTGTTTTTAAAGATAAAATGAAGATATTATAGATGTTCTAACAGACTTTACATTCATTCCAAGTTTCGCAAAGCCTGTAAAATGAATACTTAAAACTTGGTATGAAGAGGCTGGATAAACATAAATTTCAGAAAATATGGCAATAAGTCTTTTTCCAGAGGGGCACACATCCTCACAGTGCAGAAGAAGTTTATGCTTGTATCTGAACTAGTAGAGAACACATACTTATAAATGTAAATCATAAATAAGAAGACCAATTCTTTGAAACATTAATCAAATTAAACTGAAAATCCTAAGCAATTGAAACAAAAACTGAGAAACACAGCACTCAGCATCAGATTCAAGCTTGAATTAAAAATATCACCATAAAAAGACAGAGTCAGACATCATACATATAATTACAGGAGTGAAAATGGTAGCAAAGTAGGAAGATAAACCAAAACATTAAACACTTACAGATTCAGTATGCCCAGTCAATGAGTGTACTAAGCTGCCATCAGATGCATTCCAAACACAAATTCTGCAATCTGCAAGAATATCATGCAGACAGGTTGTAAAAATAAATTGTATCATCATATGATTGAATCCCTTGTGTCTCAAGCACAACTGAGGAATATATATATATATACACACACACACTCACACTCATCCATTACATAAGCCCATATATTAAAAGCGTCAAGAAATACATCTAACACTATCCTTAAGCTAGAACATATAAATTATATACACAAAGCTTGTTACAATTATAATCAATTCCAAGACCCTACAATGATTTGGTGAAGACATAAGCCAACTAATTATTGGAGTTAACATAATTTGGTAGCAACTTCTCTAGATACAATCTTTTCAAGGATGAAGTGGAAATCTATTTCAATATGTTTGGTCCTCTCATGGAATACTAGATTTGAGACAATACGAAGGCTAACATGGTTGTGACAAGCAAGAATCATCTATCTAACCTCCCCAAATCTCAGATCTCCAAGCAAATTACAACCTATAAGAATAATGTCATCAACATAAACTACCAAGTAGATACAACCAACAATTAAGTGAGGATAAAACATCAAATGGTCAACCTCACCTTGAGCCATACCAAACTATTGGGCAATTACACTAAATCTACCAATCACCATGAAGGAAGTCACTTTAACATCCAACTGATAAAGGGCCAACGATGAAGAGTATTCATTTTGGTGACTGGAAAGAAGGTGTCACTATAGTCATACCCAAATATCTAAGTATATCCCTTTGCTACCAAATGTGTTTTGAACTTATCAACAGTATCATCGGGCCAACTTTGACAGTGAAGATCCATTGATAATTGACAAAAAATTTCCCAAGAGACAAACGAATGAGACCCTAAGTACCATAGTTTTGAAGAACACATAGCTTATTGAGTATGGCTTGTCTCTAACTAGGATGGGTTAAGGCATTACTTGAAATTTTAAGAATTAAAATAAAAATAAAAGAAAGACTAGTATATAATGGATGGAGACAACTAGTGACAACTCAGAGTGACATGATGAGGGGAAGGGTTACGAGTAAAGCATAAACCTTTACAAAGTGCAATAGGGAGATTAGGTTCAAGAGATAGGGATAAAGGCATGGATGTTACCGATGATGATACATTTGGAGAGGCTAAGGTGGTGGATTTGTTGGTAAACCAAACATGTCAGTAGTATCAAAGACAAGAGGGGTGGTATTGGGGGCAAATATAGTCTCAAAAGACAAGGAATTAGATGAAAAATAGAGAGAAAAATCAAGGAACATGACATAACCTTAAATCAAATTGGGACATATACCCTTTTTGAGACTATGAGAAGCCTTTAGAGATAATTGTGAGACCGAACTGATATTTTATTGAGACCAAAGACTAGGAATATGAACAAAACATGTAGACCTGAAGACTTGATAGTGTAAGGGGCAGAGAGATTGATGAGGAAACAAAATAGAGTGAGGTAATTGATTGTTCAGAACAAAAGATGGTGTGAGATTGAAAGATAGTATGCAATGAGAACATCACCCCAATATGGTTGAGGAATATGATCATGAAGTAAAGAGGTTCGAGTTGTTTCAGTAAGATATTTATTCTTGTACTCTATCACCCCAATTTGATGAGGGGTATATGTATAGGAGGTTTGATGAACAATACCATGAAAAACCATGAATGCCTACAATGACGGGAGAGATATACATGAGCATTATTACTATAAAAAAACAAAAAAAAAATTATTTTTAACTTGGATACAAGATTGGTATAAGGAAAACTACTCAGAATGATTTTTCATTAAAACAAGTACATTAATAATCATCAATAAAAGCTAAGAATACTAAAATCCTAAAATAGACATAACACAACTCAGTCCCCAAATATTAGAGTGAATGGAGACATTCTTACAACAAGAACTACAAATATGTTTTCTTAATTGACACAAGTCACGAAAAATGGAGAACAAATGCGGGACATGGTATTGCAACTTGGCAAGACTAAAGATGACTCAATTGAGCATGGATGAGAGAAGGGGAATCCACCACCGAGATAACATGAGTAGAGGTTTCAAGATAATAAAAATTGAGACTTGCATTCAGCCTCTATTTGTTTCCATTAATTTACTGTTTAAACGAATGGAATTGCGAGTGAGGACCGCGTTTATTTCGAGCAGTACACGGGATTTGAAGACACGGATTGGAGGGAAAGATGGGATGCAAGTTCTTCGCAGGGGTAAGAAAATGAGCGGAGAAATACATGTCACTATTTATAATTTTACACAATTACCCTCCCTTTATCAATTTCACTGTTTGGATGGCAGATGCATACATGCAAAATTCCCTTCATAACAGAGATTTTTGGCCATGCACAGTAACAATTCTTTGCTTTGTTAACCATGGATAAAGGTAATTGAAGTTTTCAATGCCATTAAAAAGCCGTAAATCATCATAGTTGGGTGCTTGTGCAAGGGTTGTTTCTATTATGCTTTGTGTGGTTGTTTCTGAAGCTAAGTGGTGGTTGGTTCGTGCAGAAGTTGGTTGTTTTTGAACCTATCCCTTGGTGAGGTAAGTGCAAAAGGAGGGGCAATGGTTGAGAGAACTGATTCTCGCTGAAAGAGAATCAATTTTTCTCTATAATTTGTGAGGTGAGAATCAATTCTCTTCACTTTTCCGTGGGTGTTGTTTTCATATTCAATCAAGTGTTTCTCTATTTAATGTATTTTTTTAGATTCAAACATTGCATTTAATTGGATTCATTCATGTACAATTAGATGAAATTAACATTAGTATATTTTATTTAAGATACTTTATCAAATCTAAGTTATAATAAGTATGGCCTTTGATAATTACAAATTTAAATACTTTTATATTCAGATTCTTTTTAAATTTTGTTTAATGTTTACTTTTTGAAAATTTAATAAATATAATAAATTTTATTGATTTTAATAAATATTTATAATTTTTTATTTTATTCTTTTCATTTTTAAATTAATTAAATTCATTAAGAAATAGTATTTAAATTTAAAGAAAAAGAATAGTTTTAAAATTAGAATATTATATAAAATTTAAAAATTAATATTTATTTATTTATAAATTTACAAAATTATATTTAAATTTATAAAAAATATAAAATGTATTTAAATTTACAAAAACTATAATAACAAAATAATAAAAATATTTATAAATTCACAAAATTATACTAAAAAAATTATATTTATTTTATTTATTTATTTATACCAAATTCGCTTCCTCTATATTCTTTTACCCACAATCAAGTCTCGATACATGTGTTGTGACAATGTTTCTACATTGTGATTTTGTTTGTGATCTTGGCTTTGTGTTGTATTGTAGGTGGTGGTGACGGTGGTCATTAAATGGAGGTCACATTTCACTTTAACATAATTTACCCCAACTATATTTTTTTTAAAATTACTTTTTAAGCACAAGAGTAAAATTGTAATCTTACAATTTTATCAATTAAAATATCTTTTTTTATTCTATCAAACCAATCACATCACTCACAAACGTTTCTATTATTTTTCTTCATTTCTCATCATCTTTCCCTTAATCCAATCAACCCCATTATTACCTCTTTTTCCCCTCAAATATACTCATTTCCACTCCTCCAAATCCATCTTCAAATCCAAACACAAGCTCAATGTCAATCATTCATCCTAAACTTAGATCTGGTAAAAAAAAAAGCCTTTAATATAAGAAACGACATAATTAAGAACATGGGTGATACAACTTTGAAAATATATTAAAAGGGGACCCCATGAAGGGAGAAGATAAATAATACCAATCCCATGAGATGAGACTCGATAGCCATTAGCCATGGAGAGAAGGTAAACCAAAAATGGAAAAGGGAACAAAAAAGAGACTTTTACCAGAAATATGGTCGTCAACACCAAAATAAAGAACCCACGGGCTAAGAGAGGTAGAGTGAGACCACCAAATGAAGTGCTTGTGTGCACAACTAAAGCAAAAGCTTAACATTTCCCATACCATTTGAGGAAGTCATGGAAGAGCGTCAAACTACCAAAATATTTGAGGGAGTGTTAGCAAAATCAAAGGGCACAAGGGGGGCAACTTGGACAATAGTAGAAGAATGAAAAGAACGGCCCTACAATGAACAACATCTAGTTAATTATGTTACCGAGTTTGTGATAAAGATCACATTTTGAATGACCTTTGCTTAGTTTGTGAGATTAGTTATGGTCATCACATTGAGATATCAATGCAGAGAAGTCATTAAGGAAAACATAAAAATATATTTTAGGGGATAACTTGCACAACACACACAACATGATGGACCAAGCGTTAAGGTGGGTAGAGTCAAAGACCCAAGAATCTAATCACAAACTAATGAATACTTGTTGAAAAGTTATACAAGGCCATCAATATAAAAAATGTTTGTTGTTGCTCTAGTTCTCGAATATGAGAGGCAACATGAGACAGTAATTCATTGAAATCATGTAATAAACTTTGTCCAAAGACTTGGCTGTTGAGTCATCATTGCATTTAACAATGATGATCCTCAAGAGATTTCGACAAACTGCATAGAGGCACTGCGTATAATCTGTGTATAACACCCAGACCTGCTCCCAAACCTTAACACGTCTCATAGGCTTGTAATATCTATTTCAGGGAATGATGAATAGTCAACTTAAGAATTGTACAAACTTTAGCATCAACTTTAGACCAATGAGAGCAATTTTTTTTCATCCATAGAAGCAATTATTTGAGTAAGATGGTCCAACATGATCTTTTCACTAAAGCCAGAGCATGATATTAGTGGCCCATGTGTCATAATTAGTGTCATAATTAGTGTCATAATTAGTGTCATCTAACTAGTCAAAGGAGTGGAATTTGACATAATAAAAATAGAGTCAAATCTAGCCATAATTGGAGAAGTCATTACTAGGAGGATATTGAAAATATTGGTAGGGAAAAACCATAAAGCGGGCACAATCACTAAGGTTGGACTAGATTAGAGGAGTAGACACTTTGGCGAGTCCGACATTGGTGAAAACGACTAATAAGGTAGTTAAACACGTCACTAGATGTGGCTACTGCCGACAAATGAAAAGAAGTAGCACGACAACGAAGGGCGTGCTCTTGATGGCACGATGATTGCCTAGTCAACTTCCAATGGTAGTCTCACAGGTCAAAAACCTGACCATGGCAACATTAGCATAAAAAATGGTTGAAAAGGAAAAGTAGCTTTTAAAAGAAAGTCAAGATGCACAAGGGGGCCAAAAGAAAAATTTGGCAATATTGGGCAATGCATCCATCCAAAAGTCACATGAAAATGAGCTCTAGATAAATGGAGGGGATCCTTTGTGTGTCTCGAATACATCTGAGTAACATTATATATATATATATATATATATATATATATATATATATATATATATATATATATATATATACCTATAAATTGGCCTAAGCCCATGTACTAGAAGTTTCTAGAAAATAAATCTATCAAACAAAAAAATAAGTTTGCTACCTTCAAAAGGATGAAAGAAGATTACAAGGGTTGTAATATTATCTTGACACTTGCACGATAACAAGTGTAATGCATGAAGAATTAAGGGTCTATTTAGTAAAGAATATGATTTTACATTTTCATCTCCTATTACTAATTACAAGAGATCCTTTTTTTCAAATATTTGGACATATTATCAATAGAGAGATGTTTAACTCAATCCTACAAAACTGACTTGTAAAGTGCGGTTTGTACCTCAATTATATATTACAAGTTAGTCATATATCTAGTCAATGTGGGATCTCCAACACACTCCCTTATACCAAGTTTTGAACATCTTGAGAGGATGAAAATGAATTTTAAGGGTGATTCGATAACGAGTAGGGAATAGGTCAACAAGTCTCGTTAGGATAGGCTCATATACCTTATTAGAAAAAGAAATGTGTTAAACTCAATCCTATTAAATTAGCTTGTAAGGTGAGATTTGTACCTTAATTATATATTATAAGTTTGTCATATCTCTAGTTGATGTGAATGCTCCAACGATTCATTAAACGACGAAAACACTAAAATGTTATTTTCACTATTTTTTGTTTAAATCAAATATCTAAAAACAAAAATTAAGCATGAAAACAATGGGATGATTTTGCAATTTTTTAATGAAAATACAAAATAAAAACTATGTTTTCTCAAACCCAGCTTGCCCCAATTAATCATAAAGTGATTTCAATTTTTTATTTGGTTCTATGGACTATCTATACGCCTACAATTTGTCACACTTGTTTACTTTACATTGGTTAGAACATACTTTCTTTGTTATGTTACATGCCATACTTTCTTTGTATATTAAACTGCCAAGTACTTTTCCAGCTGAGAAATTTTAGCAGGACCTTTCCCTATGCACTGCAAGGTAAACAAATTTCCCAAGAGAGGTGTGACAATAGAAAACCAAACAATCTCCATTACATTGTAGCCCAGAATTCTGCAAAACTAAACAGAATTTCACAAACTAATCAAAAGAACTTTGAACCCATAAAGTGATTGATGAAGTTGGCAAACCAAACCAATTTGTTCAAGGTAAAAAATAAATGTAAGAAGCAAATGCTTTTGCCACTAGTGGATCAACGTTATGAGTCTCTCAATCTGCTAATAGTCAAAACTCCAAGAAAATTGACTCAAGTGATTCTAATCACATTTCAAGGAATGGTTTTTTATTCTCCTTCATGTCTTAAAAAATTCCTCATTTTGTTGCCTTGTCAATTCGATCTAAAGATCTTGCTCAAGCAATTGGTCATTTTCCACTTTTCCCTTTAAATTTAAAATTTGTCCTTTGTATCCCTAATTGTCCTTTTATTTTGATGTCTTGTATTCAATTAACTCATTCTCTAAATTGTTTAGTGACGGTTGATTTCAATTCTTTTGCCACATAGGAACATTGTAGGCCGAATCTCAAGTTTAAAAGAAAATAATTTCATTTGATATATATATATATATATATATATATATATATATATATATATATATATATATATATATATATATATACATAGATTGATCAGATCATTCAGGAAACAAGTATAACCTATTTTAGGAATTAAATCCCTGAGATTGCGGGATTGATGTGCTAGTAATAAAACTAAGATACAACCAATATACAAAATTAAAACCAATAGGAATAAGTGTTCTCCATTCCCATATTGGATATAATTCTCCCAAAGTTTACTACTGTTCAGTCCCTTGGTGAGTATGTCTGTCAGTTGTCCTTAAGTAGACACATATGAAGTACAAATCAAGCCACTATCAAGTTTTTCTTTGATAAAATGTCTAGCCACTTCAATGTGTTTAGTTCTATCAAGTTGTACTAGGTTGTGAGATAAGTTGATTGCAGATTTATTATCACAATATAACTTCATAGGTTCATCATGATTTATCTTTAAGTCTTCCAATATAATTTTTAATCATAGCAATTCACATATTCCTTGAGCCATTGCTCAAAATTTTGCTTCAGCACTAGATCTAACTACCACATTTTGGTTTTTACTCTACCAAGTTACTAGATTTCCACCAAGGAACGTGCAATATCCAACATCAATATATGCCTCAAGGCTAGCACTCTTGTTTCTTTTGAATAAAATCCCTCTTCCTAGCATCCTTTTTAAATACTGGACAATTCTAAGAGTAGCTTATAAATGTGCTTCTTTTAGTTGATGCATAAACTGACTTACTAGACTCATAGCAAAAGCAACATCTGATCTAGTGTGAGATGGATAAATAAGTCTTCTCATGAGTCTTTGGTACATTCCTTTATTCACATAAACATCATCCTCCACACTTTCCAACTTTGTATTTGGATCAACATGTGTACTTGTTGGTTTGCAGGCTATTTTACTTATTTCATGTAACAGGTCAGTAAAATATTTTTGTTGAGATATGAAGATCCCTTTCTTGGAATGTGCTACTTCAATTTCTAAAAAATATTTTAACCTCCTAAAGTCTTGATTTCAAACTCTTTGGCAAGGCGTTGGCTCAACCTTTGTTGCTCTTTTTCATTGTTTCTAATAACAATGATATCATCCATATAGATCAATAGAACTCTTACTACCCTTGAATTAGAATGCTTGATAAATAAGGTGTGGACCCCTTGGCTCTGTTTGTATTTAAGGCTCATCAAGACTTTTGTGAATCTCCTAAACCATGCTCTAGGTGATTATTTCAACCCATATATTGCTTTTCTCAGCTTGCAAACTATGTCTAAATCAATTGGCAATATATGGTGTAGCTTAACATATATTTAAACCATACTACATGATATGAGGCTGATGATGTGAGACATCTAACATGCCCTCTCCAACGAAACTCTAAATCCTAAGCTCTAAACTTGTCAGACCAAGCAAAAAGTACTTTTGACACATAACGAAAAGACAAATCTTGACCCAAGGCAACAACCGGAAAAAAAAATAAGCTTTGGCTTTGATACTATCTCAAGTTTAGAAGAAAATAATTTCACTCTTATTATGTCTTGTTTCATACATTTGATATATATACATAGATTGATCCAGTAATTCAAGAAACAAGCACAACCTATTTTAGGAAACAAATCCCTTAGATTGCGGGATTGATGTGCTAGTAATAAAATCAAGATACATACAATATACAGAATTAAAACTAGTAGGAATAAAATCTAAAACTTCCTAAAATATCTCGACACCAAATAATTGGCCCAAGACATAAATTTCTAGGTCTTTAGGGGGGTATAGAATTAACTTTTGTTGTGTCTAGCACTGCCAGTGTTACATCTCCAAATTTGCCAAAACCAATGCAAATGGTTCCAAGTATTAACAATTAATTTACAAGTATTAGACTGAGCAATCTTGAGAAGGATAATTTTGTCACTTTTGATGAATAGAGGAGAAACAAGTCAACAGCTAGTAATGAATTTTGATTGAACAGTAATTGCCAACGCACTGTGCAACAATGATGTGCAAGTGCACAATGGATGTATAGTGCAGTGGATGAACACCATGTGGTGAACAGTACAGTAGAAGAGGATGATGGACAGCAGCAGACAGCGCCAGAAACTAAACCAAAATAGGATACAGACAAAGTGGGATTAAACCCATTCTAATAGCAAGTTGAAGACTAGATTTTGGTGAAAATGCTTGAGTGAAGAAGGACTCAGCCACATTCCTATTTATAGTCATTCGGATAATTCGAAATGTAACAACATCGGATAAAGATAAGCTAGTATAAATAAATTTTCCTTTCTAGCTATCCTACTCATTAATTCCTTGGGAATAGAAACAATTTCCGACAAAGGGAAACAAAACCAACTTACCCATAATAGCTGCAAGGACAAAGCGGTTGTCAAGGCTCCAAACAATCATATTTACACCACGTGGAGTTGGTAGAATTCTCTGACGTGGACCACCTCTCTGAGGTTGAGGAGGCATAGGTGGAGGGGGAACTCTCAGATGATATGCTCGTGTCCAGCGACCACTTTTTCCCTAAATGAAATAGTTTTAACAGAAAAAGTATCACTCAGCATCCAATAACCATAAACTTTTTCAATTTGAATAACAATGTAGGCCAACAATTCTCACTTTCTGTTAGAGAAAGATAACATTAGTACAAAGAGGTTATATTTGATGAACACGTACATGTGATCTCCGTGATCTAGGAATCCATATTATAGCACTCCCATCACGAGAGCAGGTCACTATGTTGTCATGATTCAACCTGGAATAAAATATATCCATTTAGATATTCGATCATAGTAAAGGCCCACAGAATTAAGTGAAGAATATGACACTTCTTATTGTTAGAAGTAACAAGGGGTGCCAGGAGTTAGATCATTTCAGAAGCTACTTCTAATTCCCAAACACACACAAACGCACCAGGAATTTTTAAATTTGGGAATATTTTCCTCCTTCCAAGTTTCTGCTGTGGAAAACCGAGATGTTACTGCACATCCACTGGAAATAAAGAGTGGCGGTCATCAGCAAGCAAATATTTCATGTATCAATGATCACAACATAACACTAACCTGAATTGAACATAATTGACATCATTTTCGTGCCCAGATAGCACATCTATCTCATGATTTGGTTGGTCAGTGTCATCCATACTAAGTTTACAAGCATTCCACACCTGCAACACCTTTTAGGTTAGCTTAAAAAATTGTGAAGCTGGAAATCTTCTAGAACAAATTTAGGGAATGTATGATTTTCATCATTTTACACTTACCAAACATGCATTTAAATGTCATCAACATGTTTGATTACAGATGGATAAATGTTATATACCAAAAAAAGGTTCAAACACCTCAAACTATTTCCAGAGTAAATTTCAGGTCCAAAAGAAGTACATAATAACTAACTGGATGTATTGTTAGCTTTGGACAGCCTACTAAAAATGGGCAGTGACCATATCGAGGAGGTCAGAAATGGTTCAAGGCTAGAAGGTAATCACTAATAGACAGGCCTTAACAAATGATTGAGAAAATGGGACCAGGGATCAGGTATCAATCAATATGCAGTGATGTTTATTGGACATGGAGATTGATTTCTATAGAAAGCTTGAAGACGTATGAGAAACGAGACTTTTATTTATAGAAAAGGAATCTCTTCTGCTTCTTTGAGAAGTTATTTTTTCCTCAAACCATCACAATTTACAAGCTCACACCAGATTATTGACAAGGATAAAGAACAAAGTGTAAGAACTAAATAGAGATGATTAGTTTCTACAAAGCAAATAGAACAAACATATACCTTTACAGTGAATATTTAAGAGTTATTTATGCAAGTTTTCTAACTACAGGTAAGAGCTTACGGGCGCACACACATACCCTAGCAAGATTGTCAGAGCTACCAGTTACAAATACAGTTCCATTAGCATTAAATGCACAGCAAAATATCTGATGGCTCTGGGGTAAAGTACTCGAAGATGCGCCACCACTCTTTCCTAAAGCCAATAAGGTATTCCAAATTAGTTCTTTTTGCAATAAATCAATTAATAGTTCCCAAAAGAATCAACTAACCTAATACAGAATCCGAAGGCCTTGGAATATATAATCTTGGACTGGACTGGGTATACCTTGCATCCCATATCCTACAAGTTCCGTCATCAGAGGAACTGCAAAGTACACAAATTATCACCAACTTAATTTAAAACAGAACCTGGAATGCCTAAGAGTGAGGATCATTCACATAAATCATGCCAGAATACTAAATCCACACAAAAGCATGTAGCCAGAATCTGAAAGGGAAAGTTTCCGTGTCATAATCACACAACACAGCAACAGCAGTTCAAGGCCTCAACAGAAGAAACAAAAGAATCATTATAATCAATTGATGGATCAACCCAACTCAACAAGAAAAGAAGCAATCAAAGAATAATTATAAACAATAGGAGAGATTTCATCAAGAATTTGATAGAAACAAATAGAAAGAGACAGATATGAACTTCACTGTATGTAATAATAGCTGGGTGATATATAGTTCACATATTTTCCTGTCCACTGCATTTAGAAAGCTTCCATGTTATTTCAACAAATTATAGTTAAATATACATCAAGACTGAATTGGCACCAACAATGCTACCAAACGTATTTTTAAATATAACAAAAATATTGCATTTACTGACATGACATAGCATTTACATTGCTGTGAATAAGATTATACATTATCAACCCCTTTTCTTTCTCTATGCAGAAGACTTACGATAAAAGCTGGTATACAGCATTTGGTCTGGGACTAAATGCAATGGCTGTAACAGCTCCAGTATGTCCCCGTAAAACCGATATTGGCAAGCCATCTGGCAAGCGCCACTATGAAAATGAAATAGTCAAACATAGTGTACCCAAAAAAACCTGGGGAGAAGGGATAAAAAAAAAAAAACAAGAAACTTGCTTAGTCACATGAAATCTTACAACTCGAATGACACAGTCATTTGATGAGGATGCAACTAAAGCATTGTTTGAACTCACAGCCAAGTCAGTGATGTCACCCTGTTAAATATAGCATATAGTTCAATCTAATGGCTAATAAATATTAAGACAATGTGCATATATATATATATACAAACTGAAGAATACATATTTACAGTACAAAAACAGACTCACATCATGTCCACGGCAACTGGCCAAACAATATGCAGTTTCCATTGACCAAACCTTTACAAGTCGGTCATCTGAACCAGTAATCACATATCTTCCTGACCGATCAAATATAGCTGTAGAATGCATGTTAAGCTGAACTCAGTTGCATGACAAGAAGTAGCAACCGTCCAAAAGCAAACAAAAAATAATGGAATACCCAGAGTAACATTGGGCAGTATGAATTTATCCAATCTTGGAAAGGTAGTTCATTCAAAATATCCCACATAGTTGGGAGGGAAAACAAAAAGTGTGATATTTTAGAGCAAATTATTGTTCATTTTAAGTGTTTTTGGTGAGAACAAAAAGGCGACAATTTTGTGGGACTACAGAATTTATTCAGTTTTCCGATGTATTTGTTGCTAATGAAGAACTGCATGGTTTTGGACCCTAGGAAGGTTTTCTTGCAAATAAATAAATTCAGAAATCAAGATGGAAATCATGGAATAAATCTAACAAAATATTTAACACAAGTGTGTGATGACTAACTAACAATACCTGCCCTTTTGTTACAACTTATCTCACAATACCACAACATTTGAATTACAAATCACTGTCAATCAACCGCACAACAGTTTACCCTAATAACTCATGGACAAACTGTTCTTTTGGAAGTTCTTTGGTCCAATTTGAATTATCTGCAGTCCTACGTGACAACCATAGCAATGTAAAAAAGAAAGACAATAACATGTGGGGCTCAACTGATTTTGTTACTAATGTGTGGGACCTAGTAGAGTATAGTTTTACTTTGATCAGTTGTGTGTATAACTTTTGTACTACTGTACATAGCTGTTGCTTTCAGTTAGGTTCCTGTAGTTGTATTGTACTGTCTGTCAAACTCTCAGTTACATGCATAAAAGATCTTTCTTCTATACTGTAAAAGATCTTATCAGATGTTTGTAAATTGGGAAACTTGTAATTAGAATATTTTTCAAATTTCCTTCATGTATTCCTTATTTTTCTTTTATTATAAATAATAAAGATTGAATGTGTAGCAATCACACATAATCTTTTTTCCTCTTACTCCTTTCTTTACGGGTGACAGTATCACATATCACTCTGCAACTTTTATCCCTCTGTTACTGTTTGACAGCTTACCCGACCACTGTAGCACAGGTCTGACACATCCTATACTTGGAAGCCACCACATGTCTAACACACACACTATCTTTGGTGAGTGACGCTCACATGTGCACACTAGAGCTGCACAAGAAAATTTTTTTATCAGTACCCACTCATCAATGACAGCTCCTAAGCCTTCCCCTACCCCAAATGAATCTACCCAGACCCTCCTCCTGCCTTTTTAGTCAACTTTTCTCATGGCCTCCTCTAAATGTGATTTGGAGCCCATTTCCAATAAGAAGTTCACAAACGTAAGAAGTTCACAAACGTACCTCTCATTCATGTAAAAGATTGATTGGAACAACCAAGTATAGTACATGGCCAGATGATGTCCACATATGGTTCCATGGTCAAGGTCATTTCAACCACTTGACATCCCTGTTGACTTCTATTCCTCATAAGGATAAGAATTATTGGCAAAAAATTGATGCTTTTTTTATGTAATGTACTTTGGTTCTCTTTTGCTTTATGTTATGAGGTGTGGACCAAAGCCAAGTCCTACTATATCCACCATCTGTATAGTATGCTATGTTGACTATCAAACTTGAGAATATGGACATGCATATTTATCCAGGTAAAGTTGATCATTTAATTGTTGATTATAATAATCTAACCCCTTTAACTAGTGACGCAAAGACCTTTTGCTGGCAATGTAATCAATTTGTCATGGTTATTGTTGATCTTCCACTTGACCTTAACTCAATGCATAACCAAATACTTTCAGGCCCTATTGTGCCAACCTATGGAATGATTAGTAAACAACTATGCGATGTGGGACAAGTCTCTAATATGTTTTTCTTGGTTACTCTTGCTCTAGAAAGGATATCATTGTTTTTGTCTCAACCTTTGTCGTTCTTCTAAGAATCCTAAGCCTTTATATCAATGTGATATACAAGTGAAGCCATGATTGATGCTTAGGCAATAGGCGATGTTACAAGAAATGGCTGCCTTACGACCTGAGATACTTCAAAGCTTGTTCCCCTACCTCTAGATAAGACTGCAATTATTTGTCATTGGGTGTATATGGTCAAAGTAGGAGTGAACAGTAAAATTGATCAATTCTAAGCTCATGTTGTGGCTAAGGACTACACTCATATATTTAGTCTTTTATCATGGGAACACTTACTCCCTTGTGTCCAAAATCATTTAAATTCATTTGTTTCTTGCTATAGATACCAATTTGCCATTGGCCCCCCCACTAACTGAACTATCAATAAGAAATGTCTTGCTACATGGTGAGTTTTAAGATGTTAACATAACTCAACCTCCAAGATTTGTTGCTTCTAGTGACTCTTGCATTTTTTTTCAACTTTGCTGCTCTCTATATGGTCTTAACCAATACAATTGTGCCCAGTTTGACATGACTCATTGCGATGTTGATTCCTCTGTATTTTCTCTTCAATCTCCATCAGATATGTGCATTTATCTTATGGTTTATGTTGACAATATTGGTATTACTGGAAATGACTCTAATGATGTTCAACTGCTCAAATCCTATCCCCATAGTACTTTTCAAAAAAATGACTTCTGACCACTTAAATATTTGTTGGGCATTGTGGTGTCTCGATCCTCTTTCTAGCCTAGCTAGTTACTAGTGAAGATGCTTTAGATACATTTACAAAGATCAGCAAGCTTTATTATCTCCCAAGTGACACTCGTATGGATTCCAATGTGAAACTCCTTTTAGGTAAAGGGGAGACATATTAAGACCTAGTAATGTGTCCAAAACTTGTTGAAAGAATTCATTATCTCACAATCACCAGGCCAAACATCACAATGACCGTTAGTATGGGAAATCAATTCCTAAGTGCTCCTTGTGATAGTCATTGGGATGTTGTTATGCACATTCTTGTTTTGGACTATTATATGAAGACAAAGGTGAAGCTACGATTTGTACTAATTGGGTAGGACCCCCATCAAATAAGGGTTTCACTTCTAGTTATTGTGTTCTCATTAGAGGGAATTCGATCTCATGAAGAAGTAAGAACCATGATACAATTGCTAGATCTAGTTCTAAAGTTGAATATCATTCTATGGCAATTGCATCCAAGATGAAATGGCATATGCAACTTCTCCAATGATTACAATTTGGAGATACTCAACAGGCTAAACTGATTTGTGACAATTACACAACTCTACACATGTGTGGACCTAACACAGATATATTGTCATTTTGTTAGAGTAAAGGTGCTCTCAAGGGAAATTTGTCAGTTCCATTGATCAACTATTAGACATTTTCACAAAATCTCACAAGGGTTCTAAAGTAGATTTTGCTTGCAACAAGCTTGGCTCATTTGACATATATGCTCAAGTTGAGGAGGGTGTACAAAAGATCTAAGGCTTAGTTATGTTTTTAGTCCTTAAAATTTATGATGATTCTAGTTTTGGTTCTCCACATTTAAAAAGTTTATTTTTGTCTCTCAATTGAAAAAAATATGATTTTAGTCCCTAAACATTAAATTTGAGGGACTAAAATACTTTTTATAAAACTATTTTTAGTCCCTAAAATTTAGTGTTTAGGTCTAAAAAACCATATTTTACTAAATTTATGGAACTAGAATGAACTTTTTTAATTTGAGGGACTAAAGAAGGATTTACCACTAATTTCAGGAACTAAAAACATAATTAAACCAAAATCTTAATAGACACTTCCTTCATGTATTTTTATTTCCTTTGATTATAAATAAAGATAGAATATGTGTAACAATCACACAACTCCTATAATCTCATCCCTTTGACATATATGTTCTCGTAAGCCTCAATAGAAGCCCTAAAATACTGCAGAGAATTGAAATCACCATTTTTGGTTTTATGGGATTATTGTTTCCCCTTAAATTTTTCCCTCGTATGGTTTATTTACTTTCAAGAGGGGAATGGATTAGTGTCCCGTTCCTTGTACACTCAGTTGATATGAAGATTGCAGTACTCCATCAATCATCTTATATGATTTTAAATAAAACTGTTGCCAATATTAATATTAATATTAAGTAACATGGGCCTCTGATAGGACCTGGTATTATTGAATTGAAAAGGTAATAGCAGCGGAACAGAAAAATACTGAAACCAGAAAATATAAATCAGAGAATGTTCTCTGCCCTGTGACCACAGTCACCCCACAATACCCTTAATTCCTTCTCTCCCCCCTCTCCTCCTCCACTCTCCCGCTCTTTATTCTCTTTTTCTCCCTACATATTCCCGCATCTCCTTTCCCCCAACCCTCCTCTGCCACGTGTGCAGTTAGTTACCTCCACTCACAACAAACTCATTCCCACTAGTGACCTTTTTGCCCCTTCTGCGGTAGTAATATTTCCAAGGCCTTTGTTGTTGAGGCCCATCAGCCTCCCCATAATGTCTACTATAATCAATAAAGGAAAAGAAAAGGAAACAAGAACAATTCTCATTTCAACAAGTACACAACTAAGTTACACAAGTATGTCTAAATATATGCTTGAGTGTTTAGTACTATGCCTACCACAATAAACAGCATTTCGGTGTCCTCTTAACCTCTTGATATTTTGCATCTTTTGCACCATGGTAGAAGGTTTTGCAACGGCATAGCATGCAGCACGTATAGATGGTGCACGGTGATGTCTTGGGAAACCACCCCCGATTTCCCTCAAATTAAGCCCATGAACCTGATTGGCTTTCATATGAGGCCAGCGCATGTGAGGAGGTGGCCGTTTGACTTCTTTCATTTTATCCCTATCATCTGTTGTAGAGAAGCAATACAATAAACAAATAATTTATTAAGAGACAGATACAGATGAAATACTCATAAGCTGAATCAAGAATGAAAAGGGAAGGAAAAAAGAACAAAACACATGTAATACAGCATCCAAAGCCAATGCCTGTAGAGATCTACCAAAGACACCCCCCATTAAAATAAAGACCATAAGCAGAAGATAAAGAAGCCAAAAAGAGAAAGAAAACAACACATGTAATGCAGCAGCCAAACTCGTTCTCTCTAGAGATCTACCAAACAATCCACTGAAGGAAATTTCTGTTTTTTTCCATAACTAACAATCAGTAAATTCATAATTCAGTAAGAGAATTTTCAAATCAATCCAAAGTGTTAAAAGTTGATAATGATTTAAGTAAAAATAAAGAAAACGTACAGCTCAGCAGTGAAAATGAACCACTTCCTAGAAGAGTAGGTACATCAGCTGCATTTGGAGCATTTCCAACATTCATACCCAGTGATGGGGTGGCTGTATTTAATAACAATTGTTTCAAAAGCTTTACCAAGTGATCCTTTTCAACATGAGGATACCTGTATAATAATTAATTACTACATCAAATAAAATATTATAAAGGAGGAGTTGTGCATAAAGGAATACCAGTATAATAATATAATTAATTATAAATCACCGAAAAGTCATAAAGAAGATGGGATGCATAAAAATACCTCTCCACTAACATATTGTAATTTAAAGGGAATGATAGACCATCACCATCTTTGTCTCCACTACATGCCCCAGTCCTTGAATACCAAGCATGATACCTTCTAGGCAAAAGTTGATGCTCAAGAAGCTCATTCCAAAACTGCAAATATGTTTTATGGCATGGCCCAGAAGAAAGAAAGTGCATAATGAGAAAATAAACTTCTCTAAGGTCAATATCCACATCCATGTTATGATTCTGATTTGCCTTGTCATGCTCAGCTTTCTTAGGCACCTTACTGGAAAAGGTCAAATGTTTGACATTAACGGAAGGAGCATGGCCAGAAGGAGCATATTTCTGCAAAGCCATATTCCTGTAAAGGATCAAAGGAACAAATAAAATACTAATCTTATAAGCTGGAAGATGTGAAAGAACACAAGTTTGTTGATCTCTTAATTGCTTCAAACTGGAAGATTAATGAAATGAGAGGACAGTGAGAATGATATAACACCACCCTAACAAAGATATATCATGCGGGAAAAATGTGAAATAAGGAAGAGTTTGAAGGTTTTGACCAAGTCAACAGTAACCACCCCAACACTTAGTGCAAGCCTTTAAAAATTTTGTTGTGCCTGCCATGCTAGCTGCAAGACTTCTAATCTATGATCTGGGGACTAGGAAGCATCCTTCGTCACAGATCCTACCACACAACACAGTAAATAATTCCCATTTGTAATTGAGAAACCCCCTCAATTCACTTTGCTTTGAGGAACACATAGCACTGTCCTTCCTTCGCTTTCAATCAACAAGTGTCATCTGAATCAAGGTGTAGGTCCTTAACATCTAACTCAAAAAAATCTAAAATCTGATTAAGTATTTATTTGTCTAGAGAATGGACTTTTGGTGATGGCATTGGTGTAATAATGAAACAAGCATGCATAAAACATCAGTACAATATATTTTACCCATATTTTCATTTCTCAGCTACCAACTGTTTATAAAGTATCACCTAAAATCTTCAAAACATCCTACACAGTATGTGATTTCGCTATAAAAAATTTATAATCAAGAAATTAACCACTTTTGAAAGTCAGCACTTTCAATGAAATTGCAGGTGAAATTCTGTAAAAGCCATAAGTAACTCATTTGTCCCAGTATGAAAGATGATATCAAGATTCTATAATCTTTATTTACTTTCAAAGAGATGAACCAGTAAGCACATTCCTCTGTTTTGATACTCAGAGCATTCCGGCCATTTCCCACTCTATATTCCATCTTTCCTGCCTGATATTATATATTAAGATTGCATACATCTACCCTCCCCAAACCCCACTAGGTGCCTCATCAACTGGGTTGCTCTCTCTATCCCTCATCTAGTATACTACAAGTGGCATATGGCAATGGTCCAGCAACAGAAAACCCTCAACTGTTCAAGCAACATATGGCCTAAAGCTACTAGTCCTTCAAATATTTTCGTCGAAAACAGAAAACTTCACCCAATTACATGATATGCCATAAAATGCAGAACACTTCTCAGTATACTTATTTAGCATATACATACACCAAGATCTACAACATAGATCAGAGGAAAGGGTCAACAAACAAAAGCAATTAAGCACCAAAATGTCAGCCCGGCATTCACAGTTCAAAACTACTCAAATAAAAACAAAGGATAACGAAATATATGCAGCATTCGGCATAAAATGCACTAATAAAATGAAATCAAACATTCAACTTCTACACCACTCAGATTTTCAAAGCAATTCTCCCATATAAACTCAAATTCCATTCACCATCCATCAAACTGAAAATCCAAACGGGCAGAGTAATTAAATCCAATGAAAAATAACTTACAGATGAGTGACAGATTCAACCAGAGAAGCACTCTCCAAACCTCTCATCTACACCTTTGAAACCCTGACACTCCAGAGAATCCATCACACATTCCTCTGCACCATTAAAAATAAACCCTAAATTCAATTTGTCAAAGCTTCACAATCACACATACCAACCACGACAAGCAAAAAAAAAAAAAATGGACACAATAAACCAATCAAAGAAAATCAAACACATGCCAAAAACAACACCAATCCCTGAAAAATCTAGAACCAAATTTTTCAAATTGTAAAACAAAATAAATAAATTTAATTAAAAACAATTTCATAATTGTACAGAGTACGCATAAGGATGAATAAGTCTGTTGCGCTTGGTTGTTGTACCTTGAGAGGTTGGAGGAGTGAATTTCGAAAAGGAATAATGGTGCCCTGAGCCAGTCAAATTCCGCAGAACATGTCGAGTGTGAATCACGCGCCACAATGCGACTATAGATTCAAGGAGGAAGCTCTCTGCTGTGCTATGCGTACAGTTTTTTTCAGTGCCTACGGCAATAAGTACAATGTGGAGAGGCACAGAAACAGAACGGAAACAGGAATGGGAGAGAGATGTAAGAAGCGAAGGGATTGATCCAAACGGTGCGTTCATGCCTTTCTCAAAATATATTTCTATAAAATAAATACCTCTACCGATCGTTTATTCTCTTAAATTTAAAATGAATTTTTAATGTATAATTTAAAAATATCATTTTTGATATTTTATTTAAAATTTAGCAGAATCATATGTTTGTTAGTCATAGTTGTTAAATTTTGTAATGCTATTTAAAATTATAATTTTTTAAAATTATAAAATCTAAATATTTCAAATATATTTAAAAAAAATAAAAATTGAAGAAAATTATGAATTTATACATAATATATACATATATATATATATATTGTTAATTTTATAAAATAAAGTGATCCGTTGCAGATTTTACATATCTAGGCAAAGTTACATAAATACCAATGATAAAAAAAGTACGTCAGATTTTTTTAATGGAATTAAAATATATATATATATATTGACAACAAACATTGACTTTAAAGTTAGAAGATATTGACAATTGAAAATTCAGTTAATAACTAACTAAAAAGTTTGCGAGTTCAAACGCGAAGGAGAGAGCGTAGCTACAAAATGAATGCAATGTGTTTCGAATTTCAAAAAGTTATAATTTTTTTTTCTTTAAAATATTACTTCTTATTCTTGTTATAAGACATTTTCAAAAATGTATTATCTTTTATAAGTGTTTTATAAAGTTTATATAAAAATTATGTTTTATATTAATGAATAGTTAAGTAAAAAAATTAAAAGTCACTAACAATAAAATTATTTTATTATCATTGTAATATATTTTTTTAAAATTAAAATAAATTAATTAACTTTATTGATAATTGTGATTATATTAAAAAGTATATTATATTTAATGAATTAAAAGAAGTAATGAACTTCTCCAAGGTCATAGTTAAACATTCTATAATAATATTTAAAGTTTATGAATAATAATTTGAATATTTTAAAATTAAAAAAATGTAAGAACTATTAAAAATAATAATTTACAGTATGTATATTAGAGTAACTTACACAAACAGGATTGAGCTTTCCTCAAATTATACTCATACTTTTTTTTTCTTAATTTTATTAAATTCTTTGTTATTATATATATATATATATATATATATATATATATATATATATATATATATATATATATATATATATATTCTTATTTACATTAACCTATATTCTTCAAGTTTTAGAAGTATTACACATGCACCATCACTCTCTTAAGAGTCATTATGAATTTATGATGATGAAAAGAAAAACATGGAATCTAATATCTTGAATAAAAAAATCTCATTGTATAATTTACTCTATATATTAATTAAAATCTAATTTTGTATATTAAACTATAATAAATCATTGATATTTCATAATATACTTTTAATATTTTCTTTTCTTTGTAGGAAAATATTTGTTAAATATTAAATTCTCCAATTTAAATACTACAATATTAATTAATCTTAAAAAAATCATTAGTTTTACTAAATACTTAAATCGATATTTTATCCAAATAGTTCAATAATTTAAATTTAGAATTTGAAAATAATTTAATTAAAATAAAAAATTATTTTTACAAGTAATTTAATATGATATTTTTATAAAAATAATTTAACAAGTAATTAATTCTTTTAAATTTGATAATTGTTTTTAAAAATAATTTAATATGATACTTATCTAATAAAATAAAACAATATTTATTTATTTACTAGAATAATTAATATGACAAGTTTTTGAAACATCTTTTACAAGATCGGTAGCAAACTTTGTTCTTGGAAAAGTAAGCAAGTTTCTTTCTAATACGGAGAATTAAACTTGTTAACTTTGTCATCTCTAACACGACTTAATGAATATTTAATATTATTATGTATTACGTAATATAAGAGGATTATATATATATATATATATATATATATATATATATATATAATATGAGAGAATAATAATAATGAATCAATAATGATAATTATTTTAGTATGCTCATATGTTTTACATTATTTAGAATCGAGACTAATGATAGTTTATATGCATATTTTTCTTTTAACTCACTTACGTGTTTTTTAAGGACAAAACTACTTAGGTATCAAAAATTGACCGACCTAAGAAAATTAAGAGACCATCATAAATAGGGGTGTATGTGTTAGCAATCCCAACTTGAAACATAGATCATTAAATCGAGCATGTGGTAAAACGTTTATGAAGATGCTAGCTTGTTATAATTGTGAAGAGATAATGAAAAGCTTTATGAATCCATTATGAACTTTTTTCTAACAATATGACAATTCTATTTCAATATGTTTGGTACATTCATGACAAATAGGATTTATAACTTAGAAGTTGACTGATTGTTGTAATATAGTGAGGTCGGTTAAGTGTATACTCCTAAATCATCCAAAAGATATGTCAGCCACTATAAGAGCTCAGTATTCAACTTCAGTCAAGCTCTTTGAGATTACGGTTTTCTTCTTGGAGCATCAAGTGATGGGAGAATTGTCGTGTTAAATAATGTAGTCAATAGTAGAACGTCGGGTATCGAGATAGGAGCACCAATTAGAATCACAAAATGTTCAGTTGGGTGTTGTTGTTTTTGTCGAAGAAGATACCTTTTTTGGTGTGAGTTTGAGGTAGCGAAGGACGCATTGGACAACATGATGGTGGGCCACAATGGGAGCATTGACAAATTGACTTAGTTGATGAATAACGTAAGTTATATCCGATCTAGTATTGGTCAAATAGATAAAATAATCGATGAGATGTCATTAAGTGGTTATTTCAGGAAAGATGTCATTGTTACTTATAGGGATATTCGTGGAGCAGTTCATGGGAGTGGGTCGGGAGCAGACGCCAACTTCCGACTAAGGAAGTCGAAAATGTACTTACATTGTGAGAGATGCAAATCATAATTGTTTCGATCAACTTCAAAATCAAGGAAGTAGTGAGATCTCTCAAGTCTTTGACCTTGAAGGCCTCATTCATTTTCTAAGTGATATGAGATATTTTATCAATATTATTTCTAGTCAAGACAATGTCATCTACATAGACAAGGAGAGTTCTTCATGCTAGTTCCTGCAATCTTTAGAAACAATGAGTCTGCATATGATTGTTTATAGCTATTGGATATGAGAAACATTGAGAGTTTTGTATACCATTAATGACCAAATTGTTTTAGCACGTAAAAAGATTTATGAAGACGACAAGCCTTTTATGCAAGAGGTACCAAGAGGAATTTTTATGTATACTTTAACATCTAAGTCGCCATGTAGGAAAACATTCTTAACATCTAATTGTTTTATATGTCAATTATGGATGAGAGCTAAGGAGAGTAATAACCTAACAGTGGTGATTTTTCTTCAAGGAGAAGGTCTCATTATAATTAAGTCCCTTTCATTATAATTGTATATGTTGATGGAACCATTGACTTTGTATTGTATTTTGTATACTCAGTTACAACTGATTATTGATTTGTTCGGAGCAAGTTCGGTTATTATCCAAGTCCGATTTGTTTCAAGAGCATGAATTTCATCCATCATGACTTTTACTCAGGCTCGTTATGCTATGCTTCTTTATAGGAAGTTGGCTCACTATTGATGTCGATGTTCATGATCAACCTTTTTTAAATGAAGCAAATAATTTTTCATTAGATATGTAATTTTGATAGGACAGCGAGTAATTGTGTTTGAACTTGAATTGACAACACGAGTCTTTAAGGTAGCTCAGTAACCACCTGGCTTTATTTGTCCTTCTAATGGTTGGGAATTGAACATTGCAAAAAGACCCAACATCTTCAATGGCATCAACATCACTAATAGATCGATTATGGTCAATGGTACCAGAGGCATTGACGACAACATTCTGACCGCACAAAATGTAGATAAAAAAATTAACAAGTTATTAAACTAATACAGTATAACTAACCCTGTCGAATCTCACAAGGACATAATTATAGGAACACACTCATTACCAAACATCATTTTTTGTAGTAAGCTGGAAAGAGACAATGCCACATTGTTGAAGTCTCAAATGAATCTTCGGTAGACCCTTACCAATCTCTCAACCGTTTGATTTATAAATGAACGAGGAATGTGATCCTTCCGAGTAACCTGGTTAGCCTCTAATAGTCCATACAAACTCTCCATTTTTTTGGCAACCAAGTAATAATAAACTCTTGGTCTTCATTCTGCACACCATTTACCCCCATTCTTTTTTGGAACAACTTGGATAAGAGATACCCAAATATTGTTTAAGATAGGATATATGATGTCAGCTTTCAGTAACTTGGTCACCTCTTTTTCCACCACATCAAGGATGATAGAATTCATCCTTTGCTAGGGCTGCCTCACAGGTCTACAACCATCTTCTAGCAAGATTTTGAAATGGGATGGGTGTAGTTTTAGCTTTAACTCATCAGGTTGTTACTATGGTGTACTTGCTTGTGATACTTCAATTGTTTGGGTTTCCACCAAGCTCACCTGTGTTGTTTCTACAAAAGAATAAAATTAAATAATATCATTAACCTCTTTACAAAAGTCACATCTTCTATCCGTGCATTCACATTCAAGCAGTTCTTCTTGGCTTAAATTCCAATATTCTAAGAGCTGATCAAGGTCAACTCCTAGTTCTTCATCCTCTTGATTAACAACTGTTTGAGATGTTATTGCCTACTGGAACAACAATAGTAGACCGTGAATAAGTACACTAAGTAAGTTCTTAGGAAAGAGATGTGGGTCATCAATGGACACACTTAAGTATCAAGTCTTTCCTACTCAGAACTCTCATAGACATGCACTCTCACACTACCAAAGTATATCTAGTATTTCCTACTAGAATGGTTCTCCATAATTTCTTGCAAAAAATGGTTAGGGAGTATACATAGATAAAATATAAAATTTTTTTTTTAAAATAAAAAACTAGAAAAAGAAAATGATATTAGATAATGATGCGCAACATAATTATGTCTCTAGCAACAACACCATTGACGATAACATTCTGGTGGTACAAAATGCTAATAAAAAAATTTAACAAGTTGTTAAACTAATATAATATAGTTAACCTAGGTCAAATCTCATAAGAACACAGTTATAGGAATGTACTTATCATCAAACATCATTTTTTCTAAAAATAGTAGATAATAGTAAATGTGGGGTTTATGATAATAAAATGAAAGAGCAAAAAATAAATGGAAGCAAAATAACAAAAAATTAAATTATTGTTGAATAATAACGAAAATAAAATTAAAGTAGAACAATGAGATCTTAAATAACTGAAATTTATAAAAATAAAACCGAGTGCTTTTAATTAAATTTGAAACTTTCTATAATAAAGTACAAAATAAGAAATTACTTTTAGTTAAAATAAAATAGTACATTAATTAAATTTAAAATTATTGAAAGAGATAAACCTAAATTTAAGTTATAAATTGGTATCGAAAATAGTAAAATAAAATTGGAATAAGACAATCGATAAATTAAAATAAAAAATGAGGTCAATTGAATACTGGAATCAAATAAAATTTGTAAACAATTGAATAACATAAATTAAATTGAGCACATAATGAATAAAACAAATTCAATAATATAAATCTGGAAAATTCAAAAGAGATTGCAAATTAAATTACAAAAGAGAACAAATTGAAAATAGTTGAAGTAGATCCAATTAAGCTTGTCGAACTAAAAACTAAACTAAAAAAAAGTTAAGAATGGAAACAAAATTAAAGAAAACGAGACAAGACAAAATAACAGTTCTAACCCAGGAGAAAGAGATTGTGTTTTCTACTCTCACCAAACCTCTATTTATTAGGCACTTACCAAGAGAAAATAAGCCTAGAATTAACTATAATAAAATCAAATGTTTCCTTAATTAAAAATTATAACACTAGATTATTGCATGACGAGAAATTTATGGAATTGATTGGAGCAATTCCTGATTTGAGTTTATTCAAAGTTGATCTACATTTAATTCTTGATTTTCACAGCATTTAATTTAGCTCAATTAGATTCTTGTAGCAAGTAATTTGATTGATTCAAAATTTCAATTTGTAACGTTCCACGAATGGGTTACACAAACAAACTAGGGCTTCCGAGAAGAGTGAAGTTTGACTGCAGATGATGCTTGCTATGAATTTAACCTTTATTTCCATCAATTTGATCCATCTCAAATTACTTTTCTCCTAAAAAAAAGATAAATATCCACTGTGGATGTATGAATTGATCAAGATTTAAGATTTTGAAGATTTGATGAAGTCAAAGAACTTATGAGATATGGGATATAGTGTTGAGTTTGCATCAATGTTAAATAGGTATAATCATCTAATCATTCCTACTGCATGGGGTTCTATCATTTGAAAGAAATAAAAATGTCTTTAATCCTTTTAATATGTTAAAAAATATTTTTAATCGACTAATATGTTCTTGAGCCTCGGAATTAATTGATGAAGTTACACATTAATCGATTATAATCAGCTCAAAACACTTCTAACATATTTTCAACTGATGTATTTTTGAAATAATTGATTAAAACCACTTAAAGCATGTATTGTCTCTATTTTAATCGATACATATTCAAATTAATTGATTATTTTCAATAAAGAAGTTTTGGAAAACTTTCTCGCCAGTATTTTAATCGATACATCTTCTAATTAATCAATTAAAAACACTTAAGAAAGTTTTAGAAAATGTTATGTCATTATTTTAATCGATTGAACTTCAAATTAATCTATTAAAATCACTTAAATAATTTTTTGTTAATTGTTTTAATCGAGTAAACCAAGATTTTATCAGTTAAAAATACTTAAGAAGTTTTAGAAAATATTCTCGTCAATTTATTAATCAATTAAACTTTGAATTAATCGATTAAAATCACTTAAGGATTTTTTGAGTGACTATTTTAATTGATTAAATTGTATTTTTATCAGTTAAAATAATTATGGAAAATATGGTAGAACATTTTAATCGATTAAATGATCTTTTCATCAATTAAAATCATTAAAGTCAAGTTATTTTAATTGATTAAAAGGCGAATTAACCGATTAATTAAACTAGTTTGTTAGAGAAATATCTATATAAACAGATTTGCTTCAACATTTTAAAACATAACTTTTAAAAATCATTCAAGCAATATTTAGAGATATTTTCAAGAGAGAAGTGCGTTAGGAATTTTCGAAGTTCTTTCTTGAGGCATTTTTTTGCTCTTGCTTGTTTATTTTACTCTTTCATCACTTTCTTTAAATTCTGGTTGAACCCTTTTAAATTTTGATTGTTTTTCTTTGATTGAATAATTGATCAGATTTGTTAAACTTTGAAATTGTTAATCTGTATTTGTAAGTTTTGAAAAAGTTTGTAAAGATCAATTCATCTCCCTCTTGATCTCAGCCTATAATTCTAACATGAATGTAATCTTTGATGCTAAAACTATACAAAATACAACAAATTAAGTAAAAGTGAATTATGCTATTTTTTATGAAAACATGTTAAATGCATGATTTATGAAGAAAATAATTATTTTAGAAAATACTCTTAGATCAAGAAATAAAGAGTAAAATGATATACATAAACATTAGTTGGAGGTCGAGCATCATCAATTGAGTCAAAGCTTTGTCAGCAAATTATGCACCCTCAATATTGACATCAATGCTATCATAAGTCTAAGTGTTGTCAAAGGAAACTTCGCTATAAGTTTGTGCATTGTTAGTACTAGAGATATTTCCATAAGGTTGAGTACCATAAGTAGTATGAGTGGTGGCATCATGATTAATGTGGTCATCGTAAAAGTTAAACCCAGGAGGCATAATATATTGGGAGATAATTTCACTATCATTTTATTTATTAAAAGGGAAAACATTTTCATAAAAGATTATATTTTGGGAAACCTCAACATTATTTGGTTTGAGATTATAAATAATGTATCCTTTTGTATTAGGATATATTCCAAGAAAAATACCTAGAATAGTTCGATTGTGCAACTTCTTTCTATGGGTCGTCAAACTGCTAACATAAGAAAGACAACAAAAAATACGAAGATTGCTCAGATTGAGAAGCTTACTGTGTAATCGTTTGTAGGTGAGTTATTGTCTAGATAAGGGGTTGAAATAAAATTGATCAAGAAAATAACATGTTTGAGCACAAAACACTAGAAATTTAGAGTGAGTTTATAATAAAAAAGTTTGGCACGAGTGACATTTAAATATGTTGATATTTTCTTTCAACAATATCATTTTGTTGGGGTGTTTCAATGCAATTGGTTTGATGAATAATACCTTTGGAATAAAAAAAATTTCATGTGAAATTTTAGTCCATTATCCAACCTAATAATCTTGATATATTTTTCAAATTGATTTTCTACAAAGGTAATAAAATTGACTAAATGACTTCTAGTTTCACCTTTATTTTTCATAAGATAAACCCAGGTATAGTGAATGCAATTATCAACAATAGTTAGAAAGTATTTTTGACAATGCAAACATATCTCGGGACAAGGCCTCAAAATGTCAACATGCAAAAGAATAAAAGGTGTCAAATTACGTGAGTGACTAAGATTAAAAGGTAAACATTTTTGTTTAGCTAAATGACAATGTATATAGGAATGTTGTTGTTCCATAATAAGTAAACGTTTATTGGATAAATGCCCTAATTGAGCATGCCAAGGACCCTTATTGTCAACAGTAGAGGAATGAGTGAAATGAGATTTGTTAGTGGAGGTGTTAAGAGTGTATAAATCGACCTCAACATTAACTAAACCAATCATCCCTTTGGTTTTCTTGTCTTGAATAATGCAACAATTGAAAGAAAAAATGACATCAAATTTAAAATAGAAGTTAGTTTTAAAACAAAGATCAAATTATAAGAACAAGAAGGGAAAAAAAAGCACATATTCAAGGAAGAGATAATCAATTTTAATAGTGTCAGTATAAGTAACATAAACCTTTCCACCATTAGGAAGGAAAACAATCATAGGATTGATAGGTATATAAGGAAGAAAATTAGAAAGAGAAGAAGTAAAGTGATCAGTTGCACATGAATCAATAATCCAAGAATTTGATTTTTGGGAGTTTGAAAAACTTATGTTAGTGATAATGTTATCTTTCACTTCTAGTGATCTTGCCGAACAAGAAGCAATTTTCATTACAGAATTATCCGAGTTATGTTGCGGAATGAGGGTCATAAGAGTTTGGCATTGCTCGTGTAAGAGACCACGTTCTTGATCAAGATTATGGTCGACTTCATTAGCAATGTTGACGAGTTTAATATAGTTTTACCATTGTATAATTTGTGACCAGGGGAATACCCATGTTTCTTGTTGCAAACATCAATGGTGTGACTGAGCTTCCCATAATGTGTAGAAGTTTTCTTGGGATTTTTGTTACCCTTGTTGTTGTGGTTTTGTGAAAAACCATGTTTACGGTAGCAAACGTTCTCATTATGACAATTTCTTCTCCAATAAGAGCAAAAATCAATTGAGTTAGCAATGATGTTGATTTTTTAGGTCCTAACTTACATATGAGAATATTTCCTTGACTTGTCCTATTGAAACATAAGAAAATATTTTGTTAATAAAGGAATAAGTTCTATCAACAAAACGTGAAACTTTATATTCTTGTATTCCTCGTTTAATGTACAAAGAAATTGCACGGCTCGATCCTCGTCTTTCCTCTAGCAAATGGTAGGAAGGGCGATGCAAGAGCATCTAGTGGCATAAGTACAAGTTTGATCAAGCCTGAAGCTGTCCAACTCATCCCAAATAATATGAAGCTTGGTAAAAAAACTATGTGATATTTAAGTCGCCCTGGTTGAGCAACGAGACTTTAGTATATCGACAGTTCTCAAGAGGTTATCTTGAAAATATCTTGTTTTAAGGTCATCCCAAATATGTTCAGCTTTGTAATCCATAGGACATTTTTTCTTATGGGTTCAAAAATAAAGTTAATGATCCAAGAAACTACCATATTGTTGTAGTGATTCCAAGAGTGGTAAGAAGGATTATCTTTGTTAGGTTCTTTTGTGGTACCATCGATGAAACCTAATTTACTTTTTGCACTCAACGTTATCATGGATTGACTCCATGAATGGCAATTGGTTTCATCAAGGATAGGAGAAATAAGATTGGTAGCGAGATTCTTTGTTAGGATGAAGAAAGAACTTATTTTGATCATGTTTCGCATTTAGAGTCATGGTGAAGAATAAAGAAAAAAAAAATTAGAGTAATGTAACATAGTTTTTTAAAGGAAGAAATTTCATACCATCATGAAAGAAAGGAGAGGAGGAAGGAGAAAGAATCACAGAAAAAAGGAATGAATATTCAATATTATTTTGTATTATGTGATACAAAGGGATCATATATATATATATATATATATATATATATATATATATATATATATATTCAATAATGTGAGGAGAATAATCAACACATACATGATCATAACAAACAAAATTTATTATTGACACATCTATTTTAAGACAAAAAACGGCCGACCTAGGATATCAAAACTGACCTAAGAAAATTAAGATGACTCTTTATAGTTTGTGTTTATAATTGGCCTATCTCCTTTACAAAGGATATAGAGGTTTGGATTTGTAACTTTGTCTTCACAAGAGACATTCTTAAGTGAAGAGACATTCTTAAGTGAAGGCATGTCACATATGCTTGGAAGAAGGTTTGCAAAGCACATGTTTGGTTTGCATGAAAAAAGTTTGTGGTTGATTATAGGTTCTTTATTGGACTAGGCAGTATAGAAACATGTAACAAATGAAGTTCTTTCTATTTGCAATGTTTTGCAGTTTTTCATATATGACAACATTAATGGTGCTAATATTACTCTTTGTTGGTCAAATAATATCCCTCCTTCCTATTCTTTATTACTTTGGAGACTTCATAATAACAAATTTCCCACTCATGATTTGGTAAGCCAAAAAGTTATCTCGTTAGTCTCTATTTGCAGCATCTACGGTAAGGACTCTAAAACTAGCACTCATACACTATGATCAAACACATATGGTATTGGTTAAAGGACATTTTTGTTAGTTCAAATAGTTTTCATGGATAATTCTAGAAAACTACTCTATAGGGGCTTAAAATTAATGATTCTCACACATTCACATAAATCATAATAGGAAGATATTAACCTTGATCCACGTAAGATCCAATGAAAATACGTTATTTAGTATCTTTAATCTCTTTGTTCTCTAATCTCCTTTTCCCAATTTATCTCTTTGTCTTTCTTTATTCTCTCACACTTTGTAATGTGAGAAAACCTTATGACAAAAAGAAAACTCTTGCTTCCTTTATATAACCAATTTCTATCAAGTTGGTTACAATCAATTTTAGAAGATAACACTCGATACTATCCACTAAGTTGGATAAATCTTCATATTATCCACTAAGTTGGGTAACTCCTTATATTATAAGTTAGATAATTCCTCATATTATCCATTAGGTTAGTTACCATTAGTTTTAAAACTTCGCATAACATGAGTCACATAATTGAATTAATTTATTTATTAATTTTAACATTCTCTCACTTGACTCATGTGATGTCATAATATTTCATTATTTAATACATAAATCATAATGTTCATTAAAGGACCTTACATAAATTGTTTCCATCATTATTCATAATTAAAGATAGAAAAATAACAAGAGTTATAACAGTTATATGTCATAATTTCATGAACTTATACATTAAAGAACTTAAAGTGTCACATAAGCATTAATAATAACATTAACATTCAACATTCACTAGTAGATATAATGTTCGTATTCTCTACATGGTTAGCAAATAATTCGGGCAGTAACCCTTTTGTTAAAGGGTTAACAACCATAAGATCAATGTTAATATGTTCTATTAATACTCAACGTTTCTAAACTTCGACAAAATATTTCAATTCCATATGTTTAACACCTTTAGAATATTTGTCCTTCTTAGAAAAGAAGACTGTTGTGGAATTATCACAATAAATTTTTAGCGACTTGACAATATTGTCGACTACTCCAAATTCTAAAATAAAATTCTACAATTAATTAGCTTGAACTATAGCCTCAAAGGATGCCACAAATTCAACTTCTATGGTGGATGCAACAATGACAGACTACTTCACACTTTTCCATGAAATCGTTCCTCCAGCTAAAAGATACACATAACCAAATATAAACTTTCTTGTATCCATACAACCAACAAAGTCTGAATCTATATATTTAATCACGTCAAGGTGATTAGATTTTCTATAGCATGTGATTCTTTGTTCCTTGAAAGTATTTGAAGACTTTCTTTGCAACGTTCCAATGATCCACTTCAGGATTAGGTATTTACCTAACATACCAACTACAAAGCTAATATCTGGCCTCGTACATGTTTAAGCATACATCAAATTCTCAACAATAAATAAATAAAATAAATTAAATTGAGCACGAGATGAATAAAGCAAATGCAACAATATAAAATTGGAAAATTCAAGAGAAATTGCAAATTAAATAAAAGAAGAACAAACTGAAAAGTTGCAGTAGATCCTTACTAAGCTCGCCAAACTAAAAACTAAACTAAAGAAAATTGGAAACAAAATAGGAAAAAACAGGGTCGAGACAAAATAGCAGTTCTCGCCCAGAGAAGAAGATTGTGTTTTTCTACTCTCATCAGACCTCTATTCACAGGGCACAGACCAAGGGAAAATAAGTCTGAAATTAATTACAATAAAATTAAATATTTCCTCAATTAAAATTACGGTACTGGATTATTGCACGACCAGAAATTTGTGGGATTGATTGGAGCAATTCAAATTCTTTCCTAATTTGAGTTGATCCAGTGCTAATTTGCATTTAATTTTTTATATTTGTAGCCTTTAATTTAACTCAATTAGATTCTCGCTACAATTAATTTGATTGATTCAAAATTTACAATTTTAACGTTCCACAAATAGGTTGCATAAGCAAACTTGAGCTTTTGAGAATAGTGAAGATCGATTGCACATGATACATGTTATGAATTTGGACCTTTTTATTTTCGTCAATTTGACTCATCTCACATTACGTTTGTCCTATCAAGAAAAAGATAAATATCCACTGTGGATGTATGAATGTATGTTGTGATGCTAAAACTATGAAAAATACAACAAATTAAGAAAAATTTAATTATGTTATGTTTTTAATGAAAACATGTTAAATGCATGGTTTGTAAAGAAAATAATTAGCTTAGAAAATACTTTTAGATGAAGAAATAAAGAGTAAAATGACATACATCACATATCTTTCATTTCAAAGTTATTAGAGAGAAAGTTCCTAGTCGTACTTAATAGACCAAGATAATTAGTCGCAAGTAAGACATCATCAACATACAAAATCATAAATATAAACTTGTTTCCACTGACCTTCAGATATATACACTGATCAACAGTGTTTTCCTTAAATCCAAATGACAAAATAATATTATTGAACCTAAGATACCATTGCTGAGAAGCTTGTTTAAATCCATATATTGATTTCTTAAGTTTACACATCATGTGTTTCTTTCCTTCTTCAATGAACCCCACTGATTGGTCCATATAAACATCCTTCTCTAAATCTCCATTATAAAAGCAATTTTAACATCCATTTGATGTAACTCAAGATCATAATGAGTTATTCATGCCATGATAATTATAAAAGAATATTTTTTAGAAATAAAAAGAAATTCTTATAATCAATGTCATCTTTTTTAGTAAACCCTTTGGTAAAACCTTCAATATTGCCATGAGAGTCACACTTAGACTCATTTACACCAAACTCTCTTGCATCCTTCTAGCAATATCACAAGGTCCCATATACCATTTTATGCAATTGATTTAAACTCATCTTTCATATCATTTAACCATTTATCAGAATTACCACCATTAATGGCTTCTGAATACTATTTCTTGTGGTTGTTTTTAATATTATTTCTTGTGGTTGTTCTACTATCAACTCATTGTTAACCTTAGGATCATTAGTTTATTGTAAATATTATGTGGTTCTACAATATGGGGAACAACACCTTTTGAAGAAGAAACACTAGTTATAGAAACTTTTACTCTAACTTCCTTAATCTACATATTTTGTGAAGCTTCACTCCCACTAGTTTTACCATTCTCAATGAACTAAACATTTCTAGTTTTAACAATTCTTGTAGTATGGGTAGGATAGTAAAACATATGTTGAATTATTGGCAAGCGTACCAAAATTATCAATCGCAGTATAGTATTTCGATTAAATAAAAGTCGATCACACGAGGAATGGTTTCAATGGAAATTCCCAATTATGCTTACTAAGTAGATTAAAATAGATTGGGTTTTGCAAATAAGAGTTGAATTGAAATCAAATGACAAAGAACTGTAAATTATTGAGAAAATATCAATTAAAGGTACTTAGGATTGACTTTCTTCCTTATCCCTCTTTTGTAATGACTATGTCAATTAAGAACGTCAATTAACTTAACAATGTTGATGTCACCTACTCAAATCATTCATGTTGATTCCTCACACATGAAATTCATAAGAAAACCTAATAAATGTTGATTCCTCACACAATTAACAGATTTTCCAGCATTAGGGTTAGGGTGTTAAACAATTGATACATTCATTCCATTCCTGACAATTAACGTAACAAATATTCTTACCGTGATCTAGGGTTCAAGATATATTTTCCAATCATACCTCAAAAAATCAAGAATAAATCATTCCAAAGCATAAAGGATAAGAATAACAACATCAAAGCATAGATTAAGATCTCAAAATATCACCATGATACAAAAGAGTTCAAAGGAAGTACACCGAATCCTAAGAGAATGAAGTTAGCCACTCATGTTGGCCATTACAATGCTCCAATTGATGAAGAAGTGAAGAATTGATAAAGATTAGACGAAACCTTAACAGCAGTCGTGCCTCCTCTTCTCCAAGACTGCTTCCTTTTCTCAAAACACAACTTATCTTTCGATAAGAGAATTTGGGTCGGGCCTCGCACCATTCATTCACTTAAGCGCTCTTCTTTCTTTCAATTTTACTTCAATTATGCTGACAATTATGCTCCTTACTCTTGTATCAAGGTATTCTCGAATTCATCCTATATTGGGAGAAAAATATATTAGAATTAACATAAGTTAAGTGGTTTCATAACAATTCAAGGCATAATTATATCAACTTTTTACCACTTAACAACATATACCCTTTTAATTTTTTGGATAACCAATAACATATCCATTGACTATTCTTGCATCCAATTTCTTTTTTTGCGGATTGTATATTCTTACTTATGTTTAACAACTACAAACATGTAGGTGTCTCAAAATGGATTTCCTATTTGTCTAAAACTAAAACGGAGTCTTTTGAATAACTTTATTAGGAATATTTTTCAACAAATACATGACAATCTTTAAAGCATACATGCATAACGATATAAATAAACATGAATTATTTAACATATTCCTATTTACATCTATTAAGGTTCGATTATGCCTTTCTGACATACCATTTTGTTGTGTTATACTTACCATTGTGTATTAACCACATATATCACAATTCTCAAGAAATTTAGCAACAGATCAGGGTGTTATCCATTCCATAATACTCACCACTTTTATCTGACTTGACAATTTTTACATTTTTGTCTAATTACCTTTTCACTTCATTTATATAACCTTTTATGACATTCACTGCTTGAGTTTTTTATGCAGT